AGGACTATGTCACTTTGAGAAGGGTATTAGAGGTTGTTAGAAGGGCAAGTGGTGTACAACTTAGTCAGCTTATCACTACATTAGGTGGAAGACATCTAAACTCATGCGAGAAATGGTCTAAATCTATATTGTTTGACCCTCATTACCCCCTAAATTCCCAGCTCTAACTACCTTGTATCTCATCTGGTAGAACTAGAAGTCAGTACAGAAGATTATATGCTCATACTACCAAGTATGGGAACTCAACGATGCCACATTTGACCAGCTCGTGTTCTATGCGATAGAGACAATGTAAAGCGTGAAATTTATGAATAACTATGTTGTTAGCTAAATAAGTGGCCCTTTTATGATCTCCTATTTGGAATCTGTGGTGATACTGTAACAACAGAAGACGAGGGCCAGGCAACAGATCGTTTATTGAGGAAATCAAGAGATATTTATAGATTTTTACGTACATTATTATGAGCGTTATTGTTAGCAGAGAAGCAAGCTATTCTGATTGGTTGTTTTCTTGATAAAGCTGGTTATTCTGTCATCTCCTTGTGGCCGTTTCTTTGAAGGTCAGGCCAAATATCTGCGAAGCGTTTTTGTACACGCTAAATCTGCTGTGTTTGGTTGTTGAGTTCCTCAAGGTTAGGCTTTGTTATTTTTTTATTTCGTGACCCTGATTCGGGACGTAAACATTGACGCAAATTGGTGTCTACAATTTTGAATAGCAGACAGCTCTTAATTAACTGACAATCTTAGTTACTAACCTTATTATAATTTACAATTTATATATATATATACCAAATAAGAACTGTCATTAACAATCCTGTAATATTTTGTTTACAACTGTTTTTAATGTTATTCGATAAAATTAAAGGCGATGGTGTGCCAAATGCTGAGAAGTCCACAGTGTAACATTGGTACTCTTTCGGAATAAAGCGAATTATTATTATTAATAATGTGAGAAGCTAGATATCACTGGACGAAATTTCCCCTCGTTCCCAGCCGAGCTTATAATCAGCTGTGTACTTGAATAAGCTTATCTGAGAGACAGCTGAATCACTGCAGGCTACGCGAATTCTGACTAGGTGTACTTGGGCGAACTGATGATTCACAGAAATGAATTCCTCATTTGTAAATTGCACATAGTTTGGGGTGAAAATTCACTAATAGCCTCAGGAAATATTCATATCACAATATGTGGCCTTAAGTGGTATAGCTGTATACACCACTGAGCTACGAATGTTATGTTCGTTGAATCTTCACACGAATGAGGTTAGCAGGAACAATAATGAAGATTTGACAATTTCCTGGCATATATTTCCTTATTCAGGCTGGTAATTTCAAACTTACTCATATGCAATAATATCGGAGACGTGTATTTCCAAAACAAATAGTGAGTGGCAAAGTAATCATATATATACATATATATACATATATTTTAATTGTGGTGGACTGGATTATGCATCAGACTGTGGGGAGCGAGGAGTCAGGAATACACTAGACCACCGATAAGAAGACTCTAGAAGATCTGGATTTCGCATGTAGATGATTTATATCTAATGTCACACAAACTCGAAGACTTGCAGGCAGGCGAAAACCAACAAACTGACTGAAGAGGCAGCGAAGACGGTACTACGGGTGAACATAGAGAAGGCAGAGGTGATGAAGATAGCCAACAAACTGCAACAACAACAGCAACCAGCATCAATCACCATCAACGGGAGAGATTTAACAGAGGTTAACTGCTTCATTTATCTAGGCAGCCAGCATCGTTTCAACTACAGGCGGATACCACGGATGAAGATGTCAAAGCCAGCCAGCCAGAATCGGAAAGGCAAGATACGCCATCACTAACCTGAAATCAGTTTGGGAATCTTCTGCACTTAGCATAATGAACAAGATTCGCATTTTCAACACCAGTGTCGAGTCAGTTCTTCCATACGGGTCAGAAACCTGCATTGCATGTCACGTAAAGGATTTCTAAAAGCTTGTTGCAGACTTTCATCAACAGGTGCCCACTTCGCTGGCTCCATAGTGAAGATCGAATGGCCAGAAAGAATTAGTAACAAGAAACTCTGGCAGGCGACAAACCAACCAAGAGCTGATCGCTCAACAAATTTGTAGGAGAAAACGGAGGTGGATCGGGCATACACTGAGGAGGCCATCGGATGACATTACGCGCCAGGCCCTCGAGTGGAATCCTAACGGGAAGCGAGGAGTGGGCCGTCAGTGCGAGGGTGACATTAAGGAGGTCATGTGAGAAAGAGGTGAGAGAGTTTGGGAAACCGTGGAGCTAGCCAGCTGAAGATGATAGCAGAAAGTCGAAGAAAGTGGAGATGTGTTGTTGAAGCTCTATGTTCCACTCGGAACCCAAGCGAATAATAATAATATAATACTGGGCAGACCAGTTAGTGCCCATCAACGCAGTGAAATTTGATTGGTCGTCACCTGACTTCCGCGTAGGCGTTTATCAATGCGCTGAAATCTGATTGGTTGGTTATCCAATTAACGTACAAAAAGTCAATACTCGTATAATTTAAATTCTGACTAACAGACAATCGAGATAGACTGTAGTTACACATAACAAGGACCAAGAAAGGAGAAACAACTATCCATTGTTTCGATCAACTTGTAGTGATGAGAATATTTTTTTTCGGAGAAGGCAATAAAAACAAAAGTTGATCAATCATTAGTATTATTTCTTCTTTATTCACAAAACAGATTTTGAAGAGAATAAAACGCATTTGTTTTCATGTATATTTGCACAAACAAAACCGATTTTAGAGAAACAAAAAGATTGGAATTACCCAAGTACAGAAAAACAAAGGTAAAAACCAGAAAAAAATATATATATGACTAGCCATCAGTCAGTAGTCGAATTTAGCGAATGAAATCCATAAGCGTTTATTTATTTACCTCGCGTATAGAGAGGCATTTGCAAACCTACATACACACGCACACTCACGCACACATTTAATATATGAGTGGTGATGGTGGCGGTGGTGTTGAGTGGACGTCTTATCACCAAAGTTTTTTTTTTGAAAAAAACAAGATAAAATCAATACATACATATTACACAAAGAACAAAAAGATAAAAAGAGGCCAAAAATTAATTCACAGGCAACATGATTCATAGATGGGCAGCCCACGGGGGTTAGTAGTGGCGGAGACAATAATCTGCTGACTTCTAGGAGCTTCAATAATTGATAATTAATAGAAAGAAGAGAACACAATCAATTAATAATAAGACTAGACAGCAAAATGAAACTGGTTGAGTCTCCCTCTTAGGCAAGAAGACACTTGGAAGGAGGCGTGAAAAAAAACATAAAAAGGAGGAGCTATTCGAGTTATATACGTTTCTGTGTGTGTGCCGAACAATCGACAATGTTGTCTAACAATACTAGAATGAAAGAACCCAGTAATAAAAAAAATCCTCCACTGAACGTATTCATACTTTTTTCCTCAGGCACAAACGTACAAGAAAGACAGATTCACATATACACAAATATATATATATTAGAAAGAAGTACTTTTTGTGTGTATTCCATCACCACCATCTTTTCACCATCATCACAAATGTCGCTAGGTCTTTTCTGTCTAGCTGTGTGCATGCATGCGAGCGTGTGTGTGTGTGAGTGTAGATGTTCAGGGGAGAAGGATGCAACTAGGTTTGTTCCCCCTTCTGAAGAATGTGATTGACATTCCCTTCAGAAAATATTATTGTGTACTTTTTAAATCAATCTATAAAATCAGTTGTATAGGATAAACTAAAGTATTACATACTACTTAATTGTAGCAATATAAGTAGTACAGTACAGTATAAAGTCATTTGACAAAAAGAAAGTTATCTATATATATATGTATATCGATTAGAGGCTTTACTGTCCTTCACATGTCACTCTCTTACTACACCTCAGTGTAAAAGGTACTCATACACACACACGCACAAAACTGTAGAAAAAAGAAATCGATCCAATTTACACACCTTTAACGACAAAGATGAAGAAGAAGAAGAAAGGGAATGGGAGGGGGAGGATGCCGAGTGGGTGCTTCGGGGTGAGGGTGGCTAATAAAAAGAGTTATGTAAAAAAAGATTGTGTAATTTAACTGAGTGAAAAACACTTGTAACGCCCATAGATTTTATACAAAAGCGACAACACAAATGGGAACTAGAAATATCATTTGAAAGAATAATTCTTGTGCCATGGTTCAGTTCAGTTCATGAATGAATGAATGAATGATTCATGGTTTTCGTTGTATGCTGTAATGAGACATATTTGATTGGCATAATTGGCATGTGACGCTGTATACTGGAGATAGTGGGGAACAGAGACAGGGCGGCCGGGGCGGGGGTGTGGAGAAGGAGAAAGGGACATAGAGTGGATTATGTACATAAGGAGTAACACGCAGACACACGCACATACATACACACACACACAGAGAAAGAGACGCACAAATCACCTGCTGAAGAGATTCGTAGCAGTAGTGGGGGGGTGGAACAAGTGAAAATGCATTACACAAAGAGAAATATAATTTGCCACCGACGCACGCGCACACACACACAAACAGACAAATACGCACATCATAAACAGAAAGCAAAGACAGACAGGGATCAAATCAATCAATAAATAAATGAAGATTAACTAATGCATACATGTAGATTTTCTTCAAAAATTGGTGAAATATTTTGTAGCCCACCAAGTGGGACAGTGGGAGTCCACCTTTTCACTCACTCCCTTTCGTGCAAAGAAGAAAGAGGACGTTGTCAAGCGAAAATAATTATTAGAAAAAAAAGAGAACTTGTGCGACATTAAGGAACGGACAGAGGGAAAGGGAAAGATGGAGATGGCAATTATTAATCACCACCCCCCCTCCAAGATAAGTTAAATAATAATAATAATACTAATAAACAGGTTTATCCAAATATTATAAATAAATAAAATAAAATAAATATAAAAAACACAAACATATACATGCAATTTACACTTAAATATTTATCAATATATATATTAAACAAGTACAAATTCTGAAGTATAGACATTCTCTTCTGGTGCTTGAATTTGATTTGATGCAGAGGCGTTCTCCTGATACCCACCACCACTGACAACAACACCACCACCACCACCGATAGGTTCATGGGCACTTATTCCACTGGAACTAGGTATATTGGCTGCAAGATTTTTAACATTACGAACTCCAGCAGTGTAGATTTGACCACGCATTGCTGAATTGTACACATCAACTGGATGCCTTTAACCAAAAGATAAGAAAAATAATAACAGTATTAGAGGAGGTTTGACTATTATTATCGTCGTCACCATTACTATTCACTGACGAAATCTCACCACGGATACAAAAGGCTTCTGTAGTATTTGCGCCAACTTACAACACGTCATCCCTGGTTTAGTAGACGTGACATCCGGTTGGATATCGACCGACCACAGGACGTACTGCACACTAGTTTGCTCTCTCCTCCTTTTATAGGTGTGAGAAATGGCCATTGGAAACGGATGACAAGAAAAGTCTGGCTAGCCAGCTGCCTTTGATCATAAGTGTCTGTGTTCTATCTCTCACAATAGGTGGTGGTATAGCTAGGACATTCCTAGCCATCGCCTTCCTCCACAACGGGAAATATTAGCTGACATAAGATGGAACACATTGGAAAGGAGTTAGGGGTGGTCAAAAGAAAACATGGAATCAGTTTATGAAATCCACAACAGTTATTTTAAGCCAGCCACATAGGAAGGTGTAAACTGCTTGGTTAGGATTCTCGGGATTCTAAGAACCAATGGCTGGAGACTGTCGGTCCTCCTCAATGGAAGGGATGAATTCACTCTTATTAATATATGTGTAAAACTTGGGTACTGTGGTAGTAAGTAATTCCATATTAGTTTGTTTATTAGATGTATCACATAGTGATGAAACAGTGTTATTATTCACTGGATGACAAAGTTTCGAACAAAATTTATTACTGTTCATAATCATATCAATTAATTGATATGATAAATAATACTGTTTCACTGTGTGATACATCTAATAAACAAACTAATATGGAATGAATTCACTCTGCTATATCCAATAAAACGTTACTGTTTTCCCATGTTATTATTCTTTCTCCAACAGTACATTTCTGTTTACATCGTTCTTTCGACTTTCTCTTTTGTTATCTCTTTTGTCGTTCTTTGTGTGTTAACTGAAGGTTAGGAGGTTGAACTGTTGTTGCACTCCTGTGTGCAAAGTTCTATGTTGAAATTAGTCAGTCAGTCAATCAGACATTATAATAATTATTATTACTATTATTAGCAGTAGTTCAGTAGACAGCGACTAGAAGTGTGGAATCCAGAATGAACATTTTTTCCTATTCGGGACTCGTCAGCTAGACAGATGTACCTACATGGCGTTTCTATTGGGACTCGGACCCGGCACCTATCATTTCAAATGCCATAAGCGTTATCCACTAGACCACCTGAGCCACCTTTGTGTGCAACGTGCATCAGTTATTATCTGTCCCTTAAGTCTAACGAATTACTTTAAGTTAGTCCCCTCAAACATATATCGTCTACGAGTCTGTACTCGGAGTTGATATCTTAACGAAGGCCAAGAATTTCAGTGCAATCAACCAACGAGGAAATCAAAAACAAATAATAATAATTAGAATTAGTAAAAGTGAGGAAAATATTTCTACAATATCGTCGTCCAGAAATCAAGCATTCATGTTGCCCACAACATAATCATACGTAATATCTTCAAGCGTGAAGTGAAACACAATACTATGTTTGGTTACTGCATTTCACCATGAGCTGACATCGGTTAGAGGACCATTAGAAAACAAGCTGGGAGTACTGGACGGATGTTTCGTCTTAGTTTGGGGCTCTTAAACAGTACGTACCTACCGGAGTTCGAACCCAGGACCTTCTGGTTACAAGGCGACCTAACTCGTAGACCATTAGGCCGGTAGGGCGCAGCAGATCGGGTATGAGGACAAATACTCACCAGCGATGACACTAGCTAACGATCGCGCTGTCTTGAATTGGCAGAAGTTGGAATTCATGGACTGGCTGGCCATTGGATAGGGTCCCAGTGGTGGTTTAATGATCTACGAGCTAGCTCGCCTTTTAACAACAAGGTCCTAGGTTCGAGCCCCGGTGCGTGCGTACTGAGGAAGAGTCCCGAACTGGGGCAAAACGACTATCCACTACTCCCAGCTTGTTTTCTAACGATCCTCTAACCGTTGTCACCTAATGATGAAATCCTGTAACCAATCAATCAAATCCCTACAAATCAATACTTGAAAAACAATACTGTGTATGAGAGAGAACAAATACTTCATCAACTGAACACTAACCAGTGAAAGCGAGAAAAAGAGAGGCGTAAAAATACTTACGAGCTAGAAGGTCCACCTACTGCTGCTCCTGTCAACAATCCTACAGTTTCATCTCTATTTGGCTCAGATAATTGTCTTGCATGCAATTGACGGGGATTTGTCCGACCAGATGTTTGTTTTCTTGCATCTAACAGAACAGATAGTATAAGGAAAGAAAGGTGTTAATAACAGAAATGTACAAAAACAAGTTCCATTGACCATCGCGCTCTGATGTTCGGATCGTATACTTCAATTACGTTAAAGCCTTAGCCTTTAAAAAAAAGCTTAAACCTATTTTATGTATTCAACCATTAATTGTTATTACTTTGAAAATGCCTTGGTAATCCAATTGTAGAACTAAGGTCCATTTTATACTTAATAATGTGCATTAATATCGTCGTTGGCACAACGGTAGACTGTTCATTAGCCACTTGAGAAGTTCGAGTTCAAAATTCCGGCTGACTAACTTCTAGACATCGTCTAATTAACTAGCTAATGGTTAATCCAAAAAAGAGGGAAGGTTTGGGGTGGGAAGCTAACAATACCACAACTGCTTGAACTTCAAGACTTGAAGCCCTGTGATCTACTCAGAATACAGGAAATGAATAGAAATTGTGTATTATAGCATGTTAATTAGTGCGTCGGTGGCATAGTGGTTAGGACGCTCGCCGACCATGCATATGGTTCGGGGTTCGATCCCCGGCCGACGCACTCCTTTACCTCGCTAACCCAGAAATAACGCTGGTGAAGAGGAAAGGTTGGGCATGAGGCTAGTAACCCCATCCTGTAAAATAAGCAGTGCTACAGAAAGTTCAAGCCACTAGCTTAAAGCCCTATGTTCCACTGGGGAACGTGAAGGAAATAAAAAAATAGCATGTTAATTGAAAAAAAAGAGAGAGAATATTTATAGCTTAGAATAAAGGTAGAAATCTTGCTTGATAACCTTCTCCTCACTCCGTCAGATGTACTTTCCCACCCATATTCATATACCAATCCAACAATTTAATTCAAGTATAAGTATAAAACTTGGGCACTGTGGTGGTAGAGTATAACTTCATTATGGATAAGATTTTATTTTGATAAATCACACAGTGATGTTATACAGTCATATTAACAGATGACCAGGTTTCAAGCACAAACTATTGCGCATAATCATATCAAGGTACTCACTCACACAACTATTTTCCTTCATTTATATACATGTGTGGAATTGATTAGATATTGAAATAAAATTCAATATGAGATAATGTACATTCAGAGATAATAATATGAGTGTTATTGATCCATTACAATCAGATGGGAAATACGACGAGTGTTTTTATAGTCATAATAAGTTACTTCTTAGAATGTTGTGATGTGTTTGAAGTGAAATAGAATTTTAAGATTATTTATTATCCTCTTCTGATTTGACTGGCCGTAATAATATCTTCCATATTTTTGGTATTTCCATTGAGTCATTTCTGTTGGGTGGAGACTCAATGAACCAGGATTCAGTAATCAATCTCTCCACCTACATAGATTACTTCTTAGAATCTTAACCCTTTCCTACCCTATTGTGTGGTTTTGTGTCAATGCATGCAGTGCAATTGCTGAGCTTCTTTTTTCTAAATTATTCATCTTCTCGGGGTCAATCATTCTTACCTTAGCTAAATTCTTATGTTCCGACAATCTGATTACCCCGATCTACTAGTTTGACCTATACAGTTGACCTGATTCACCGTCATTGCAAGGTGTTTTGTAAATTATTTTATTTTGTTTAATTGGGTCCACCGGGTCTTTCAGCCTACAGAGCTTGTCTCTGAGTGAGTGAGTTTGTAGGTTTGAAGGCCGCCACCCTAATTCCTGCCAAGTGGAGTCTCAGATGTTCCCTCCTTATATCATAAAACTGTAGATGCCTTATATTCTCTTTTATTTATTTTATCATTATTAGTCTCACGATTATTTTTATTTTGCTTTTGACCTTATTTGATATTCCTAATGCATTTTATAGGACAGATAATTATTTAACACCAACCAGCTATTCCTCTATCTGTTTCATTTCATCGTTTAGTTCTTTTGTAGTACTACCTAGTGTTGCTATTGGTCGGTTTGTTAGATACTTAACAACTAAGCCTGCCTTCCCAGACACATAACGGATGAGATGAATGAAAGTCTAAATATCTATTAGCAGAATTCGTTGGTTTTTTATAAACGCTAGTGTGCAGTTTACCTTCTTCTATTCATTTGCATTTCGCAACCTAACTTCATAGCTAATTCTCCTTATCGATTTTCCGATTCAAATGTGAATTCTATTCCCTTCACTAGTGAGTTTTGTAAGCGTCAAGAAGCTAGAGATATGTCCTGTTTTTAACACTGTGTGAAAGTGTCAACCATATATCTTCACCATATCTTTGGAGTAGGATTAAATGTATTAAGAGCAATATTTCCCCAGCTATCCATAAATATATCTGCTACACACACATGTATATAAATGAAGGAAAAAGTTGTGTGAGTGAGTACCTTGATATGATTATGAGTGGCAATAGTTTGTGCTCGAAACGTGGTCATCAGTTAATATTACTGTATAACAACACTGTGTGTGACTTTATCAAAATAAAATCTTATCCATAATGGAATTTAATTCAAGTTCACAGGATCAGTGTATTCATCTATTTCGAAATAACTTTGCGAGAACTGACATTGAATAATAAACAGACACCAACCTAGGGATATACTCAAACTTTCTACCATGTCACTTCCCGTCAGATAGTTCTGTCCTGGCTATTCAATATCTCCAGATCATTGTAAGTAATTTAAATTACTATGTCATTTCATTGTCATTTCAGTTGGTAATGAGAGCCGCACACCTAGTGATATGAACTGCCTAGTCCAATTTCGGTAGATGGAGCAAATTGTGAACGTGTGATCCTGTGGTTGGACGTCCACAGCTTAGACCAGTGATCCACAAGAAAGACTCGGATAAAGTATAACTGCATTAGCATCATTCTGATCGATTTTCAATTACACATCACAATCAGAATATTGAAAATAGAAAGAAACATTCTATAATATGACCCACTAAGACATGTCAATCGCCAACTCGACCAACAGCTATCACATCTTCACGTGATATTCGGGCTTGCATATCGAGAACACCCAATGAGCTACACTGGCTCAAATACTTGTTCCTGTAGGTTCTACCATACTAGAAATGTCGTTTGAATAGCGGCAAGACTAAAAGCAGTTACCGCCTTCGTTACATCGTGCTGAGGGTCTGTGGGCGAAGTCGTACACTTCTGACGAATAGGGATGCAACACACAGCAGTTAGCTGATTCCCCCAGATGACCACCAGAATGCAAATTATACTGTCTGTCTGTTGTGGAGAATATCTGAGGTGGTTATAAAAGTTCGTGTAATATTGCAGAGGTCAATAGACCTCCACTTTCAGATTGCTTTTTATTTTTTATTTTATTATATTTTGATTACACACAGTATTTCGGTACAACTATGGAATTTTCAACACGTGATATCGGTAGCTCAAATTTTGCAGGCTGACCAGTGATATCAGGTGTGCGTCGGCCGCGGGTTAAACCCCGAACCACGTGCATGGTCGGCGAGCGTACTAACTGCTGTGCCACCGACACAACTCTAAAACCCTCTTCAAACGAACCATGGTGTGACTGACCTCAAGCAGTTGCCCCATGGGCTCTGCACTCATATAATACTGATGCTCCTTCCTTTTTAGATACCTAAGTCAGTGAATCGCCTACAGATCTCTGTCACACGCACAAATATATCTACACAGACAAGTGCATATGTCTCTTTTATCAACTACTCTCTAGTATTCAGAACAGTAATACATATACACCACACAGAAATACACAAAACTAGGCCTACCCCTTCGTTTCATTTGATTTGATGCATAAGGTACAACCATTTGATGATGTGGTGTAACAGGATTGCCGAATCCACCAGATCGTAGAATATTTGTCCCGCCAGTAGAAGGATAATAATACGATGAAGTCTGTTGAAATTGGCCAGATTCATCATACATACCCGCTGGACCGTAAGCTGTTGATGGATCAGCATCCGAGCTGAAACAAGAAAAAGTTAATTGTTTAGATACAGAAAAGGTTTGATTGATTCTGTTGTCTTCTTACGAAATTCTTCGGACCTAATTTGTTTATTAAGCGAAATAACAGAGAAGATTTGCAAATTACACTGAATGAATCTGGGTGTTAACGCGTTACGTAAACTGGATGGCACTGAAGATGTTTCCTAGAAGGAAAGTGTAGAAGCTTCATAATTCAGTCCAGAAAACCATTCAGTCCACAGAATACATTCCTAGTGTGATCATGAGTGTATATTCATGAGGAGTCCCAAAGTAGGACGAAACGACAGTACAGTACAAACTAGTAGTGTTTTCAGTATTTCTCTAATTGATATCAGTTTGTGGTCAAACTTGAAGTCGATCAAATCCCTGTAAACCAACTGTGACTGCAAGTTGATTTCTTTGAAGTTCTAGTGAGAAATCGTGACCAGTGGGGTCCATTAAGAAAAATGTCTGTCTGTCTGTATATTTTCGACATAGAACTTTGCATAGATGTGCAGCAGTTCAAGTCGCCACACTCCCTCCTTGAGGCACACGAAGCGAGAGAAGAAAGCAAAGAGAAATGCATAATAGAGACAGTAGACAGGGATATGAGACAAAAGGAATAGTAATAAAGAAGAACAATACAGTTTCATTGGAAATTATAAGTCACAATGGAGTGGATGCATCTGCACCAGCCATCACCGAGAACGATCACTTCGAGCCATATCACCAAATGTCTCCAGCCCTCACTGGTTTCGACCATCCCAAGGACCCAAACCAGTCAGGAAGTCAACACCTTTCTATGTGACTAGCTTTAACTGTTGTGGATTTCATTGACTGATGAATCCATGGTTTGGTCTGATCACCGCTAGCTCTTTTCCAGCCTGACCCAATATCAGCTAATATTTACCGTAGAGGAAGGCAATAACTAGGCATATGTAACACATGTCCTAACCATCTCAGTTGATGTAATTTCACAGCCTCGTCGATTGATTTCCCTCCCTTTCTTGACCTACCTAGCACTCGACTGATGCCTAACCTCAATATTGCTCACCCTATTATACCACTTCACACGGGAGATAGAACACAGACACCTACGATTAAAGACAGCCAGCTAGCCTTTTCATGTCTTCCACTCTCAATGGCCATGTCTTGCTCACAACCATAAAGGAGGTTGGAGCGGATTGCTGAGTAGTACACCCACCTTTTGGTCTACGTCAGAGACGGCATAAACTGGCATATGCGAAACTAGCCCTCTGAATCCGTGTTGAGATTTCGTCACAGATCAACCCGTTGGGATTGATGCAATTTTCCAAATAAATAATCAGTCAACGTGCTCTACTACTTCACTTCCTATTTCTAAGCTAGAAGCCAGTGTACTCCAGTCAGTCCTGTAGCATCATCTTATATTTGGCGGGAGCGAATCGCATGCCAAACATTTGTAGATTGCAGCTCACACTAAGAAAAGTATTCCCCTACAAAATTGGTTGGCGTTAACTCCGTAGGCCACCACCAATTAGCAGAGGTTAGAATTCATAGGCCATTGGATTCTTTCATAGTGGGTGAATGGTCCTCAGGCCCTAGGCTCGATTCCTGGTTGGGGGGTCGCAAGTACGTCCTACCGAAGAGTCCAAAACCAGGACGAAACAGCTATTCAGTACTCCCTGCTAGTTTTCACTAAACAGCCATTCAGTGTTTAGATCACTTTGGTCTAGCCGGCAAGCGCTACTGGTTCATATGAGTAGTACTCTACTACTCATATCACTCAATCAGTAGTATGTAGTACCAACAACTTCTACTTGAGCTACGAATCTTCCCTATTATTTCACATATTTTGTATCTCAGTAAAGATCCAGGAGAGTGAGAGAATTCTAACAATATAACAAGAGGCAAATTCCGCGACTAGGTATGAACTTCTGTTAATCACTAAATTGATGGCAGTTGGTTCGAGTTTTGGGATAAATCAGTTTATTACTTTAACTTTGATTGTAACCATATTTAGTTTTCTTTTATATTTCACAACTTCTAGTAAATTAACACACCCGCACACGCTCACACGCACAGACTGATCACGAACTGACTTCATTTAGAGGATCAATGGGAATCTGGGGGTACTGGATAGCTGTTTCGTCCTTGTTTGACCGTCTTCAGTAATATGCACTAATGACCCACACCCAACAGAGATCGAACGCAGGAGCTTCACATTAAAAGGCGAGCTTGTCGACCATTCAACCAGCCAGTACTTATAGCTATTTCAACTCCCAAAATTTAACAACAAATATAAACTAATGAATTCACCTTATTAAATGGTTGAAGGAAATCGGCAGGAAGCCTTGGATACCACATAGGTTTCGTGCTGATTGGTACTCACCAGTCAGTCAGCAAGGCGTATCTGCAACCACCTTGAAGAAGCTCATATCTCTTCTGAGATTCAATTACGAGCCCGAATAGCTCAGTGTTGACATCTCTGACTGCAGGCGGCACTGGGTGACACGGGTTCGAATCTCAGAAGAGACATGAGTTCCTTCAAGGTTGCAGATACACCTTGCTGATGAGTGCCAACTAGTACGAAACCTGGGTCTAGTCAAGGCTTCCTGTGGCCGACTGCCTCCAACCATCTAGTACAAGCAATTCACAGTGCAATTGCATAATGGATACTTATACTTATATCAATTCACAGTGCACCGTGATGGTGAACGCCACTCAGTGGCATGGTGATGGCCACATTGCAAACCTGACTGACTGATAGAATTCAGTCTGCACCAAAGATAGAACTAGGCACACACATATTACACTAGTTACTGAATATAACTTGGTGAAATTTACAACAACAACAAAAAACGCTTCTTACTATTCAATTGTAGAAGTTGACGGTGGTACAGGTAAAGGTTGATAAGCACGCGTTGAATATGGAACATTTGCTGCCATTTGTCCATAGAGATTTCTTTGAATTCCCGCAGCTGTTGCACTACCACGGATAGATGGATTCTGTCGTGTAGATGTGGATAGTGTATACGGTGGACCACCACCACTGGCACCACCACTAGCACCATTGTAGTCCACAGTAGCATAAGTGTCTGTCATATCCGATGGACAGTCAGAATCACATCGGATCAGTTTTGATTGTTGAAGACGATTACCAGTTTTTGTTCGTGATACACCAAAAATAGGAATTCTGCCGCCACCGCCTCCTCCAGCACCACGATGTCCAGATGCACCAGGGATAAGACGTCGTGAAGTAGGCTGATTAACTGTAAAGCATTAGAGTAATTACAGTAATTGAATTAGAATAATAATACTAATAATTTAAAACGACTAGTTCCCTTTCTGAATTTAGTTAGACAAAGCAATAAGACGGCGTATTTCATGGGCCATTGGAGTGGGTCCCAGTGGCTTAATGGTATACGAGCTGGCTAGCCTTGTAACCAGAAGGTCCTGGGTTCGAATCCCGGTGGGTGCGTACTACTGAAGAGTCCCAAACTAGGTTGATGAAACAGCTAGCTGTCCAGTACTCCCTCCAAGTTTTCCAGTGGTTCTCTAAGTGATGTCAGCTCATGATGAAAATCCTGTAACCAATCAAATCCCTACAAACCAACACTTGAGACGTAATTTGTCTGAATCGTGTAATGTGTATTTGCGCAACACATCTCGAACAATCTGATCCATCACACACGGACTTGTCATATGACTGTATTTATATGAAATTAATAAAGAGGTAAGAGGTGAGAAAATAGACTTAGGTCAAGTTAAAAGGACATATTCAAGGTCAAAATAACATTGAAGACCAACCACTAAACCAAATAGCAGAGGTAATAGTACATTTGCTATGGTATGAAAACAAAATTTACCAAGGAAGGTTTAATGTGATGACGAATTGTTGCTTTGAACGCATAAAGGTGGTTTAAACTTTCTAATTGCCAGCTAGGGCTTCCACAAACTTTAGGATACGCCCTTCCCTAAACACGTTTTATAGATAGGTTTAAAAGATGTGTTAACGTCAATTTTATGTCCTGTCTCCATAATATGTTTCGTAATAGAAGAGCTAGGTCCCATGTTCTCACCGTTAATAGGTTCTGAAGATTCCATCTGTTTCTGAAGCCATTTAGGAATATGCTCTGAAGCCAGCCCTCACTTGCAGAGATTGGTTAATCCTCACTATGTATGTGTATCCACACGTACATTCAAATTGGTAAATACAGTGGGATGTGACATCATTTTTCGCATGTTCAAAGGGCTTAGATGGTGAACCTATTGGCACCACATTCTCAATTATCATGATATTAGCTGCATAAAAAGTCTTTTTAACCACAGCAGCGTTCAATCTTTGTCTAGTTATCAATAATAATAATGATCATAATAACCGATAATGACGAACTAATTGACTTTCAACATAGAACTTTGCACAGAAGTACAGCCGTTCAGCTCTTGTTGAACTCAATTTAGCACACACACACACACAAAGGTAGAGAAAGAATGGCGATATGGAGAAACATGAAGGTTTAATAAATCTGGGGGATAACAAATAGTGTATGCATTTTTGCTACTGAGAAAGAGTTTCGCGTCATATATCACCATCATTCTCAAGCCAGTGGTTCTTCGCATCCCAGGGATTCCCGGTACGTAGTCTACACCTTCTTACGTCGCTGATTCAAACCAACTATCAAAGACTTTATGGAGTGATGCCAGGTTTTGGTTACTCGTTGAAGAAGGCAGTGGCTCGGCATGTATAACACCTGTCCTAGCCGTCTCAATCAATTCACTCCCCCCCCACAAGTTTTTCTTCTTTACCACCAACCAGCACTCCGCATCTAACCCCAATATTACTCATTATATTATACCACTTATTTAACATCTGTGGAGAAAACACAGCTAACCTTTTCATATCTTCCACCTTCAATGACTACACCTTACAGAGAGAACTGCTTAATATATTTTCTTTTCTATAGTTTGGTTTGTAAGAGTTAGTTTTGTTGTTTTTATGAGTTGATCACGGATTGATATCAGTTAGAGGGCTGTTGAAAACCAGCCACAGGGAGTACTGGACAGCTAGCTGTTTCATCAACCTAGTTTGGGGATCATCGGTAGTACGCACCCACCCCAACTGGGTTCGAACCCAGGACCTTCCGGTTACAAGGCAAGCTCGTATCCTTGATCAACTCGTAAGAACAAAACTAACCCTTACAAACCAAACTATAGAAAATTAATCTGATGCTCACTTAGTGACTTGCTACAGGATGGAGTTTCCTGGAGTTAGTTCTAGTGAGAAGTCGTGACCAGTGAGGTCCATCCAGATGTCGTGTGTGAGGATGGATGTCCCACCGACGACATTGGTTGGTGGTCGCACTAAACCACGGATTGGTAGAGGTTAGAATTCATAGGACAGCCATTGAATCGGGTCCCTGTGGCTGAATGGTGTACGATCTAACTTGCCTTGTAACCGAAAGGTTCTGGGTTCGAACCCCAGTCAGGTGGGTGCGTACTGCCGATGATTTCCAAACTAGGGTGAAACAACTAGCTGTCCAGTATTCCCAGTGGCTGGTTTTCAATGGTTCTCTAACTAATATGTTTGCAATTAAACCAACTAGAATTAAAACTGAAATAACACAAAACCAATGTAAAACTTCCTGACGGTTTCACATTAACTGTAGTGGAGGGAGGTGAATCTAGCGCAGACTAACGTCAAATAAAGATGCACGACCTACATCGATCGATAAGTTTCGACCAACAATTCAGACTAAACAGTTAGATGTGACTGGTTGCCCTCTGACAGTTGAATGGAGAGCCACAAAAATTTAGGGTGTGTCGATAGTTCAATGGGAGAATACTCACTAGCCACGCTGATACGTCCGACTTCGACCACCGAAACCTCTCCTTGCCGATATTAAACCCAGAAAACAGGGATGGTTAAGTGTGAAACTTCAATACTACTCAAAGCTTGAAGCCCACCCAGTGTTCCACTCGGAACTCAACGGAAGAAGATTTTTAAACAACAAGATGTTTGCGCAGAAAGAGTCAATAAAATAAATAAATAAGTGAAGCTAAATTATTAAATTACCATCATAGATAAGTGGTACTTCACAGGCTGCATGTCGTGCTTCATCCGGTTGCGGTGGTTGTTGAGTAAACTGTCGTATCCCAGAGTCTGTTGCATCACTGGAAGCAGAACCTCCACTGACTTCTCCGTCGCCAACTTCAGTTGTATCGATTAAGGCAGCAGGATGAGGAACAGCAGCAGTGGCGGTGTTCGTATTTGTATGATCCAATCCCATATTCATATGAGCAGGGATTAAACGTGCACCGAAATTCATTGGTACAGGATGAGGTAAAGCTGCATTCGACGGTAAAGTGAGACATGATCTCAAGTGATGCTTACGACCATATTCATAAGCTTGCATAAGCTCTTCATGATTTGATGAAACTGTTGTACTCGATAGTACACTTCCACGATAGGCAACAGAAGGATCAGATGGTTGAATACTGCCACCGGATTCATAAAATGAGACTGATGCGGCGTTTGGACCTACAGCAGAACCACCACCACCACCAGAGACAGTAATTCCAACAGGCAGTAAAATTCGTCCACCTGGTGCACAAGTACCGAAACCACGATGATAAGTTTGTGATCCTTTAATAAAGAGAACAAAGAAAAAACAATCCACACATTTAGTAAGGAAAAGTGCAATGGACGAAGTCAGTAGTGTGTGTAGCCATTAATTGCTAAGTAGACCCATTCAATTATCGTCACGATATACCGCTAACTAACTAAGGTCGAACATAAAGTGGATAGTGACCGGATCAGTGCACGGTTAGATGATCATTTCAAGGTCTAATGATCCGACAGTAGGCAAACATCACTGATAAAAACAAATATGAAGTATTCAAATGTTGGTTTGTAGGGATTTGATTGGTTACAGGATTTTCATCATGGGCTGACATTAGTTAGAGAACCATTAGAAAACCAGCTGGGAGTACTGGACAGCTGTTTCGTCCTAGTTTTGGACTCGTCATCAGTACGCACCTACCAAAATTCGAAACCAGGTTACAAGGCGAGCTCGTATACCATTCAGCTACTGGGTTCTAGTGAGAATTCATGACCAGTAAGGTGCAGCAGGTCGGGTGTGAGGAAAAATGTCGGCCGAGCACTTCTCTCCAGTCAATCAACGGGAAAGTCGCAAATGAATTAAATAATAACGGATTCCCGTTGTACAAGAGGTGACTGCCATGGCCCAAGCGGTCCAGTGGATAACGTTTCGTCGTTTGAAACTATGGGTACTGGGTTCGAGCCAGTGCTAGTCACCATCCACCAAATTCTTTTTTCATTCCTTTAAGTTCCCAGTGGAACATAGGGCACCTTCAAGCTAGAGGCTTGAATTTTCTGTAGCAGTGGTGATTATTTTTACAGGATGGGGTTGCTAGCCAACCTCATGACCGCAACCTTCCCTCTCTACCAGTCTTACTACTGGCTTAGCGAGGTGAGGTGAAGGAGTGCGTCAGTGACCGGGGATCGAACCCCGGACCACATGAGGCGTGGTCGACGAGCACTCCTATCCTTGTGCCACCGACGCATCCACCAAATTACTTCGACAAATGTTATTCTCTGATAAGTTTTGATAAAGCAACTGAGAAGATGGAATCTGCAGCAGACTACCTGAAATTACGATGCTTATTAAGGGAATGAATACAAGAGATCCGTTTCTTCATGAGATATTTAGCTCCCTCCCCCTCCGCCTCCCCCCTCCCCAAATTGTTTGGAGAACATAGCTTCTTCGCTCTGTGGCACCGTATAGTCACCATTCCTTACTCAGAGCTAACAGGACAGACACTGATGCAGAAAGAGGATAAATGATAGTTTAATTAAAATGGTAATCGACAAAAAAAGACATTTGGACGTCATACGAAAATCGACCGTGGCTAACTCTGCCCCATAAAAGAACTTGTATGGCTTACAGTGAGTAGACTTAGGTCTTCCTTTCAAAATCCTCTCATGTGGCCACGTGTTCATAGCCTCTGACAGGTAGGTTCTATTCACTGTCTTCACACAGACAGGGTGTGTTCTTCACAAAGGTGAAAAAACTGGCGAATAAAAACGTCTGTCTGGCCCTCACAACTGGACTGGTGGACACGCTGGTCTACTTCTACCTAGATGAGCTGAAAAACCATGATTCCAAATCTATGGAGTACATGGGCTTCACAATTCAAACGGATCATATGGCATGTGTAAAATTGTTTTTATCACATTCAACCATGGAAATGTGGCTCCTGACGCTTCTCCAAAGCCGTGTGGACCAAACGTCAAGTCAAAGGCTGGCTCAGCGGCGTGGCCCCTTAGGAAAGATTACCTGCTACCCTGTGGGAAGCGTTCGAGCAGTATCCCAGTCCTCACAAAAATTATTAAATTTTTTGTGGCGTATCCTCTGGTACCCATAATGTACCAATTTTGTATATTATTATTATTATTATTCCCTTGGGTTCCTAATGGAACATAGGGCTTCAACTGAACGTCTCCACTAGCTTCTGTCTTCTGCTGTACTTTTCACTTGCATCCATGTTAATCCATACTGTTTCAGTTCCTCATCACACGATCTCCTCCATGTCACCCTTGGACGTCCCACTCGCCACTTCCCTTTAGGGCCTGACGCGCAATGTCACCCAGCGGCCTCCTCAGCGAGTGTCCAATCCATCTCCACTTTCTCCTGCATATTTGTTGGTTGGCGATTGGTTCTTGTTTTGTTTCTCCCCATAGTCTCTTGTTGGTGATTCTTTCCAGCGGCCATCTGATCTTCAGTATATAGAGCGAAGACAGCTGTTGATAAAGGTCTGCAACAGGCTGTTGGAAATATTCTTTGTGACCCGCCAAGTTTCTGATCCATATAGAAGAACTGACTGACTTGACGTTTGTATTGAAAATCCGAATTTTGTTGTTGATGTTGAGTTGAGTGACGAAGATTTCCAGATTGGTTTCAGGTTGATGAATGTGTTTCTCGCCTTCCCGATTCTCTATTTAACATCCTCGTCCGTTCCCCCTGTAGTTTAGACAATGCTCCCTAGATAAGTGAATGAAGTGACCTCTTTCAAATCCCTCCCGTTGATGGTGATTGGCGCTGGATGTTGCTGCTGTTGTTGTTGGTCGGTTATTTTCATAACCTCCGTCTTGTCTATGTTCACCTGGAGTCTTCACCTGTCTTTGCTGCTTCTTCGACCAGTTTGTCGGTTTTCGCTTGTAATTTTGTATATTGATAATAATTCCTCCTCCTCACATTGAGATCCAAGATGTTAAACAAGCCATCGTATTCACACTATGTGGTAAACTGAATGTTTGGTGTAGATCTCATTCAGACTGTCAGAAAATTCAAATGCGAAAATCATACAGTAATTTCAACATGTCTGAAGATGATGAGGGAATGTAAAATAAATTGGCAGCGTTTTATATTGGTAATTCGGAAAATGGAAGTCAAGATCAGATAAGTTTCAACCTTGTCTCAAAGTTATCATGAAAGTTTGGACAAACACGTGTCCATGAAACAATGAGAAGAAATTTACAGTACATGAAATGATTCTTCACAACGTGTCATTCTTCGGCGGCTGGAGTAAGGTGAAATTTTAATCCAAAAACGTTTCGATATCATACTAGCTATCCTAATCAGTGAGTCCTCTTAGATTGTGTAAATTATATAATTTCTTATTTTTAAACAAAAAATAAAGGAAAAATACTTACTTCCTCCTTGTAACCGATGTAGAGATTCAAATGAATTAACCCGCCGGGTTAATCCACTTCTTAAAGGACCAAGTACTGAAGTTCTAGCAAATTCCTCTGTAGTATCTTCAGAATCACAACCTAGCGTACCATTATCATATGGTGCTAATATCACAGGATCAATTAGAGCAGCTGTAGACGGTGGAACTAATCGTGGATCAATCATATGTTGAGCTAGTCTTAATCGACCACTAGATCCAACACGAATCAGATGATGAGATGGCCGTCCAAGTGTAGAATTGCCAACAGTTGAATCTAAATTTGGATAGTGATAATGATGCCCTGGAACACTCATCATCGACTCTGGATCTGAAGGGATTGAAAGTCCTAAAAGAAGGGGCAATAATAAAAATAATATTAAGATACACATTACACTAGTCAGGCAAATAAAACTTCGTCAGAAATCTGTGGATTTACCTGCATAACCCAAACTCATCAAATAAAGGATCAGTTATGGTTTGGAAAGTGAAGTGGTGAAGTTATGACCTTTCCAGTGTGAATGCACGTTTCCTAAAGGTTACATGTCTTTGTGTGATAAATATACAAGTAGGGAAAAAGAAGGTAAGATTAGTTGGAGGATTCCATCATCAGCTGACTGACATCAGTTAGAAAACCATTGGAAAACCTGAGAGCACTTGACATTCAGCTTTCTCATCAGCCTAGTTTGGGACTCTCCAACAGTACACACCCACCACTAGATTTCGGACCCACACGGCGAGCTCGTAGACCATTAAGCCGCTGGGACATGATCCAATGGCCAACCAGCTCATGAATTCCAACTTCTTCCAATTCACGGAATTGCGCAACCACTAGCCAATGTCGTCGCTGGCGAGTATTTGTCCTCTCACCCAACGTGCCGCACCCTACTGGTCACGACTTCCAACTAGAACCCCAGGTAACTACCTACCTGAATAGGGCCAGTCTCTAGTGAGCATCTCATTGATTTTCGAGTATTGGTTTGTAGGGATTTGATTGATTGGTTACATGATTTCATCATGAGCCGACATCGGTTATAGAACCACTGGAAAACCTGCAGGAAGTACTGGACAACCAGCTGTTTCGTCCTACTTTGCAACCATAAGGTCTTGAGTTCAAACCCTGCAGGTAGGTGCCTACTGATGAAGAGTCCCAAACTAGAAGGACGAAACAGCTGGCTGTCCAGTACTCCCAGGTTTTCCAGTGGTTCTCTAACCGATGTCAGCTCACATGATGAAATCCTGTAATCAATGAATTAACTCTTTCATTTATCTGAAATAACTAACAGCTAGAATATCGAAACCCTTTGAAATAGATATAGAACACAAACCAACCAGCCAGCCAGCACAGTCACTTCATTCGATATTGTGCAGACCGAAAGATCCAACAGAAAAAAAGATAAAATTAATACCATTTACAAAATAAATTGTATGAACTGTAACAGATACTGCATCGGTCAAAGTGGCTGTCTCCCTCGAATTAGAACCCAAGAACACAAATTAGCTGTAAAAAGACATCATATATATTCCTGTTTCATATCAATGCATGTAGATAATTATGGACACCAATTCGATGACTGGGATAATGTCGAAATTTCAAACAGAGGAAACACTAAAATTACTGCCAGAGAATTCCTAGAAGCCTGGTTGGCGCTCAGGTGAATCAGCCAGCGATTAACAAACATATCACTACTATGGACCAAATCTACCAACTAATAAAAAGTAAATCATCATGTGACAAGAAAGTTAAAATTCCAAGTCAATAAAAAATGATCAAAAGAGATGTAAATCGACTATCAGTCACGAAGATGGTTGCTGCCAGGAGATAAAATTCTATCATTCATAGAGAATTTAAATCAGTTCATTTTATGCTAAAACTTGAGGTGACGGAGGATGTTGTCTAGCAGGGGGACGACAAAAGCTTCGCAATTAAACCAACCAGTCAGCTCAGAGAACACAAAGCATCCACCTGAGCTACAAATATTCTCTATTAGTTCTTTTATTTCCTAAATCCATTAGCACTTATATCAGCCAGTCTTCGCCGTCCAATAGTAGACACATGTCGATAGGTCTGGGTTTGACTTCCAGCCGATGCACTCCTAAAGGTCGCCTAGTCAATATTAAGCTTGGGTATAAGGCAGTGTGTGCGACCCAACACCCCGTAGAACAAAAAACCAACACCTCTCCTCTTATTGAGGCTTCAAAGCTTGGAAAGTCATTAAAAGAGTGTGGAAGCAACAAGTTTCAAACGGGGTAATGAACACCATTAATGATGAACTGGGAAATCAAATGAGCGAAACAACTGTCCAGTGTTTAAATCACTTCGATTTCACTAGCTAACAACCACTACTGGTTGAGATGTGAGTAATATCCAGCTAGTCATCTCAATCAATCAGGAGTATATAATAGATTTTTGCCTTCGCCGGCTCCATGCTGTAGATCAAATGACCAGTCAGAAAGAATTAGCACCAAGAAACTATGGAAACGAACCAATCAAGAACCTATTGCTCAACAAATAGGCTGAAGGAAATGGAGATGGATGGAACACACGCTGAGGAGACTGTTGGGTGACATCGTACGCCAGACCATCGAGTGGGACAAAAATCAGAAGTGAGGAGTTGGACATCCGACGGGGAAAATGGGGTAGATCGCAGGAGAAGAAAAGGAAAGCTTATGGGAAATCGTCGACCCAGCTAAAAACAAACTGTGGCGGGTCTGTCTGTCTGTTTTCGAAATAGAACTTTGCACCGATGTGCAGCAGTTCAAGTCGCCGCACTCCCTCCTTGTGGCACACAAAGTAAGAGAAAAAAGTAAAAGAATGCATACTAGCGACAGCAGACAGGGATATGAGATAAAAGGAATAGTAATAAGGAAGAGCAATATAGTTTCATTGGAAATCATAAGTCACAATGGAGTGGATGCATCTGCACCAGCCATTGAGAACGATCACTTTGAGCCATATCACCAATAGTTGTCTCCAGCCATCGGTTTTTACCGTCCCGAGGACCCCAACCAAGAAGTTTACACCTTCCTACGTGACTAGCTTAAACTAACTGCTGTGGATTTCATTGACTAATGAAGCCATGTCTTGGTTTGACCACCCAACCCTATGTCAGCAAACATTGCCCGTCGAGGAAGGCGATGACTAGGCATACGTAACACATGTCCTAACCATCTCAGTCGATGTAATTTTACAGCCTCATCGATTGATTTCCCCTCCTTACCTAGCACTCGACGCCTAACCTCAATATTGCTCACCTTATTATACCACTTCGCGCGGGAGATAGAACGCAGACACCTATGATTAAAGACAGCTAGCTAGCCTTTTCATAACTTCCACTCTCACTGGCCAGGTCTCACAGCCATAAAGGAGGACGGAGCGGACTGATGAGCAGTGCACCCGCCCTTTGGTAGATAGCTGAAAACAAACTGTAGCGAGTAGAGTGTAATGAAAATGTTCCACTCAGAACCTGAGGGAATAATAATAATAATAGATTTGAAAGGCGAACTCAAAAACAACAACTCACCACGTCTAAATGCTGTATTCCATACAGGTGGTTTAGGCATATTTGAAGTACAATTATCACGTCTCATGCCTGTATCACGTATAGCTCGTCCACCGCCCCTTCCACCACCGACTACCATCATACCACCGTCAACCATTGACGAGGGAACAACTCCAGAGGATTTAACACCAACACCAGATGAACCAGTCAGCAAATTAGCACTTGTACCAACTACACCACCAGTACCACCACCATCTGTACGATCACCGAAACCAGTTGCTGCATATGTCGCATATGGATTAATATTGCCTAGGATTTTTAAAAAAAAATACAAAACAAAGATAATTGAATTTCGAATGTGTACACCTGCCTTTGTGAAATATTGATTCATATTTTAAAATATTCATTTTCGTCATCAACCGATGCCAGCTTTATAACTGATCAAATCAATATCAAACTGAGATCAAGGATACTGTGTGACCACCAACCACTACCACAATGAGAGCTGTGCAATATGACGGGGGGATTTGCTAGAGAATTTTGAGAATACTACCCTACTAGCTGCAAGCCAAAAATTGTAGACAACAATTTAAGTCAATTTTACATCCCAAATCGGGGTCATTAGAAAAAAAACACAAGACCAAAGCTTAACCTTGAGGAACTCAACAACCAATCACAGAAGACTTAACGTGTGCAAATACGATTTCTTTTTTGATTACAGCTTGATTTCACACCGTATTTTTTGGTACATGTATGGAATTTTCAGCATGTGATGTAGGTAGCCCAAATTTTGCACCCCGACCATAGATATCAGGTGTGCGTCGGCAGGGGATCGAACTCCGGACCATGTGCATGATCAGCGAGAGTCATAACCGCTGTGCCACCGACGCAGATATACAGGTTAACTTTCTGAGAAACGGTCACAAGCAGTAGAAAATAACCTTGGGCAAGAAAACAACTAATCAGAAGACGTTGTTTCTCCACTGACAATAATGTATATAAAAATCTATAAATATCTGTTGATTTCCTCAATAAACGATTTGTTGCCTGGCTCTTGTCTTCAGTCGTTACACTATAACCTTGCAAATAAATGATACTATCATTCTAGACTTAATTCGGCATGCATTCCTCATGGGTGTACACCGCTCACATGCTTGTCAGACAAATATAGTCGGTTGATAATTTCTCTAACTTCACAAAATAGAATGAATCTGTGGAAAATAGCTAGAGGAAACTATCAACTGTAAAATGCTGATTAGCCTAAGTGATCATAAAACAATCAAAACCGCTCAATTTTGCAAATAAACAAAGGGTCAAAGTTCAAGTCAAAGAAACAATCAGTTCTAATACAAGTAGCCTAGAAGGTGTAAAAACACACAAAAACAACCAATCACGTCCAAGATCACCCACCACGAGAGATGATTAATAAACTCGTGGAGAAATCTAAAAGCTCACTTCAACAAATTGAAGTATGCGCTGACGATGTCACCTAGTAGAGTGATGAAAGCTTCGAAAATTAACTATCCAGCTCAGAGAACACAACCTCATCAATTTTTGTTTAAAAATGAACTCTATGCAAGTATGTTAAAATTGTTTCTGTAGATATACTTGATAATGTCTTTGGCCTATAAGCAGTGGCTGATGAGAAGCCAACGAAATAAACAATGATGGTACCATATTATTCTGCAAAAACCACTGTTGTTGTCCTTGCTTTTTCCAAATGCAGGTGTGTTATCTAATCGAGAAGTCACTGGGTTCCCTTCTATGTGAAGTAGTAAGCACTGAAGGCAATAATCTAAATGAATGCAGAAAATTGTCCTGACAGTAAAAACTTAAAATCGACGATTTCCTGAAGTCCATTGTTGTTCAATTTCCTATTGGTTGATTGATTGATGATGTCACTCTGTGTTTACACATGTTTCCTGTCCTAGTATGGATGGTGTTTGTTATTCATTTTATAGTGGAGGCGGAGGCTTAAATCCAAGAGGACCGTACTTTGTCTTGTTTGCGGCTCGTCAGTTCGACAAATTCACTGCTGGATCAAAACTTTGCTTCCCTACACATTACTCCCTTCTTCATTTAATTCAATCCCCTGGGACTGATTAGACTGAGAGGTGGCTCTCGTAGCCCAAGTGGTCTAATGGATAACGCTTTGGTGTTTGAAACTATGGGCAGCACTGGCTTCGAGCCTAGGTGGTGGGAACATCATCACTCACTCACTGAGGAATGCAGGCACATCCAGTTAGCTGAAGAGTCCCAAGTAGGACGAAATGCGTGTTATCCTGGATTACTCCACTGCTAGTCTCCATACACCAATTAATTACTCCATTCTTCAGCCAGTTTTATCTAACCATGTTGAATATTTCTCTTCCCATTCTAAAAAGGTGGGGGGGTGATTGTAAGGAACTTGATTGAGGTGAGCTGATTCTGTGAGGGATTAAAATCACTTGAAGATCAGGAAGCACAGATTTAAAGTTTCCTAACAGTTTCTCAAATAAAATCTCATGTAACATGGAAACATAAGTTCTTCCGTTTAATGATGATCACTTGCGGTGAATTTAAGAGTGTTTGACTGTTTCATATGAGGCAGGATTAAATGAAGCTGACCACTGATCTCACTACCTTTTCAATCATACTCTATACGTAATGTTAATTCATAATAAAAATAAAAATGTACATAAACGGCTTTTTTGGGAGTACTCATGACAAACCAAAGAAGAAGGAAAAAGAGACCACCGTTCATTCATTACCTTCACTATCAATTGAATTAGTCGAGAGTCGTTCATCTTCATCACCAACAATATGACTACCAATCTGATTGGCACCAGTATGAAGTGAAGGTGGTTCAACTGGATTCACAGGATGTCCACGATCGTATAGACGCATTCGTGTTCCATTGAACCAGCTATAACAAAGCGGAAAAATATAATAACAAACAAATATACAATTGAAATGACCCACAAATTAAACTGAATTTTGATTTAATCAATAATAGACTATTAAGCGATTTGTTAATATAGTCTAATTTTTGTCTGCAACCAGTTATCGCGCACCCTAGGTGCTTTTGTATTTCCCACTCTTTATGAAGGCTGAATCCTCATTAGTCACTTTTTTATTTTGTAAGCTCACCAATATATTTAATGTTTGTCAATGTCACTTAAAATATATCCAGCATGGCTGTGAAATGCTTATTAACTGTTGCATAAGACAGTAAACGCTTTCTTGACAACTGTTCATCTTTTCTTCTTGTTTCCGTATGTCAGTGGTTGATACTGTAATTAGTCGTTAGTGAGTAGCTTTCATTAGAACATTAGATACGCATTGTTCTCAGTCTACTATAGTTGTATAATTACCAGTCACTTGAAAAATAGAACAAAATCTGTTATTCCAGTTTCCTTACGAATTGATAATGAGGGTTATGATGGAGTCGGTCAACAGGAAGATTTAACTGAAGCAGATTATGTTCTTCGTAGATTAACTTGACGACCATACATGTTCCTTTTGAGATTCTATCCAGTTTCCTTTAGTTGCAAAGCTGGTTACTTAACAACCAAGGTATTTGACACTCACCAGACAGCAAGGCGTATCTGCAGTTTTGAAGGAACTCATATTCCTTCTGAGATACGAACCCCTGTCGCCCAGTGCTGAAGTCAGAGAATTCGCTACTGAGATTATTGGGCCTACGATTGACCTCCTGTAGGACTGTATTGGATACTTTGATTGGACACTAGTCAGTGAGTAGGGTAGTGTGTGTATCTAGTCCTTTGTTTGGTGTAGACTGAATTCTGTCAATCAAGTTTGCAATGTGGCCACCATGCTAGGTGGTTGACAAATGTCTTCTTGCCAACTGCCTTCAACCGTCTAATAACAACATTTCAGCGTGCAGCCGTGACAGTGAGCCACCTAGAATAATGGCCACAATACAAACTCAACTGATAAAATCCAGTTTGCAGAAAGTAAAGGATTAAAAGCATAACACTAGTTACTATCTAGTGTCTGATCAAAATACAGTTATCTAAAATGATCATATATACAACAGAGGGCAATTAGGAATAAATATGACTGAAGGATGAATCAAAGTAGAAATTCGACATAGATGTACATCAGTCCTACTTAGTAAGCTTTGGGAAAACAAATATAAGCGAAAAGACTGGAGTATATTTTTTGATAAATTGACACGACTATGAAAAAAGGTTACTGAGACGATGTACTACGATATAATGTACTACAAAGGTTGCAGAACATCTCAACGAAATCGGCAGCTCTGCAGTAGCTCACTGTGTCCATTTCAAGTGAAGACTGAACTACTGTTTACTCAAATGAGTTTTTAAACGCCAATAGGTATCGGTTATTTGTTTAGGCTCAATTTCCCGGTACAGACTTTTCAAGTATGAAGTTACGAGCCATGATTACATTATGTGAGTACTGATAATATTACTGCAAGTTAACCAAACTGAAGTAGGCGGAGGGATTCAAATTTGGGTGAAAGCCTAAGTCGATGAACGGCATCTTTCACTGGTATTAGTTGGGTTCATATAATAGTACACTAAGACAACAGCAACAACAACAATAATCTCTAGACTACTATGAAAAGTAAGATCTCTTTTACATTCTCATAATGATGCTTGTATATTTCTCCTATTAGCATACATGCTGTATGCCCTTTGTGTTTGGAATAAGATAAAAAATAATAATAATCAGTCAGAGAACCATTGAAAACTACCAAGGAGAACTGTATGGTTGTTTCGTCCAACTTCGAAATTCTTCATCAGTACACACTCATGACCTCACCGAGGATCCAACCCAGGACCTTCATGTAACGAGGTTGGCTCTTTGACTATTCAACTACTAGGACGGAACCCAACGGCAAGATCATGAAATCTAACTTCTGTTAATTCGCAAAGTTGCCTGGAGTTCTAGTGGGAGGTTGTGTTCAGTGAGATTCACCACCAGGTCGAGTGAGAAGACAAATACTCGCTGATGATGTTGGCTGGCAGTGGAGCTAAAAGTCGCGAAAAGTCAGAAGTTAGAACTCCATCCCAGTGGCTAAATGGCCAGCGAACTCGTCTTGGATGCAACTCCAAGTTGGGTCATGGGTGTATACAACCGAAGAGTCTCAAACTAGGACAAAACAGCTGTCCAATACCCCCTGTTGGTTTCCAATAGTTCTCTGAGTGATGTCATTCAGTGATCAGGACTGAAGAAGCAATTAAATCCCTTAAAAAAACTCACCTTTTAATGCCACCACTTCTGTGACGACCAACAGCTACAACTGTACTTGCTTGAGAATCTGGTTGTTGACCACCACCACCACCAGCAGGAATCGGTGGAAGACTATCATTCCCGTAAGCTTTTCTTCCAACTCCAGCACCGCCAACATGATAAGCATGATAAGAATGTCCAACAGTTGGCTGTTGCTGTTGCTGGTGGTGTTGTTGTTGACGTTGTTGTTGTTGTGAATCGCCTTGATGACTTGGCAGTAAATCATTATGCGCTACAGTGATATCTTTATTCGGTGTTAAATCTTCTTCTAGTCGACGATGACGACAAAAGAATAGTAGAGCCACAGTGACAAGTAATAATATTGCAAATAATGCTGTAATAGGTACAATGACTGTAGGCTGTTGAAATAGATTTGCTTTGCCGAGTAGATGAGTCTGTCGTAGAACTGGTTCATCTGATTAGGATAGACATCAAAACGAAAAATAAATCATTAATCACAATACCAATGGGTAAAAAGGAATACGTCGATAATCAATCAATAATGACACAGGTTTTTTAGTAGAAGACAACTAATGTTTGAGAAATTCTTTTTTCTCCATTCCTTTGAGTCCCCAGCGGAACATAAAACTCCAATTTTCAGTAGCAGTGGTAGGGTACATAGCCTCACGACCAAGCTTCCCTGTTTATCAGAGTTGATACAGGCTAAGCAAGGTTTTAGGGATGCGCCAACCGGGAATGGAAGCCGGACCACGTGCATCGTTGGTGTGCATTTTACCATCATCGACGGACGACACATAAAGTAGTGGAGAAGATTTGTATTGCAGGTGTTGGTCCTGCTACTGTATTCGCTAAGCTGGATGATTTCATTTTACGGACCCCTCATTATCCTTCCTAGACAACATCTTCAATGCAAAATTCGCATTGAAGTTAGCGAGATACAACATCCAAAAATGGAGCGAAAAAAGGAAAATAAAATATTACTCAACAATCAATCGCAATTCCATGCACTTGGCAGCGGAGGCTAGTGTTACAACCTAACTGGCCAAAACTCGCGACGTCGTACAACCGGGTTTGGACCAGAAATGCACTGGTTCCGAATGGAAGTCAGGGTTTCAACAGCACATCTCCATTTTATCCTGTTCTCTGCAGTCCTCTTCAGCTGGCGCCATGATTGCCCACAATTTTTCACTTCCTCCTCCTTGGACACACGCCCAACTCACCGTTTCCCACAAGGGTCTCCCTGGGGCTTCAGGGTGTGTCCCATCCATCTCCGTCATCTTTTACACATTTGTCGAGCAACAGATTGTTGGCTGATTCGTTGACAGGGTCCCTAATTGTTAATCCTTTCTGGCTGGCCATCTGATATCCAGTATAGAGCTAGTGTATGCAGCTGTTGTAAATGCCTTCTGTGACGCAAACGCTAAGTTTCTGATCCATACAGAAGAACTAACTAACTTGACACTGGTGTCGAAAATCGAAAATCTCCCTCCTTATACTGATTTCAGAATAATGTCTGTCTTGCCTTTCTGATTCTGATTTCGAAATCCTCATCCATACCTACCTCTGCATGTAGTTGAAATGATACTGCATGGATAAGTGAAGAGAGTGACCCCGTTTCATCATCAAGTTTATTCCATTGATAGTGACTGATTCTTGCTGTTGTTGTTGGTTGGTTGGTTACCTTCATCACCTTGGTGTTCCATATATTTATTCACTTTAAAGTCCTATCTTTTTTCCTGCTTCGTCTGACGACTTCTTGGTTTTTGCCAGTGAGTCTTCGAATTAATTATGCACATTAAACAAGCATCATTCGTAAATAGATTAAAACATACTGAAGAAGACAAATTATATGCAATGGAGTAGCGTTTATTGTAAATCCCCGCCAACTGTAACATCGTATCCAGTTGCTTTTATAAGAAACTGTTGTTTGATCCCAATATCTGCTCAATTTAGTGGAATAAATTGCAGCAATGGGTTGAACAGTCGAACGTATATTTTTTAGATATCATACAATCATGCTGGTATAATTTGGCCTATTTACTGAAACGTCCTAATATCCATCGTGCGTCGGTGGCACAGCGGTAAAATGCTCGCCATCCACGCTTCATGTGGTCCGAAGTTCGATCCCCAGCCACCGACGCACTTCTTTACCTCACTAAGCCAGTAATACGACTCGTAAATAGGGGAGGTTAAGCATGAGGCTAGTAACTTCATCCCGTAGAAATAAATACCACTGCTACCGAAACTTCAAGTCTCTAGCTTGAAGCCCTATGTTCCATCTGGGAACGTGAAGGGATAAACAACAACAAAATTGAAACGCCCTAATACCCACAGGATTAAAGCAGGTGGCACCACTTCACAAAAACGGGATACACCATATAATCGCTCAATGCAATGTATAATGATGAAGTAAATCGGTGGTAGCGCATGTTTTAAACAGGCCACGGCCGCGGTGAAATTAACCAAAAGGTGTGTGCGTAAGTTTAACATATGTAAATTTATTCTGTGATCAATATATTAAATACTGTCTGATATTCACTAGCAATTGACTGTTTTAGTTAGTACCTGACTGAAATTCATAGATCTCAAGTAAGATCATTTGGAATTAGTTGGGTTCTCTGAGCTGACTGGTTCGTTTCATTACGGAGCTTTCGTCGTCCTTCTGCTGGACAACATCCCCCCCCCTTCAGCGCAAGTTTTAGCATAAAATGAACTGATATTGTGGAGAGACCTTTAGGCCGCTAGCCAAATCGGTAGACAGGTATTTACGTCAATGTTTACTTCCTCAATATTGGTCGTGAGAAAAATAAGAACAAGGACTGATTCAACAACCAATCACAGCAAACTTTGCGTAGGCGGATACAATTTGCAGATAGATAATCTGAACTTCAGTAAACGGCCACAAAGAGATTAGCGATTAACGTTCAACAAGAAACCACCATTCAGAATACTGTTTTTGTTTGCTTAAAATAATCTATAATAATGTACATGAAAATCTATAAATATGTGTTGATTTCCTTAATGAACGATCTGTTGCCTGGCCCTTGTCTTCTGTTGTTACAATATAACTTCTCCATAAATGATAGAAGTGTGTCTCCTGGCAGCAACCATCTTCATGACTGATAGTCAATTTACATCTACTTTGACCATTTTTTTATTGGATATCCTTACAATTTCATTAAAAAGTGTTTAAAATCAAGTCACAACACCGACAAGAAACAGTCGTCAAAGACTACAAGAAAATTCATTCTACCATATATAAAAAATATCTCCGAAATAACTAACAGCTAGAATATTAAAACCGTTTGAAATAGGTATAGCCCACAAGCCAGCCAGCCAGTCCAATCACTTTATTCGATATTGTGCAAGCCGAAAGACCAATCCAACAGAAATAGAAGATAAAATTATCACCATTTACAAAATAAATTGCACGTATGAACTGTAACAGACATTACATCGGTCAACAAAGTGGGCGTTCCCTTCGAATCCGAATCTAAGAACACAAACTAGCTGTAAAAAGAAATGATATATTATATACATATATATATTCCTGTTTCATATCAATGCATGTAGATAATTATGGACATCAATTCCATGATTGGGATAATGTCGAGATTTTAAATAGAGGAAACACCAAAAATACTGCCAAGAAATCCCTAGAAGCCTGTTTGGTACTCAAGTGAATCAACCAGCGATTAACAAACATATTACCACTATGGACCAAATTTACCAACTAATAAAAAGTAAATCATCATATGGCAAGAAAGTTAAAATTCCAAGTCAATAAAAAAATGACCAATACGGATGTAAATCGAAGATCGTTGCTGCCAGGAGACACAATTCTATCATTCATTTTATGCTGAAACTTGTGCTGAACGGGGGTTGTTGTCCAGCTGGGGGGGGGGGACGACGAAAGCTTCGCAATTAAACCAACCAGTCAGCTCAAAGAACACACAACTAACTGCAAATTGTCCCCATCTGTGCTACAAATCTTCTGCATTATTATTTCAAGTAAGATCAATCAAAAAAAGGTAAAGATAAATGTGAACACTACTCACGTCCTGAAACAGTTCTTGTCCAAAATTGTCCTTGAACACTTGCTGAACCAGCAGCATTTGATGCGACAACCTTATAATGATAATGAGCACCTGAATTCAAATTAGTCACATTGTAACAACATCTGAGAAAGTAAAACACGAGAAAAATTAAGAGATAATAACAGAAAAGAAAGAGGGGTGAATAAGAAATTATTTATCACTAAGAGTAAATCAGCGCGTCTGCTATGCAAATGTATCATCGAACACTTACCACCTATAGTTATCGTTTCAAAGCGGGTGAAAAAAGGGTCCCCCACCCCATCCCGAAGCTCTATTCTGGAACACCTGATCGAATCGGAGCACCAAGCAAGCAAGCTAAAAGACCCGGTGGACCCAATTAAGCAAAATAATAATATAATTTACAAAATACCTTGCAATGACTTGAGGTAGGGAGGAGTCAGGTTGTCGGAACATAAGAATTTAGCTAAGGTTACAATGATTCATCCTACGAAGATAAGTAATTTAGAAAAAAGCCCAGTGACTGCACTGCATGTATGCACTAACATACAATCACACACGATAGGGCGGGTGGGACAGAGTCAAAATCCTAAAAAGTAATATAGGTAGGTGCAGAGATAGAGGTTGATTACTTAATCCTGCCTGGTTCATCGAGTCTACATTCAACACTCATATTAATAATTCTGAATGTGCATTATCCCATATTGATTTTTATTCCACACATGTATATAAATGAAGGAAAAAAGTCGTGTGAGTAACTTGATATGATTATGAGCAATAGATTGTCCTCGGAACGTTATCAGTTAATATTACTGTATAACACCTCTGTGTGATTTATCAAAATAAAATCTCATCTATGATGGAGTTAACTTCAAAGTCATCGACAGAATACGTGGGGATCTTGCTAAAAGAGTACGAATGAAACTTCTTCAAACCCCTGAGAAGCAATGTCAATTGACTTATTGAATCCTGAACTCTGCATACAAAAGAAGAAGAAGTTTGTTCAGTCATTAAATTTACAGTAGACCTGACCTATTTTAAGACCGAATACGTAATTTTTGTTTCGTCTTTTTCCTGATTGTTTATTTCTTAACTGTATAATATGTTCTTCACCCACCCCTTATTAAGTCTCGACCTCTTACTACCACTTTTGTTAGCCTGACTTTTGTTCAATTTTAATTTTAGCTGAGCTCTACTCAACCCTATCAATTAGATTACATCACGCAACTTGCTTATTTAATCTTAATTTAGTTTCTAACCCATTAATGAGATTTGTTTATCTAAAATTTACAACTCTTATAATTTTGTAAAAAATTATATTTGTAAAATCTCAGTGAGATTGAAATGAGTAATTCAAGCGTTTCCTGTGTTCGGCAATCTGGTCCGAACTTCTTCAGGGAAATTAATCAAAATTAACATAACAGAGGTTTATATATGAAAAGGAACATCAATTGTTTTTGAAGAACTTCGTCCAATCATGAGTCATTCAACAAGTATGATAAACAAAATTTTATGAGCTGTGATCAAAATTTGACCTCGGACTTACAAATATTGGTCTACCTTTGTTAAGCACTAATCTGTCATATCTTAACGACAGTTCATTTGAATTATTTTGCAATCGAATTAAATTAACAAAGAAACTGTGTAACTGGCACAATCATCGTGTTTTCAGTCTCCGTTGTCTGCAACAGAATGCATATCCTAAATCCATAGCTGTCGAGTCACCTGACAACTCCAGTAGGTCGAATAAAGCAGCTCAATCTTCAGAAAGAAGGCAAAGCAATAAGTCCGACAGAGTGCTTCTACTAAACTCTAGTCCTAAACACCATAATTTTGAAAATACGTCTAATCATAAAATTCTAGATACTAGCAGTTTGAACAGACATGAAGGCGTGATGTTAGCTGATGCATAGGAAATCCTTATTAATAAATACAAAATGGATATGTATCACTAATTATTAATAATTGGTCAAAATTCTCGACTGTCCATATCTTCTTATGGAAACGTTAAGAAATGTTTTACAACTGCTTACCCACACACATATACACACTCTGTTTAAAGTGTTTAACAAAGGTAGACCAATATTTGTAAGTCCGAGGTCAAATTTTGATCACAGCTCATAAAATTTTGTTTATCATACTTGTTGAATGACTCATGATTCGACAAAGTTTTTTAAAAAACAAGTGATGTTCCTTTTCATATATAAACCTCTGTTATGTTAATTTTGATTAATTTCCCTGAAGAAGTTCGGACCAGATTGCCGAACGAAACGTTGGAATTACTCATTTCAATATCGCTGAGATTTCACAAATATAATTTTTTACAAATGTCTACTTCTCACTCGGTGCCCAAATATTTTAGAACTATTTTGTCAAATCTTGACGACAGTTCATTTGAATCTTATAATTTTACTTCTGTTTCTACCCGATTAACGCTTTCTCTATATTACGTAATTTGTTAGCTAAAAAATTTACAATTCTAATGACATATCTTTGGAAATACTCCTTTTGCTGCTAAGAAAATTTACTGCATATATATGCGATTGTACAGCTTAAGAATGATATCGCCGAAAAGAGAAGTAACTCTTCGCTGAACGTCTTTTCTTTGTAAATGAAATTCTCAGTTAGTAATTTGCAGGTACACACAATTTGGTGCTCAACGGCGCAAATACATTGACTATTTGTAATCTCCAATAGTAACAACAACAACAACCAGCACCAATCACACCAATCAACAGGAGAGATTTAAAAAAGAGGTTGCTTCCTTCACATATCTGCCTAGGAAGCATTGTTTCGACCACAGCAGGTGGAAGAGATGAAGATATCAAAGCAGGCCAACCAGAATCGGAAAGGCAAGATACAACTTCATCAATCTGGAACCAGTTTGGAAATCTTCTGCGAATTTTGTTCAACACTAATGTGATGTCAGTCAGCCAGTCAGTTATTCTATAGAGGTCAAAAACTAGCACTGCGTGTCACGAAAAGTGTTTTCAATAAATTACTGACTTTTATCAACAGTTGCCACCTTCGCTGGATGGCTCCATACTGAAGATCAAATGGTTAGCCAGCCAGCCAGCCTGCCAGAAAGAATCAGCAACAAGAAACTCTTCAGTGGAACAAACCAACAAGTGAGAGACGATTGCTCAACAAATATGTAGGAGAAAATGGTGATGGGTTGATCTGGCCTACTTTGAAGAAGCCGTCGAATGACATCACGCGCAATGCAGGCCATTTCTCGAGTGAATCCTAGTGGGAAGCCACGAGTGGGTCGTCAATAGGACGGTGACATATGGAGGAAATCGTGCGAGTTGGAAGAAGAGATGAGAGATTATGGGCGATCGTGTAGCTAGACGGATGAAGCGGACGGCAGAAGATAGAATCAAGTGGAGATGTGTTGTTAAAGCTCTATATTCCACTCGGAACCCAAGGGAATAATAATAATAATATAATCTCCATTAAGTTCACTTATTCTTTCACCCATACAATTCTATTCATTTGATAGTTCCTTCGGAGATTTTCTTTTCCTTCCCCTAACTTTTCGCGCTATATGGAATGTGACAACCTGAACTGATACAATTTTGTGCAAAGTTCTACTTTTCTCGTCAATCGTCATGAACCGACATTATATTTACAGACCCAGTAAAAATCAACGATCAATCGACTAACTATTTCGTCTTGGTCCAGGACTCTTTAAAAGTACACACACTGGTGTGTGTGGGGGGGGGGAGGGTCATTAGGTTCTATTCCCAAATGGCTGAGTAATATTTCGCTCACCTAGTAACTTGAAAATTCTGACTTCGTTCCCCGAATGGTTTTCAATTGCACACCGTTGAAGAATAAAACACCTGCCCTGTGCTCCCCTATTTTTCAATAGCTCTCTAATTGATGTCAATTAGTAGGGAATTAACTTCATCTTGAAACTAGAAGTAAATTTTTTTAACCATTTAGCCGCATCCACACACACACACGAACACTTCTGACGTATTCTTATTCTACATATTATAAGCAGCAAATTGTGTTCTGGTATTGATTACAACTCACTTAACCGGAACAACACATTTTATCACCCATATCTATTGCGTTAAGGCTTATGATAACTTCTCGGTTGCTTAAGCTGGGGTATAGGTAGATTCTAAACCAGGAGCCACTGCTAAAGCCCATTAACCGCGTATCCACGTGTATAGAACATGCTACTTACACTATGTAAGTATAAAAATCAATAACATACGTAAAACAGCGTGCGTCGGTGGCATAGCAGTTAGGACGCTCGCCGACCATGCACATGGTCCGGATTTCGATCCCCGGCCACCAACGCACTCCTTTACCTCGCTAAGCCAGAAATAAAGCTGGTAAAGAGGAAAGGTTGGGCATGAGGCTAGCAATCCCATCCTGTAAAAATAAACACCGCCACAGAAACTTTAAGCCTCTAGCTTGAAGCCCTATGTTCCCCTGGGAACGTGAAGGAATAAAAAAAGTAAAACAGAATGCACATATGATACTTATCACTAAAAAGGAAGTTAAATTAAAACTCGCCACAAGTATTTTTACTCACCTTTCTCTATTCAATATATCAATAGTGACAAGATCAGCTCTTGTCAAAGTTTGATTAATCAGCGTTTGTTTTAAGCCTAAATGTCCATCTTCTGATGGAGCAATTAACAGACGATATGTCGACGGAGGACAACCATTACCAGGTAGAAAATTAGACAGATTAAAAGCAACAGAATATTGTTGACGTAAACTATTCGGTATCAGTTGAGCTGCATTGGCTGTTAATGGAGCTAAAAATAAAGCGGGGGAATAAAAAAGAATTTTAAAAAGTTCACGATTATAGGCACAGAAATACAATATTTTATTTAATAATTATAATATTTTTAAAATAATCTGTTTTATGAGTTTGACCACGGATTGATATCAGTTAAATAACCATTGAAAACGAGCAAGGGATACTGGAAGTTGGCTGTTTTGTCCTAGTGTGGTGAGAGCTATCTCCTAGCCAAAATTGTAAACAACAATTGATGTCAATGTTTACGTCCCAAATCGGGGTCATGAGAAAAAGCAATAACAAGGCCTAACCTTGAGGAAATCGACAACCAATCACAGAAGACTTAGCGTGGGCGGATACGATTCGCACATATATGGCTTAACTTTCTAAGGAACGGTCACAAAGGGATGACAGGGGTGATAACCTTGGGTAAAAAGACAACCTATCAGAAGACGTTGCTTCTCCGCTGGCAATAATGTACATAAAAATCTATAAATATTTCTTGATTTTCTTAATAACCGATCTGTTGCCTGTCTTCTGTCGTTACACTAGTTCAGGAATTATCGGCAGCACACACACACACCGCCAGGGTTCGAACTCAGGACCTTCCGGTTACAAGGCAAGTTAGCTCATATACCATTCAGCCACTGGATCATGAATCTTCAGTGGCCAGCCTATGAATTCTAACTTCTACCAATTCGTGATTTTAGCGCGACCCTGGTTTTCAATGGCTCTCTAATGTGATATCAATCCGTGGTCAAACTTGAGAAACAAATCTAATCCTTACACACAGACTCTTGAAAATCGGCTTTATTCCAAAAACAGTACTTATAATACAGTACGGTAGAAATAAAATGAAAAATGTGCAAAGTACAAAATGATAATAATAACTCTAATAATAATAATATTAACAAAAGTGGGTTTGTTTCAAACAGTATTGTCGATTCAGTTTGGAAATTTTAGCATGTTATAGATTATTGAATCTAATGTTCTGTTGATATAGCATGGTGAAGGGAAAGACAAAAAATAACAACTATTACACAGCTTAAATGAAGTTTACACTTATGAGAAAATAAACAGAAAGAAAAGTAAGAGGGTTATAAATATAAGAAGAACAATACCAATAAAGCTTGATGGAATAAGGATGGAGAAAATGATTAATTTACTAGTGGAAATAAGGTTAGTTAGTTAGTTCATGCCTAACACTATTTTTCATCGCGTAAAATACATGCCACCAAATATGGTATCGTGGAATTTTTATACTTAGACGTGCTCGCGTATAGTCTCTTTAAATGACTTCTTGTTTTACCTAAGGAGATACAAGGTGAAAGCTGCGGGTGCTGCAGTGAATGCTTACAGTCTGACAAAATTCCTTTAGCGAATTTGTTGTATGAAATCAAGTGCCTATCAATGACCACTCGCCCTACCGACAGACTTCAGAGTTCTACGACATAGTATGACATAGTCTTGCCTAATCCAGGAAAGAATAAGGGTGAACAATAAAGAAGAATAGGTAAGATACAAGAATTGACAAACTGTAGGAGGAGGCGTTGAGTTATGCCCTAGTGCCTTAACTTTCTGCTTTCTTTTTAAAGGAATAACACCTGTTGTGAGACATTTTTATGAGTTTATATGTAGTCTTTATGAAAGTTAACCGGTTTCAAACTGGTTTTCCTGCTAGCTGACATTAGTGTGCAGCTGTAAGCTGAAGTCGAATCATGTAGTCTCATGGCGACCTTGCTTACAATTCAACAGTTCAGTGAGAATCCCCTAGGGAATGCTTTAATCTCCTACCGATTAGCCATGAGTTAGTTGGTTTTATTAAGTTACGTAGATTGAGATGGCTAGGTCACGTGCTGCGCATGCCTAACCATCGCCTCCCCCGACAGACGGGCATTACTAGGTGATATAGGTGCAGGTTGGAAAAGAGTGAGTGGTGGCCAAACAAAAACATGGCATCAGTCCATGAAATCCTTGACAGTTAAACTGAGTCAGGTAGGGAGATGCAGACTTCCGGGTTGGGGCCCTCGGGACTCTAAGAATCAATGGCTGGAGACAATAGGTGAGTGACATGGCTGAAAATCGTTGTCAATGGCTAGTGCAGATGTATTCAGTCTCTGTAATCTTTCATATTCCTTTCTACCATTACTCATTCTGTTTCACTCTTATACTTGTCAAAACTCTATTGATTCTCTTCACTCTTCTTCTTGTCTACCTTTGTGTGCTATTTGGAACGTGGCAACTCGAACTGTTGCTTTTCGGTGCCAAGTTCTATGTTGAATCCAGACAGACAGACAGACAGGCCTTAACTTTTTAATGTGAAAAGTCAGACGGAATATTTTTTTGGAAATCACGAAGACATGGGAGGACCAGGATATATCAGAAGAAAAAATTACTCCAACACACTTAACGTCAGACATGATTTTTACGTCAGTATCATCAATTTTACAACGGTCATAGAAATTAACAGCTTTATTTAACTTTCTTTTACATCAGAAACTGGAATTAACAGCCTGACGTTTGGAAGAATTCAGTTTAAGACCATTAGATAAAGACTATATGCTTACTCCTAATGGAAGGCTGTTCATCTTCGTACAGTCTAACGGGAAGTTAACAGGCATTGAAATAGTTAGATAGTCCGCATACTTAACAAGGTTCATTTCATCGTCAGAGTGAGGCAAGTCATGCAAGGAGAAAGAACAGCGCCTTGAGGGACGCCAGCCTCCGTAAGCAATGAAGTGGACAACTTCCCCTGATATACAATGTACTGCTTTCTTCCTGAGAAATAAAAATGCAGCTGCCAGTTGACAACCCAACAGTCAATTTGAATTTCAGCAAGCTTAATTAACAAAACATCTCTAGGTACTGAGTCAAAAGTAGATGTGTAATCCAGGAAGGCGCAGAGAACAAATTTAGCCTCCTTGTCTAAACTAGAGACGATGTTATGATGCAAGACTGCAGCTGCATCTAAAGTGCTTCTATTATGTTTGTAGGCAAATTGTTTGGAGTCGTTTACGGCTCTAATTGAAGGTTCAAGATTAAGATTTAATTACACTATTCTCTAAAAGATACAAAAGCGTTATTCCATACTTTTCCTTTGCGTTTCCAGTGGAACATAGGGCCTCAAGCTAGAGGTTTGAAGTTCCAGTAGCAGTGGTGTTTATTTTTACGGGATGGGGTTGCTAGCCAGCCTCATGCCCAACCTTCCCTATTTACTGGTCTTTTTACTGGTTTGGCGAAGTAAAAAAGTTCGTCGGTGGCCAGGGATCGAGCCCCAAACCACATGAGGTGTGTTAGGCGAGCATTCTACCGCTGTTCCACCGAATCACAATTCCATACTAGATAAATTTATTCGATATAACACATAGTGAGTGTAATTATTATTCCTTGGGTTCCAAGTGGAACACAGGGCTTAAACAACACATCTCCACTTTCTTCTATTTTCTGCTGTCCTCTTCAGCTGGATCCGCAGTTGCCCATTTCCTCTTATATCGTCCTTCTTGCCACACAATCTCCTCCATGTCACCCTCGCACTGACCATCCCCACTCGTCACTTCCCATTGGGATTCCACTCGAGTAATGGCCTGCATTGCGCGCGATGTCATTCGATGATCCCCTCAGTGACGTATACCCAATCCATCTTCATTTTCTCCTACATATTTGTTGAGCAGCCGGCTCTCGCCTGTTGGTTTGTTTCACTGAGGAGTTTCATGTTGCTAATTCTTTCCGATTGGCTGACTGACCATTTGATCTTCAATATGGAGTCAACCATCGAAGGTGGTAGCTGTTGGTAAAAAGTATGTAGAAGATTTCCAAACTGGTTTCATTTTGATGAAGGCGTATCTTGCCTTTCCGTGATACAATGGATAACAACATTTTGAACGGAATTCACTGCTACTACTCATTATCATATCATAGCTTGTATTATTTTCTTCCCTCCACCCTTTGCTCCACACCCAGTTTCTATTGCAGTCTTCCATATATATCCAGGATGATTTCATCTTCTATTAAAGGGACTAATTGTTTTAAAGCCTAACTATTGGTTGAGGTCAGTTAGTGTACAGTAAATTTTGATTAGTCCATTTCTAGAACGGGGAGGTGTCCGTTGATCCAATCCACTTTATCTAACATTATCAAATACCACATGAAATAATTTGACTAAATGACTTCTTGACTGCCTGAAACAGAAGAAGCATCAGTGTTGCGTGACCAGGGACTAGGGGACAATTGCTTGAAGCCCGTGTTACACGTCCCTTATGAAGTGGTTCCTAGAGTTGTGTCTGTATTAGGATCTTACCGTCGGTAGCTCTACGGACCTCGAAAACGTAAGTCCAGATGCACAACTTTAGAGGTCGGCCTTTTCTAACCAACCATCCAACTACTTTCCAGAACGGAGAGGTAGTATAGCTGGCTTACTAGTCATCTGACGGAAACACCACAGTTCTGTTACAAACCTACCCCAGCATCAGTACAGCTTCACCCACAGACACCTAATATAGTGTGAACAACTCACACTACGCTAAAAATTGCTTTTAGTCTAACCACTGTCTAGTTGACCTTTCTGACATGGTAGGATCAGTAGCTCGTTGGGTGGCTGCGATATACAAGCTCGTCCACCACGTCATATAGCTATTATGAGAGATTCGTGTGCTTTTGGAAGTGTGTTGGCGGCTTTTACTTCCCGGCAGGCCACAAACACCATAGAAGGACTACAACGTCAACGTAGCAGCTATGAAGTAAACACAGACAATATACGGAGAACACTGACAACAAGAAAAGAACACAGAATGAATTAATAACTTACCAGAGCCTAATGTAGTCCATGAAGTGACATCAGTCAATGAACTGTTGCCAACTTTATTTTCAGCTTTCAATTGAAATTTCACTGTGGTAGCACAAGTTAAATTTGACAAGTAGTAGGTACGTTGATCTGCTGACAGACGAACAGTTTCCATTTGTCCTGTATGCAAATTTGTCCAATTTAAATAGAACCATAGGATAGGTGCATCAAGTCGTTTCGAGCCTGGCGACAACCATTCAGCTTGTATACCACGTAGACTTGGTGTAAATTTATGCCAGATAGGTTTACGTGGTGGTTCTAGTCAAAAATATATGTAAGAAAAAAGGCAGGTAAACAATAAAAACACAAAAAATGAATACTTTTCAAGAGTTTGTTTGTAGGGATTTGATTGGGGTTTCAAGTTAGTTTAGGGATCGATGTCGGTTAGAGAACCATTGGAAAACCATTGAGGAGTACTGGACAGAGGCTTCGCCCTAGTTTTGGGGTTCGTAAGCGCAGTACGGACCCATCGGGGTTCAAATGCAAGGCGATATCGTGGACTACTTAACTAAGGGGACGCGATCCAATGTCCTAAGAATTTCAACTTCTACCAATTCGCGACTGGCACCAGCCAATGTCATCGGTCTGTATTTTTTTCCTCACGCCTGATGTGGTGGACTCCAGGCAACATTGTCCTATAGCCAGTCACTAGAGAGCATCAGATTAAATTTCAAGGGCTAGTTCATGGGGATTTGATTTGTTTTTCAAAATCGATCACGGATCGATAACAGTTAGAGAACCATTGGAAAACCTTTAAGGAGTATTGGATATCTGTTTCGTCCCAGTCTGAGACTCTTCAGTAGTGTGTCATATAGTCTACGAGTTTGCCACGTAACATAAAGGTTCTAGGCTCAAACCCCAATGGATGCGTACTGATGAACAGTCACGGTAACTAGTAAAAGTCAAGTATTCCCTACTGGTCTTTCTAACGGTTCTCCAAGTGATGGTAATGCTGGTGACCATGCTCGAACAACTCTTTGCTAAATTTATTCACGAGTTTGACCACGCACGGATTGATATCAGTTAGAGAACCATTGAAAACCAGCCACAAGAAGTACTGGACAGCTAGCTGTTTCCTCAGTCTAGTTTGGGATTCATCGGCAGTGCACACCCACCACAGGAGTTCGACCTCATGAACTTCCGCTTACAAGGCGAGCTAGCTCGTAGACCATTCAGCCACTGGGACCCGATTCAATGGCTAGCCCATGAATTCTAACTTCTACCAATTCGTGATATTTAGCGCGATCACCAACCAATGTCATCGGCAGGAATCTCATCCTCACACTTGACTGGATGGACCTCACTGATCACGACTACTTTTTACTGGAACTCCAGGAAGTTAGAATTCACGGGCTGACTGGCCATTGAGGAGTCGGGTCCCAGTGGCCAATTGGCGTACGAACTTGTCTTGTAACCGGAAGGTCATGGGTTTAAACCCTGGCGGTTGGGTGTGTACTGCCGATGATTCCCAAACTAGGCTGACGAAACAGCTGTCCAGTACTCCCTGGTTTTCAATGGTTCTCTAGGTGATATCAATCTGTGCGTGGTCAAACTCGTAAAAACAAATCTAATCGTTACAAACCAACTCTTTACTGAATTTATTCAGCAAGCAACATTATTTAAAAACTTCAACATGACAATATGTATATAATAAGGGTGTAATTAGTCAGTGTCAACTAGTCAATTGTAAAAGTCATTAACAAAAGTCTAGTCACAAATGTGCTAACTAATTAACAAACTAAGTAACTAAAATAGGGTCATATTGAAAAAGGCTAACGCATTCGAGGTCAAAGTAGAGATGGAAATCTATGGCAGAAGTGGAGGGTAAAAGATAATTACATATAATTAATACCTGACAATCTTAGTTAGTTTGAATATAATAAAACTCGAAGTAAGTGCTTAGTGGATTTTTAAACTCAGATATATTCTTGAATAGTTAACGACCTAGCCTTGTGTAACCTAAAAGTTCCGGACTCAATTTCCAGCAAAGTCTAGATTACGCATTATTTTGCTGAAGAGTTCCAGCGAACTGTGACGAATAAGCTGTCTAGTGTGCTGTCTGGTTCTCAGTATAACTCTACAACACTGGTAGCGTGTTGGTTTGTGATTAAAAATCTAATCATTGAAATTATTCGGAATTTCTACAAAACCTAGAATCTCTAAATGTCAATCTTCAGATCTTCTGCAGTTTGGTTTGTAAGGGTTAGTTTTGCTGTTTTTATGAGTTGATCACGGATTGATATCAGTTAGAGAACCATTGAAAACCAGCCACAGGGAGTACTTGACAGCTAGCTGTTTCATCAGCCTAGTTTGGGAATCATTGGCAGTACACATCCAACCACCAGGGTTCGAACCCATGAACCTCCCGTTACAAGGCAAGCTAGCTCGTATACCACTCAGCCACTGAATCCCAACTCTTTACTGGGCAGTCCATCAATTCTAACTTCCTGGAGTTCTATTGAGAAGTAGTCGTGATCAGTGAGGTCCATCTAGTCAAGTGTGAGGATGGGATTCCTTCCGATGACATTGGTTGGTGGTCGCGCTAAATATCACGAATTGGTAGAAGTTATAATTCATGGGTTGGTCATTTCATTGACTCCCAGTAGCTGAATGGTATATGAACTAACTTCCATTGTAACCGGAAGGTCCTGGGTTCGAACCCTTGTGGTGGGTGCGTACTGGCGATGATTCCCAAACTAGGCTGATGAAACAGATAGCTGTCCAGTACTCCCTGTGGCTGGTTTTCAGTGGTTCTCTAACTGATATCAATCCGCGACCAACTCGTAGAAATCTTCAGATTACTGGAGGCTACTGGATGAATGTTCTGAAATTCTGATGCGATGTCACGGTCAGTAGGTTAGATTATGTCAAGGCAAAGTGGATGCTCACCGAAAGAATTGGTGAGGGCAGTGCTACATATCATAAGTCGACAAAGTTTGAATTTGGATTACAGATTTTGTAGACTTCGTCACGAACTAGTCGAGAGGCGATATGTTTGTTAACAATAATTAGTCGGCATCAACATACCATGGGGGTGGATAATTAGCCCAGAAAATTAATGCAACAAACAATTAGAGGGTAGAAATGACTACTGCAACAAGCAAGTAGATTGCATAATGCATAATTTGGGGGGAGGGGTAAAATAAGAGAAGCGAATACGAAAGAAATAAGTATTCAAGTTGACTAGGTAATATGCGATTAGAGACGAAGTAGTAAAAAAAAATGAAATAATTCAGACAATGATATCAGTCATTACATTCATGTAATGATGGCCAAGATAAGGAAAGTGGCTGCACAAAATATCCTCTGAATGTACAAGTTCGACTTCTTCAGGTGGATTCCGATGTCTTCAGATGTACACAGAAGATGAACTCATAAAGCAAACTTCAGATTAGTTAGGATGCTTTCTATTGTGAAATTATAATCTCCAGTGAGGGAATTAGATCAAAGGTGTGAATACATGAACTAATAATAATAATAGTATTAAATGCAATTAAAATATTTGTGATTATAATCATAGTTAAATGTCAAGTAGCAAAACAATTAATGTCATATATAGAATAATTCATAGGATGTATAGAACCTGAAAAGGGATGCACTTTACCAACCCTGACCATGATTTTAAGATCATATACCGAATCCATGCTAACTTGCCAGCCGCGTTTTCTTCGTTAGAGACTTCTAAAGACAGTGGAGGCCTTAGCCATTGATGAATTTAAGCCAGACCTTTGTGTACAAAAGAAGCAAGTGCAGTCCCTATTTCTGTCTTGACCATAGAGGAATAGCCATTTATTTATTTTGTTTATTTAGTTATTCTATGTACCTTTACTTCATTACTATGATTATTATTATTATTACTACTATTCTCACTCTGAATTGTTTCCGCTTGTCCCACTTGTCATTCGAAATTCAAAATGTTTTTACAATATTGAATTCTATTTTATCAAATTTCACACCATGTTATGTAACCTTTTATATTAGCCTACCCTTATCCAACATCTATACATCTTATGAATTATTCTATATATGACATTAATTGTTTTGCTACTTATTAATGTATGTGTAAAACTTGGGCACTGTGGTAGTAAGTAATTCCATATTAGTTTGTTTATTAGATGTATCACACAGTGAAACAGTATTATTACTTACTGGATGACGTTTCGAACACAATTTATTACTGTTCATAATCATACCATCAATTATAATCACACGACTTCGAAACTTGAGTTTTATAGTTTTCTTTATTCTCTACTGTTTGTCGTCCTCGGTGTAATAGAACTTTCCAGATATCTGGGTGGACAGGTGTTGAATCATCCCTATTACACGTATTCTTTATCAGTCGATTCGATAAGTAAAGCTTTCATTACCAGTCTCTCCCTCCATCCTGCTGTTACATTAGATTTTAAAACTGTCATCTTATCCCATCCCATCCTGTTGTATGGTTGTGTGTAATCGAATGTGGTGTAGCGTTACAGCTGGACTATTCCCCAGATTTCTTATCTTATTTGGGTCAACCAATCTAGATTTTGCTAGGTTTTATGCTCGGCTAGTCCGACTGCACCTGTTCTACTACTTCAACCTATGCATTTGAGCTGACAATCATCACAGGCTTGGTATTAGATAAACTAAATTGTTTTGTTTTAAAGGCTCCACACGATTGATCCTTTAACCGACAAAGCCTGTTTCTAATTGAGTTTGTGGGTTTGAATGCCAGCCACTTTTATTCCTGCCTACATTGTTAAGAATTCTCCGTGATGTTTCCGAGGTTCCTTCCTTGTATGGAAGTACTACTGGTGATTTGTATTCCTTATTGTTGGTGTTGTCTTGCGCATATTTGACATGCATGTCGTCGTTATTATTAATATTTGTTTTGCTACTTGATATTTATTAACATGATTTTGATCACAAATATTTTAATTGCATTTCATACTAGTACTATTAATTAATGTATTCATACCTTTGATCTAATTCCCTCACGGGATTTAATTTCTTAAAAACCATAATATATACAGTTGTACAGCTTGATAATAAATTCGTTGAAAAGAGTCTCTTCGCTGAATGTATTGTGTTCTTAATGCTACAATGGGAATTATTAAATTATAATCCATCGCTGTACTCAAACTTCACATTAACATTAAAGCTGGAATTCAAAGGTCACTGAATAATAGTCCAAATATCTGAACGGTCAGTCAACAAACTGGACTTATATAACCTGAAGGTTTAAAGTTCGATCCCTCGTAGGGTCGTCAGTAAACACAGTGGAAGTGTTGCGAAACTAGGACGAAACAGCTGTTCTTAACTGATTATTGGTTCGTGACAAAATCTACACTGAAATCCTTAAGCGCAAATTCTACATTGATCTCAGGATATGATTCAATGAATTCAAAGTGAAGAAGCATACTTTCTCTTAATTTATTCGTTGTTGTTGATTATACTACTCATAAGTAGTTAATATCTTTTAGCACAATTTTTCGACTGTCTCTTTTGATAATTTGATTAGCCGATGTAACGATGTGATAACATACAACTTAAATTTACGTCTTAGATACTCTTATATCACCTCACATGTAAGCATATAATCTATATTCATGATTATTGAATATATAGAATATATAGCAACCGTTTTGCTTATTAGCAGTGAAAGTTGGCCAAAGAGATAGGCAGGGAAGACAGAACTTCAAGTGAACATAGATAAAACAGAAATGATGGAGACACCTCACCACCGCTACCACCACCACCACCAACAACAAAAAGCACCAATCACCGTGAACGGGATAAATTTGAAAGAGGTCACTTCCTTCACTTATCCAGACAGCATCGTTCCGACTACAGGCAAGCGGAACGGATGAGGATGACAAAACCAGAATCAGAAGGTAAGACACATCTTCATCACTCTGAAATCAGTTTGGAAATCTATTCCACTTTGTAAAATGAACAAAAATTCAGGTTTTCAATAACAACGTTAAGTCAGTCAGGGCTTCTATATGGGGTCTGGTGCTAGCGTCACAGAAAGCATTTCCAATAGCCAGAGCTCCAACAGCTGCCTTCGCTGGCTCCATACTGAAGACCAGATAACCGCAAAAGATTACCAATAAGAAACTCCGGTAACGAAATGACCAACAACCTGCTGCTTAACAAATATGTAGAAGAAAATGGAAATGGTGTGGATAGACGCTGAAGCGACCGTTTGGTGATGTCATCTTACACCTCAGGCCCTCAAGTGGAACCCGAGTAGAAAACGACAAGTTGGGCGTATCATGGAGGAAATTATGTGGGTAGGACATGACAGCTTATGAGCAATCATTGAGCCAGCTAAGGAGGATAGGAAGCAATCGGAAAAAATCAGGATGCGTTGTTGAAGCCCTATGTTCCACAAGGAATCCAAGGGAATAATAAAAAGTTTTTACGAGTTGATCACGGATTGATATCAGTTAGAAAACCATTGAAAACCAGCCACAAGGAGTACTGGACAGCTATCTGTTTCATCAGCCTAGTTTGGGAATCATCGGCAACACGCATCCACCCCAACTGGATTCGAACACAGGACCTTCCGGGTCCCAGTGGCTGAATGGTATACGAGCTAAATAACCTTGTAGCCAGAAGGTCCTGGGTTCGAACCCAAGTCAGGTGGGTGCGTACTCCCGATGAATCCGAAACTAGACTGTTGAAACAGCTAGCTGTCCAGTACTCCCTGTGGCTGGTTTTCAATGGTTCTCTAACTGATATCAATCCGTGCGTGATCAACTCGTAAAAACAAAATAATATATTTAAAACTTCGCTATTACATTAAAGCGGATAAGACTACAGAATATACTGGAGAAGATTTCTAGCTCAAGTTGATGATTTCAGCATGGTTGTGTTAAGGTTAGGTTTGGATGGATGATTTAGTGGCGAAGCTTTCAGTTTCTTATTGGACAACATCGTCGGAGTAAAATTCAATTTGAAGTTAGCTATAATGATACTCTAATACTACAATAATAATAATAATGGTACCCTGGTTACAATTCCCATATTTAGTTTATGGTATTTCAAGTTGTTATATTCTGCGATCTGAACGGTTTAACAACGAGACGTTTCATTGTCCACCTAGACAGTATCTTCAGCGCTAACTTTAGCGGTGAAGTTGGGTATTCCAATACGGGAAAATTTTCAAGAGTATAGTTTGCAAGGATTAGATTTGTAAATGCATATAAACATAACTAACCCTTACAAAACAAACTACAGAAAATAATAAATAGTAATAATAAAATAACGAATCTTGCATTAATTCCACTTCATCTAAATAATATCAAGCATTGGGCATTAGGGATATCTTACTCTTCATTAGGTCTAAAGCTTATTCGCTTTCAGGTATTGGCTTGTAGGGATTCGGTTGATTGGTTACAGGGTTTCATCATAAGCTGACATTGGTTAGACAATCATTGGAAAACCAGCTGGGAGTACTGGACAGCTGTTTCGTCCCAGTTTGGGACTCTTAATCAGTATGCACCCACCGGGATTCGAACCCATGACCTTCTGGTTACAAGGCTAGTGAGCTAGCTCGTAGACCATTAGGCAAAGTACGCACCTACCAGGGTTCTTAATGGTCTACGAGCTCGCCTTGTAACCAGAAGGTCCTGGGTTCGAACCCCGGTGGGTGGATACTGATGAAGAGTCCCAAACTGGGACGAAACAGCTGTCCAGTACTCCCAGGCTTATTGGTTTGTTGTCAGAACTTTCATCTTATCGAGTTATTCTACATACTACTTGCATCTGTGTATGTAAGTAGCACCATGTTAATTATAGAAAAATAAAAGTAAAGTATGATATTTTGCATTGCAAGCACATACATTTAAAAATAGACAATTTTAACAATACTTACCTTCAAGAATTTCTAGAGGAAAAACAAGAGAAAAGTGAAAGGGAAAAAGAAAGTGAAAATCAGAGAGAAACAAACCAAGCAATGGATTGAATGTAAATAGGTGAGCAAAAAATCCGATAATCAATCTCACCAATAGTTAGGATACTAACACATAAGGAGGATACAATTCAATAACTGCGCATAACTAACTATACATTCGCATTCAGGAAAACTGGACAGACTCATCATCAGCACCATCTGAATCTTTCACAAGGCAAGAAGTGCCAAGAAGTGTATGTAAGGCATCCAACACTGTAGTTCCATTATGGGTAAAAATTATTTTGATAAAGTCTCACAGAGTGTTGTTATACAGTTATACAGTTACTGATGATAACCGCGTTTCGAGCACAATTTATTACTACACTGCTTATCGTCATCATATAAAGGCAGTACTCACTCACACAACTTTCTAACTCCGTTTATATGATTCTATTATTTCATATCTCTTTTTATTTGATTGGTAATAATATCTTCCATAAATATCTCTGGTATTCACGTTGAGTCATTTCTATTGCGCATATGTTGGGTGTAGACTCAATGAACAAGGGATTCAGTAATCAACCACCTCTCTCTCTCCACCTACCTGTATTACCTCTTAGAATTTTAACCCTCTCCCACCGTATTGTGTCGTTGTGTGTTAATGCATGTAGTGCAATCGCTGAGCTTTTTCCTAAATTACTTATCTTCGCTAGTGGGGGCAACCATTCTTACCTCAGCTAAATTGTTATGTTCTGGAAACCTGACTACCCCCGCTCGACCTACTAGTTTGACCTATGTAGTTGACCTCACTCACAGTCATTGCAAGGTATTTTATAAATTATATTATTTTGTTTAATTGGGTCAACCTACAGGGTCCTTTAGCCTACAGAGCTTGTCCCTGAGTGAGTTGGTAGGTTTAAATGCCACCCTAATTCCTGCTTTATTAAGAATTCTACGTAAGGTCTCAGATGTCCCCTCCTTATATGGTATAACTGCAGATACCTCGAAACGTGGTCATCAGTAAATACTACTGTATAACAACACTCTGTGTGATTTTATCAAAATAAATTTTACCCATAATGGAATTATACTCTACCACCACAGTGCACAAGTTCTATTCTTACATAAATTATCCTATTGTAGAGCAACCAGTTGGGTGTCCTCTTCCTCCCCCCCTCCGCCGCCGAATGTTGGTGATTCAGTGGTACAATATGCTCTCTCACTAGCTACACTCTAATAGATCTACGTATGGATTTACGGAGTCGATGCACTACGCTTAACCCTCGTATAATCTACTAGTCGATAGTGATAATTCCAGGAAAAAAGACAGAATGTTACACGTGAAGGCGATCGACAACATACACACACACACGCACACACCGTAAACTCATCATCGCTACTGAAACTTCAAATTTCAAGCCCATACTTGTTCCACCACTCAAGACTCAAACGGATGAATACTACTAATAGTTAGGATAAGCAAGGGAAATATATCTGCCATTATTTATTCTGACGAAGACTCAATCAGGTCTAAACAGAGACAGACATACAAAGCGAACGGGTTGACATTATACAATCATCATATTTGTGACCTCCGGCTGATATCGCATGGAATGAATTGACCAGCTTCATTTTGATAAATTAAACTCCATCTGCTAGCCAGCCACCGGCCAAACAATAAATCCTCCCTCCGTTCAAGGAGGCCGATTGAGCTTAAATAAGGTTGATCGTTGATTGTTCAGTGAAGAAATATTAAAGTGAAACCATAAGAATAAGCAAGAAATAATGTTAAACTACACTAGTTGCACAACAGGTGGCTCTCGAGTGTCTTAGTAGCCTAGTGGTGGGTTTGAAGCTACTGGTGCTGAGTTCGAGTCCTAGTCAGAACACCATAACTCAATGATGTGCAAGCGGTACATCCAACTGATTTCTCTCAAACAGGACGAAATGAGCCTTGGATTCAACCACTAACCAGCATCGAAAGAGTAACTCTGAAGATGATATTTATTGACAATAAAACTAAGAAGTCACTTGCAATTTTAATGACAGAATGTCATTTGGTTATTGGCTACTATCATTAGAGCAGTTCGATCTAAGCAATCAACTTTCAATCAACCAATCAACAGTGTTTGAGCATTTCTTTCTATCTAAGGCATGTTGGGCGTCTCGCTGACAAATTTCGATAGGCACGAAATTTAATTCCAAGTCTTGGCTTTAGACTGTTCCCAGGCGTCCGATATTAACTACTAAGGTGGCTGTATAATGAATGAGTTTGATTTACCGATGAAGAAATGTTAGAATCAAAAGATAAACCGTAACATTAATATCGCCTTTGAATATTTTCTAAATGAACCCAAGCTTCGTACAACATCATGGTCCAGTGTTTAAAGAGGGAGATAACTTGTAGGAAGTCTATCTGAAATTTTTCCGCACAAACTACTGAATCTGAGAATGATACGCAGTATACACTGCTGGATGTAGGCAATACTATAGAGATAGCAGTGACACCGACAGTACACTCTCAAATGAAACAAGACGACATGTTTTAAAAGCATAGAACGCAGACTTACTAATGTTCACAGAGTGTTAAAGGTGGCTCGAATAGGTACTAACTGATACAATCTTTACACACTTTCGATATACGATTAGAACGTTTATTGAACAAATTCCTATCGGTGCCAAAAAAGGTGATTAACGGAGATACCTTAATCTAATGACTGTCGAACTTTTTGACAAGATCTCTTCACCAACGCACATCAGTAAGACAACCAGGAAGCATAGGTTGCTGCTTCATCCTAGTTGGGGTCACTTTATCAGTGCATACCCACGACCCCAACGGGGAGGAGTGAACTCAAAACCTTCAGGCTACAACCTGCACATGTTAGTATTCTTGCACCATTGAGTCGGAATCCAAAGATCAGTGACTATGTGGTGAGAGCTGACTGCAAGCCAAAATTGTAGGCAACAATTTATGTGATTTTTCACGTCCCAAATCGGGGTCATGAAAACAAGACAAGAACAAAGTCTAACCTTGAGGAACTCAACAACCAATCACAGAAGACTTAACGTGTGCAAATACGATTCGCAGATATATGGCTTAACTATCTAAGAAACGGCCGCAAAGAGATAACAGAATAACCTTCAGCAAGAAAACAACAAATCAGAAGACGCTGTTTCTCCACTGACAATAATGTACACAGAAATCTATAAATATCTCTTGATTTTCTCAATAAACGATCTGTTGCGTGGTCCTTGTCTTCTGTCTTTACAACTAGTTCTTATGTCTGTGCATTCAAAATACATGTAAATATATATATAACAATATTTCAATATAAAATAAATTCATTTGAAATACATATATAATTAATTACCTTGAACAAGTAAATCGTATGTTATACTATCTGAATCAGCTGAACACTTATAATGTCCACTGTGAGCAACACGAGCAGATTCTACAGTCAATGTACCATTGTCGAGAATATGTAAATCACTGTAAAACAACAGAATAAAAAAATAAAAGGAATAAAGGGAATCATAAACGTTAATTTATAAGAAAAACAACAAGTCATGTTATCTTATTGGATTAACGGCGGACGCGCGCGCTTCACCATATATCTGGATGAAACACGTCAGATAACTAACTGCTCTTTGATCTCACTGAGAAATGGTTTCTAGCCCCCGCCCTCATCTAATGCTCAAAACCTAGCATCTTTCAATTCAACACATCGAAGACCGTTGTCTACTAAGACTTGTGACTCAGTCATTAGCTTTGGTGCAGATATATCTAAATGGCAAATTCCACACTTAGAACGAGAAATGTGCATCCAGGGATTTTCCACTGATAACCCTCATCAACCACTAGCAGACAATATCATCTTGTTAACACACCTTGAAGCATCATCATAATCAAAGCCTTCGTACTAGGCAAAGACCGAGAGCCTCCTTGTTCAGTAAAATCAATAAACGTGGATTTCAAAAAAAAATCATTTCACTAGGTAAATATACAATCTGAGTTAAATTAGGTAAACAAGATCGAGTTTGTTGTGAACTTGAATCGTCGATCATAGATCAGTGTTTTTGTCTACAGTATTATTGAGTTATTAAAACGAATAATAATAATATTGAAGGAATTCTGGACAATTAAGCTTGAAGTGATAAAATATGATATTCACAAAAACAAAAATGACTACAGGCAAATCCACGAAATCTATAAAGTTAGTGCTCACACAAACACACACACACACGAACAAACACAATTAGTATACTGAATACGATCCTATTTTTTTTTAAAACGTAACAATAGACCCGAAAATTCCTCTGTTCATTATATCTGTGAATATAAACCCAATTTGATTGGTTAAAGGATTTCATCATGAGCTGACATCAGTTGGAGAACCATTGGAAAAACTTGCAGGGAGTACTGGACAGTCAGCCGTTTCGTCCAGATGAAGAGTCTCAAACTAGGACAACAGCAACAGCTGTCCAGTACTCCCTGAAGGTTTTTCAATGGTCCTCTAACTGATGTCAGCTCATGATGAAATCCTCCAGCCAATCAAACCCAATTTCATTAAAAAAAGGAATTATGTGTACAAAGCAGCGGACTTGTACTTCAAGGACACATCAAAAATCGACACGAGCATCCTCTACAATACGGGAAGCTAGGAAATTTGTGAAGTTACTTAGAAGATGATCAGGAAAGCTTTGTGTGCTTATGGAAATGTGTGATAGATTATTACTTCCCAACTGCCCACATCATGGAGTTTGGTTTTTTCATGAGGTACCTGAAACAGAAGCAGCTTTGGTACTCCGTGAACGCAGAGTTCAAGGCACAACTTCCTGAGATCAGTAACAAACGACCTGTTTGAAAATTTTGAAAGTACCAACCTCCAATATGCTGCCATCGATATACATGCATATACACAAAACGTATTTGTACATCACTGATCCTCTCTGTTGATGTTTTTCTCTTCCTCAACTGCTTCATTATTTCTCCTAATGTTCTCAAATAGGAAACTCCTTGCTCAACTAGACTTCAATAGACAGTCTCTATGATGCTATTTGACCAAATGATGAACAGCGACCAAGCAGTCTGGGACAACCAATCAAACTGTAGCTTCATATGCACAATTTCATTGCGACCATGTTTTTCAGTTAGAGTTAGCGCCCAAATTTAGCTAGATTACTATATTATATTATTATTGTTTCCTTTAGTTCCTAGTGGAACATAGGGCTTCAGCCGCACGTCGCCATAGCGCCAACGTTTTCACCTGGCTCCACGTCTGCCCGCATGCTTTCATCTCCTCTTCGCACCACCTCTTCCTCCTCCATGTCACCCTCGCACTGACGACCAATTCGCCACATCCAATCCGGCCAGGTTCCACTCGAGCGATGGCTTAGCTTGTGATGCCACTTGATAGTTTGTTTTCTCAGAGTATGGCCAACAATCCACTCCCATTTCTTCCTGCTTATTTGTTGCACAGTTGGTTCCTGCTGGGTTGGTTCGCTCATTGCCAGAGATCCCTGTTGCTGATCTTTTTTGGCCAGCCATTTGATCTTGAGTAGTATTGAGCGAAGACAACTATTGATGAAGGTTTGTAGTTTGTTCGAAGTACTCTTAATGACGCGTCAAGTCTCTGATCCATAAAGTAGCGCTGACTTCACATTGGAGTTGAAAATCCGCAACTTTTTTTCATGCTGAGTGATGTTGACATCCACATAAACTTGAGAGAAATGAAAGCTTGCTGCATCGCTCTGGAGAGAATCAAACACGCCCTGGATGAAAACCTTCGACCGGAACAGGCTGGATTCAGGAGGAACAAGTCATGCATCAATCAAATCGCAACACTATGGATCATCAGTGAACGGAGTTTGGAATGGCAGTCAGCTCTCTACCTCGCTCAACTTCATTGACTTTGAAAAGGTCTTCGACAGACAGCGTCGATCGAGAGGTGATTTGGCAACTACTTCACTACTACGAGGTACCGTCAACAATTACACATCTCATCCAACAGTTTTTGTACGACAATGCTGCATGCCAAGTAATCCACAACGGGAAATTCACAGAATCCTTCGAAGAAGTGAAGATGGGAGTAAGACAAGCTGGCTGGCTGCATACTATCTCCAATGATTAATTTCCTGATTGGGGGCGGTAGACTGGATAATGCCACAGACAGTGAGCAGCGAGGAAATAAGCATAATTTAGCTAGAACCGTTATTACAATTTAAGTAAGATATTTGAGATGAAGGCCTTTTAAAGACAGGGAAATACATTGATAAACAGCTCCTTCAAATGAAGAAGAGAGCTCATGTATAAAAAGTGGTTAAGTCTGTCAATTAGAATTTCACTGACGAATTAGGAGATTTTTGTACAATGCGTAAAAAGATTGTTTATTATTATTCCCTTGGATTCCAAGTGGGAAATAAGGGGCGGGGTGGCTTCATCCTGTTCTCTACAGTTGTCTCTAGCACAGAGATTCAATGATCACAGATAAGCTCTAATCTCCTCCTCACACGATCTCTCCTGCATATCATCCTCTGACATGTAACTCACTGCTTCCCATTCCGGTTCTATTTGAGAGCCAACCATCTCAACAGTATTCAAATGTTGGTTCGTAGGGATTTGATTGGTTACAGGATTTTCATCATGAGCTGACATTAGTTAGAGAACCATTGGAAAACATGGGAGTACTGGACAGCTATTTCGTCCTAGTTTGGGACTCTTCATCAGTACGCACCCACCGGGATTCGAACCCAGGACCTTCTGGTTACAAGGCGAGCTCGTAGACTATAAAGCCACTGGGACCCGGTGGATGTGTACAGTGAAGAGTCCCAAACTAGGACGAAACAGCTGTCCAGTACCCCAGTACTGGTTTTCCAACGGTTCTCTAACTAATGTCAGCTCATGATGAAAATCCTGTGACCTCAACAGTCTTCTCAGTGCGTTTGTTCAATCCATCTCCATGATGAATAAATTGCTCTTTATTCTTTTATTCCTTATCCACTGATAAAATTGATTATTATTATCACAGGAACAATAACAATACTTAGCACACAAGACAAGATTCGAATTATCAGTACTAATGTCAAATCAGCCAGTGGTTTAATATGATTCGCAGACTTAGTGCCAACGTTACCAAAATCATTTCCGATAGACTGTTACAGGACAATTGTCTTCTCTGACTCAATACAGAAGATTAAACGAACAGTTGGAAGAGATAAACAACCAGGAACTCTCCCTGGTAGGCAGTGAAACAGCCAAAAATCTGTCACTCATCGAATATGCAGAAGGAAATGGATATAAGTTTGGCATTCGCTGAGACGACAGCTGAGAGACATCGGGAGAGAAGTCCTACAGTGACACCCTAATAGGAAGCGACAGATTAGGCAGATTAGCCGAGAGTGATACGCAGGAAATCATGTGAAATCATGAGGGGATGAAAGCTTGCGAGTATTTATGGAACCGAGTGGAATGTAAATGGGCTGCTGAAGTCGGATGATCCATTAGTAGAGGAACCCAAGGAAAGAATAATAATAATGAGTCAAGTTTATCCTGCAAAAGGCAATACAGAATGAAAAAGAACAAACTTTGACATGAATCCCAAAGTGGATAGGTGGGTCAAAGCCAGAAGAAGAACAATAACAAAAAACCAACAAAAGAACTTACTCAAGATCGTCTTGTGGATATATCCAGTGAGGTGGTTGATACCCGCCAATAACTAAACAATCCATCCAAACACGCATTTTATTCTGTGCTATTATCTTTTCACCAATAGAAATAATTCCAACTGGAGCTAAAGTAAAATTACATATATACATATATTACATAATAGTAATTGAAAATAGCTTCATTAAGAACAATATATTTAAAAACTGTGCAAAAATGCCAACGCGTTTTATTGATATATATATACATATGAACTCCGTGTAGAGGATCTCTAATTACGAGCAGCAATCATCAGAATATCCTCAAGTGTCGGTTTGCAGGGATTCTATTGATTTCAAGACAGGTTGTGAAATAAATTCAGTTACAGAACCGTTGAAAACTACCAGGGACATGTGTTTTGTCCTGGTTTGGGATTCATCAACCATGATCCCACACACCACCTACCGGGGATCGAAACCATGACCTTCACGTTTACAAGGCGAACTCGTCAACCATTTAACACCACTGGGACGTAATTCAATAGCCAGACCAAGAATTCTATCTCCTGATATCTCGCGATGTATGGTGTGAGTGCCAGGCAATAAACATTGGTATCCAACCCCCTTACACCCAACTTGATGGATGGAGTCTGGCGGCCACGACTTCCCACTAGAGCTCCAGATAACTTCACCCTGTAGCCAGTTCATCAGTAACTAATGGTTAATGAGCTCGCCTCGTCAGCCTGAAGATCCTGTATTCAATCTCATGTGGGTTGATAAAATTATTCATGGGTGGTAAGTGCTGTTGAAGAGTCCCAAACAAGCACAAAACAACTGTTCAGTTTTTTTTCATTCCTTCACGTTCCCAGTGGAACATAGGGCTTCAAGCTAGAAACTTGACGTTTCTGTAGCGGTGTTTAATTTTGCAGGATGGGATTGCTAGCCTCATGCCCAACCTTCCCTCTTGGCCAGCCCTACTATCGGCTTAGCGAGGTAAAGGAGTGCGTCGGCTGAGGATTGAACCCCAGACCACATGCGTGGTCAGCGAGCATTCTACTGCTGTGCCACCGATGCACTAAGAGGAGGCTGTCACATGGCCACCATTCACAGGCGCTATCCCGCTACCGCACCACGCGGGGACTTTTGCCTGCTGGATTTCCCCCCTGGGCCGGTGCGCCCCTCTTTAGTCGACCTGGACAACCTGTCCTCCGACAGGTCATCCATATCGGCGCCGTGCCTAGCGTGGACGCCCGGTCAACATGAGCACCCATATGCCAGAACTCCCGGTCCCGCGAAATTCAGCACCATGGCTTCCAAGTAGCTAGCTGTTCAGTACTTCCTATCAATTTTTTAATGGTTCTCTAAGTGATGACAGTCAGTTTGCGATCAAACCTGAACTCAAGAGGATATCATTTGATGCTGTGATACTTGATCTGAAAAGAATGCGGTAAGGATGCAATCTGAGGATGCAGTAAGATGATTTAAACCCCATACGAAATGCAATAAATTTAATGCATCATAATGGTTGAAAAAACTAGACAGCGGAATTCAGAACTTAAATAGTTCTATAGGAATGTCTCTAACTACAGAACGGAGGGTAAATCAGTTCCACTGAGGGCTAAACAGGTACATTCTGCTGACGAGTGTCAAATAAACACAGGAAAAAAACACTTGGATCTAGAGCTCTCTAAATTTACCGGAATAATTGTTTAGAAAACTCCTCCCAAATGACCTATTTAACGATAGTAGTGATTATTTAGATATTTATTTCAACCAGCTTTGTAGTTATTATCCTCTTATCTCTTAGGCTATATTTCATCGTCCTAACGTTAACATATCACCTGTCGACTTAATCTTTATCATTTGTCCTTGTTCTTCTTATTCAACCTATAAATTTAATGCTTCCCATTGTGGTTGTGTGATACATTGATAAGGTTTTGTTGTATGATAGTGGTTTTATTGATATAAGTATAAAGTTTGGGCACTGTGGTGGTAGAGTATAACTCCATTATGGGTACAATTTTTGTTTTGATAAATCACACAGTATTGTACAATAATATTAACTCATGACCACGTTTCGAGCACAAACTATTGCTGCTCATAATCATATCAGGTCACTCACACAACTTTCTTACTTCATTTATATCCATGTGTGGAATCGATTAGATATTTGAATTAAAATCAATATGGGATAATGTACATTCAGAAATAATATGAGTGTTATCAATCAAGTATTGTCAGACGAGAAATAGTCATAATAAGTAACTTGTTAGAATGTTATGATGTGCTTGAATTGAATTAGAATTTTGAGATTATTTATTATCCTCTTCTGATTTGAAAGGTGTAATAACATCTTCCATATTTCTGGTAATTTATGTGCATTGAGTCATTTCTGTTGCATGTGTTGGGTGTATACTCGATGAACAAGGATTGAGTAATCAACCTCTCTCTCCATTCACCTATATTACCTTTTAGAATTTTAACCCTCTCCCACCCTAGTGAGTGATCGTGTGTTAATGTGATGACTGTGAGGTCAACTACATAGGTCAGGCAAACTAGTAGGTCGGGGGTAGTCAGATTGTCGGAACATAATAATTTAGCTAAGGTAAGAATGGTAGACCCCGAGAAGATAGGTAACTTAAAAAAAGCTTAGCACTGCATTGCACTGCATGGATTAACACACAATCACACAATAGGGTGGGAGAAGGTTAAGATTCTAAGAAGTAATCTATGTAGGTGGAGAGAGAAATTGATTACTGAATCCTGGTTCATTGAGTCTACACCCAACACATACAACAGAAATGATTCAATGTAAATACCAGAGATATTTTTGGAAGATATTATTACCACCAGTCAGTCAAATCAGAAGAGGATAATAAATAATCTCAAAATTCTATTTCAATTCAAGCACATCATAAAATTCTAAAAAGTTACTTATTATGACTATAAAAGCACTCGTCTTATTTCCCATCTAATTGTATTTTATTGATAACACTCATATTATTATTTCTGAATGTACATCATCCCATATTGATTTTTATTCAAGTATCTAGTGTATTCCACACATAATAATAATAATAATAATAATAATGGCTTTATTATATAAATGAAGTAAAAAGTTGTGTGAGTGAGTGTCTTGATATGATTATGAGCAGTAATAAATTGTGCTCGAAAGGTGGTCATCATTAAATATTACTGTATAACAGCACTATGTGAAACTTCATCAAAATAAAATCTTATCCATAATGGAGTGATAGTGGTTTTGTTTGAATGAATACAAGATTATAATGCCGTGGGGATTTTGAACTTCAACTGTCTGCAGAAAGTGTTTGATGTGTTTTATTCTTAGAGACAGAGGTATGAACCGACATTGTTGAGGAGGATATATTCTATTTGATTCTCAGATACTTCTTACAGCCTTGTTTTCTGGCTAACTAATATTGTTTTGTACATGAGAAATCCTTGGTCTGTATAGCAGCAGCTATCTAACGGCACTGTTCGTTCAGGTAAATCTGCGTTTCCGATATGTTGTTATTAATGTTGAATTGTACAGTAGCACAGATTTGTTTTCGGCGTCGTCGTGACAACTTAGGTCTATGAGTCACTCAAGCAAGTTTGGTTGGCCATAGAGAGAAGAACAGAACAATTGGTTCTCTGCATTCAAGACCACAATATACTTCAGTTTGGGTCATTACACTAAAAACGTCCGACTGATTTGTCCATTGTAGTTTGAAATATAAATCATACTCTAGAGTAGTCCTTGCTTGTTAATTCCTAACAATTCATTTAATAAAAACGCTACTACTTATATCAGTTGATTAGTAGTAAATATATAATGCCATGAAATTATGCTTGCTTTCTTAATTACCACACACCTATGGTGTCAAGCAGCTGACAACATATTGTGATCTGGTCAATTTCGGTTTCTAAAGGAAACAACTCTGGTGAACATTTCACCTCCGAACTATGTGCAAATTGTGAACTGAATAGCTAGCCAGAAATTTGGTGATTTGAACTGATTCGACTTCCTGAGCTGAGTCAAACTGGGTAGAGCGGTCATGAGCTTTGCTCCAAATAAGCGTAATAACCGTCCAGTGTCTCGATCACTTCAATTTGGCTAGGAGGAGCACTATTGGTCGGTGTAAGTGGTGTCCAACTGTAACGACTGAAGACAAGGGCCAGGCAACAGATTTTTTATTGTGAAAATCAAGAGGTATTTATAGATTTTTATGTACATCATTGTTAGCGGAGAAGCGACCTCTTCTGATTGGTTGTTTTCTTGCTGAAAGTTATTCTGTTGTGCCTGTGACCGTTTCTTAGAAAGTTAAGCCATATATCTGCGAATCATATTTCCACACGTTAACTCCGCTGTGATTGGTTGGTGATTTTCTCAATACACAACTACTCATATTAGCCAGTCAGTAGTATATAGTGTCATGCATCCATATTGATTATCCTGAGGAGTTTACTTAACCATACAGTTAAACAGTAGAAACACACATATGTAAGTGATGTAAACACAGAATTTCTAAAGGTACAATGATGCTGAAAAGTAAACGAATAAAGGAAAAAGCAACATATATATATTAGCTTACGATTGCTAGTTGGACGCACAGGTCCAGCCCATGCTTTATGACCATCGAATTGATTAGTCCCACGAACTGAAATATTATATGGTCGTTCTTCAACCAAACCTGAAGAAAAAGACATAAAATAAACAAAGTAATCAATTAAAAATGAGTATTACAAAACTTTTTTGGATTTAATTTGTAGGGATTTTCACTGACATCAACCAGAGAAGCACTGGAAAGAGTTTCTTAAGGATTGAAGAAATGCTAGAATTTATGAGCGGTTGGACTCCAAAGCAGTCGTTATTATTATAATATTTATTTTTACTTTGGGTTTCAAGTGAAATATACGGCTTCAACAGCACATCTCCACTTCGTCCTGTTTTCTGCAGTCCTCTTTAGCTGGCCCGAAGACTGCTCACAAGCTTTTGATCTCTTTCGCTATGTGACCTTTAAAGCGATGTCCAACTCTTCATTACCCATTCAACTGTCATTCGGAAGTTTCTCTTGCGTGTAATGTCGTTCAGCGGTTTCCTCAGCGTATCTGATTCATTTGCATTCCCTTCGACATATTTGCCAGGCAACAGGTTGTTGACTGTTTCGTTGCCTGCCAGACATCCGCATTGTTAATCCTTTCTGTTCAATTGATCCAACCTAGTTACCGGGCGGCAACCTACTCCCCTTGATTTGATGATATTAGATATTTGGAGGCAATCGGCCACAGGAAGCCCCACCTGACCTGGGTTTCGTGCTAGTTAGCACTCACCAGTCAGTCAGCCAGGCGTTTCTGCAACCGCCTTGAAAGAACTCATGTCCCTTCTGAGATTCGAACCCACCTCACCCAGTGCTGCAGTCAGAGACGTTACCACTGAGCTATTCAGGCTCGCGATTGACCTCCCGTAGGACTATAGTGGGCATTTTTAATGGACACTAGAAACTAGTGTGATGTGTCTAGTCCTTTCTTTGGCGCAGACTGAATTCTATCAGTCAGGTGTCTGATGTGGCCACCAATCTAGTTAGCTCGCCATCACGGTGGACATTGATTTGATGATATTAGATAGTGGTAACGTCTTTGACTACAGCACTGGGTGACGAGGTTTCGAATCTCACAAGGGACATGAGTTCTTTCAAGGTGTTAGCAGATACGCCTTGCTGACTGGTGAGTGCCAACTAGCACGAAACCTAGGCGGTATCCAAGGCTTCCTGCCGATTGCCTCCAACTATCTAATATCATCAAATCAATGTGCACCGTGATGTCGAGCTACCTAGAACGGTGGACACATCACAAACCTAACTGATAGAATTCAGTCTGCACCAAAGAAAGAACTAGACACGTCACACTAGTTACTAGTGTCGAATAAAAAAACAGCTGCTCCCCTTGCAATGTGAAGGTCCTGAGTTCGATCCCCAGCGGATGATCATTCGTGCCTGATGTACAAAAGTCCCAAAAAGTTAACATCTCTTAGGTAAAACTTTCTTTAAATAGCAATAATGATTTAATAAAGCTTTACCTTCCCTTTTATTCTAACTAACGCCAACGCATCTGAATAACCTTTCTTTATCTCTGCGATACACAGTTTACTAATGGAGACGTATCGTTGAGAGTATCTGTCTTTTTGATTACAAAGAATGCTAGCTGAGGTCCAATTCTATCAGACATTATTGATAATAGTCACAGTGATGAACAAGATTAGTGCATTCAACATCATCTACTTTACAACATAAACATTATCGAATGAATATCTGAAACCATGAAGATTTAATCGAACAGTCTTAGTCTTTGAAAGTTGGTATCACATTACTGATTGGTAAGGGAATTACCGGCTTCAAATATCAATCAGTAGTACATACTAATGTCTCCGATTTGGTTTGTTTTCATGATGCCGCTAGTCACACTGTCAAATAGGTTCTATTTTGAACTTTCGGAGGAAACCATGAAAGTGGTCACAGAGAGAGAATCATTCAAAACCGATGAGCAGCGAGGGAAACTAGTTCATCCTCATTTGGCACTATTCAGAAACGTACACTTTGATTAGACACGAGATAGCAACTACCGTCATGTTCTTAGTCTATCGTTTTCGTGCAGACTGAATTCTATCAGTCAAGTTTGCAATATGGCCACCATGCCACTAGGTGACTCGCTATCACGGTGCACTCTAAATTAATGTTAGGTGTTTCGAGATAATCTGCAGGAAGCCTTGAACCGAGACTTCGTGCTTGTTGGCATTCGCTGATTAACGAGGTGTATCTACAATCTTGAAGGAACTCATGTGCCTCCAGAGGATTTGAACCCATGTCACCCAGTGTTGCAGGCGGAGACGTTACCATTTAGCTATTCAACTGACCTCCTGTATAACTGTAATGAATACTTTGACTGGACACTAAGCAGTAACTAACATCATGAGTCTAGTCCTTCGTTTTGGTGCAAAGTAACGAAGCTAAGAAATTCCAAGTTTCAGGAGGGTGGGGCAAGAAGTCACTCTCACAATTAGATTCCCATTACTCACTTCTTTCACTGTCAACAGTAACTGTAATGGTGAATCCCACCAGTCATGATTTACAACTAAAAATCCAGAAAAATCTACCTCGAAAGCAGACATCTATCAAATATCAGTATCCTTTTTATTCTGAGTGGAACATAGGGCTTCAAGCTTCAAGTTTTGAAGTTTTAGTTTCTACGGGGGCTGAGTTTGCTAGCCTCACGCCCAACCTTCCTTCTCCACGGGGGCTTACCTGTGGTTAAGTGAAGTTTAAGAGTGTATCAGTCGGGGCTCGAACCCCGGATCAATCACCAACGCATTGTATTATCATCAGTTGGTCGATGTTAATTGGTTGAGATTGTACAAAACAGTGAGAATACGAAGAAGGTGGAAATCATGAGACACTTGAGTCCCATTAAATAACCAAGGAGTGAAACAAAAAACTTCGACTCTTAAGGTGTGATGCAGTAGGTTTGAATTGAAGAAAAGAGGAGTTCCTCATCACCACCACAGAGAAGAATAGTGTAGTGTACGTTTGTGAATCATTCGACCAACGTGACAGTTGAATGAATTCAATAGCTTACAATAATTAACATTTTAAACGTAGTTAATAACGATGATTATAATGATAACAAAATATTGATAATAAGGTTTATGTAGGTGGCGATAAAAATAACAAAGGTAGTAATATGTGTATTTGTAGACAATTCAATAAATAAATAAATTAGGTGAAATCTTAAAAGTTACGCAATACTAAAGGTGAAGTGAACAGATAATTAGAGTTTAAATAAATATCATAAACGTACTAAGGAAATGGAAGATAAAAAAGGGTGGAAGGGTTTTGATTAGAATTCACCTAGGCCAAGCAAGGAAGAGACAAAGGTAGAACAAACTTCTTTTGTTGTATGCAAAGACTAGGATCGTTCTCTCAAATTCCCATAGCTTCGGCTGTGTGTAAAAAACGTGTTGGAATTCCTTTCGAAAGGCTCGATGTTATGCGATAGATAACTTTGAAGGCACTATATCTGTCCACTTGGTTATCGCTATGATCAATCAAATGAGTCAAAATAGAACTTCTTGTAGATTTTATTTAGCCTTTTCCGACCCATGAAGGGAAGAAGATGCTCATTGATGGCGCATTTTTTGAGCTGTCTAGTTGTTCGCCCTATATATCTCTCTCCACAGGAGCAACTAAATTTGTAGAAACACATAGAAGTGGCACAGCTAGGTAGCTTGTCTTTCGCTTGAGCAATCATAATTGGCCCAGGTGAATTCTAATCAAAACCCTCCCAACCTTTCTTATTTTCCATTTCCTACGTACTTTTTTGATACTTATATGTTTGAACTCTGATGATCTTTCCACTTCACCTTTAGTATTACACAACTTTTAAGATTAGACCTAATTTATTTATTTATTGAATTGTCTACATATACACATATTACTAACTTAGTTAACACTTTATTTTAAAATGTCAAAAATAAAAAATTTAAGGTTTGCATTAGAGACTACTTACCACAATAAAAGTAGTAATTATAAGAACTTGAAAAATCTGGTCGTATACACGGTCCTTTTGTACGATCATTATAAGCGATTGGATAGGGGAAGAGAGTGACAAGACCATCTTGTGATGTATCCAGTAGTGGGATCGCCTCTAAGCAGTAACTTTTTATTTGACCTTGTGGTTTACGTGGATGTGACCATGATACAACAATACAAGATGAATTCATCGGTTTAACTTTGATAAATTCTAGATAATAAAGAAAAACGAAAAAAAAATAAGTTAAGAGTTAAACAATAAACAGTAACCTCTCCTAGTTTACTAACTCGCTAGTTTTCTAACCGGAGCCAAACCTGGGAAAACAGGGAGGGTTGGGTGTGGAGATAGCGACCCTACACCATAAAATCAATGTAACTGCTACAGAAACTTCAATACCCAAGAAAAATATTAAAAAATATAAAAAAAGATATAAAAAAAAACTTATTCCTCGCTAGAATCTGAGAGGGGAAATGACACTACTGGTTGGTGAAAGCCGCCCTTCAGGAAGCCAGTCAGCCAATGTGTTTTCTCTCAATGAAAGTAAGCGCAAGAATAGAGACGTGTTATGTCAGACTGTGGGGAGAGCGAGAAGGCAGGAATACGTTGGACCGACAGGAAGACTCTGGAAGATCTGGATTTCGCAAGGGATGAATTAAGTTTGGTCTCACATAAACTCGAAGACTTGCAGCCGAAAATCAATAAACTGGTGGAAAAGGCGGGGTAGGCAGCGAAGACACGAATCCAGGTAAACATAGAAAAGATGGAGGTGATGAAGATAACCAGCCAACCAACAACAACAACAGCAATAACATAACAACCACCACCAATCCCTATCAACGGGAGAGATTTGTCAGAGGTTACTTCCTTCACTTATCTGGGAACCATCGTTTAAACTACAGGCAGTCAGAATCGGAAAGGCAAGATACACATTCATCAACCTGAAACCAGTTTGGAAATCTCGTGTACTCAGTCTGCATAAAGAACAAGATTCGGATTCTGTTCAACACAAAAGTGAAGTCAGTCAGTCAGTCACTGCTTCTAAATGGGTCAGAAACCTGCACTGCGTGCCCGTCACGAAACGGAGTTTCAACGGGCTAGTTCAGACTTTTGTTAACAGCTACCACCTTCGACGGTTGACTTCATACTGAAGATCAAATGGCCAGTCAGCCTGCCAGAAAGGATCAGCAACAAGAAACGCTTCAGTGGAACAAAGGAACAAGCACGAGCCTATTGATCAACAAATATATGGGAGAAAATGGAGATGGATCGATCGGGCATACGTTAAGGAGACCGTCGAATGATATCGCGCGCAATGCAGGTCATTGCTCGAGTGAATCCGAATGGGAAACGACAAGTGTGACATGAAGGATATATCGCGTGTCTAGGAAGACATGAGAGACTATGGAAAATCCCGGGGCCAGCTGAAGAGGACAAGAGGAGATAGAAGAAAGTGGAGATGTGTTGTTGTTGAAGCCTTATGTTCCATTCGTAACCCAAGGGAATAATAATAATAAATAATTAGAATTAGGGTTAGAATGTTTTATTATCATCATTAATATTGTCAGTATTTTTCTTGCAAATAAATAAATGGGAGGAGAAGAGGTTGTTCATATATAGATGAAACAGTTTTGATAACTCTATGAAACTTGAAAACTGATACACCTCATTGTAATTTGAAACTATTTTCCGATTATGTCAGGGTGAAATATCATCTTTAATGTGTTTTATTATTATTATTATTACCTGTATAATTTCTTGTAAATAAATGGTTTATCTATACAAAAGACACCGGATTTTTTCTTTTTCATTTTTCACCTCAAGGGCACTCATGTGTACACGCACGCCCTGTTCGCTGTTCTTTAAGTTTGCCTCGGTTTTTTAGGGGATTTGATTTCTTTCAAGTTTGATCACTGAGACTGATATCAGATAGAGAAATAATTTAAATCTAGGGAGCAGTGAGCAGCCATTTCGTCCTAGCTTAGGACTCTTCAGGTTACGAGGACAATGTCATTCATTGGTCATTCAGCCACTTCATCATCATCAGCTAGAAATCAATGACTCTTGCATTCGAACTCTTGTCCATTCATGTGTTGTCATTGATTTCCCGTCGAAGTGGTTAATGATGGTGATGATGACGACTGCAAATTGTAAGTTTCACATAGCGGCTTGTCTTTATTAGTTAGTGAGAAGGTATGAAGTGGTAGAGCACGCTGACCACTTCACTTACTTGGGAAGTACCATCAGCCTCAACGGGTTGATCTCCGACGAAATCTCAGCAGGAATACAGAGGGCTAGTTGGGCATATGCCAGTTTACGCCGTCTCTGGCGTAGACGTGATATCGGACTGGCTATCGACCAAAGGGCGTGTGTACTGCTCAACAGTCCGCTCCGTCCTCCTTTATGACTAGCTGTGAGACCTGGCCATTGAGAGCGGAAGACATGAAAAGATTAGCTAGCTGTCTTCGTTCATAGGTGTCTGCGTTCTATCTCCCGTGTGTATAATAAGGTGAGCAATATTGAGGTTAGGCGTCGAGTGCTAGGGAAGGAGGGGAAATCAATAGACGAAACTGTGAAATTACACCGACTGAGATGGTTAGGACATGTGTTACGTGTGCCTGGTCATCGCATTTCTCGACGGGCAATGTTAGCTGATATAGGGCCAGGCTGGAAAAGAGCTAGCCAGCGGCGGTCAAACGAAAACACGGCAACAGTCAATGAAATCTACAACAGTTAGTCTAAGCCACGTAGGGAGATGTAGACTTCCTGGTTGGGGTCCTCGGGACAGTAAAAACCAATGGTTGGAAACAATTGGTGACATGGCTCAAAATCGTTCTCAATGGCTTGCGCAGATGCATCCACTCCTTGTGACTCATGATTTCCAATGAAACTGTTCTGTTCTTCGTTATTACTATTCTTTTGTCTCACACCTCTGTTTACTGTCTATATTATGCATTTCTCCTACTTTCTTCTCTTGCTTTGTGTGCCACAAGGAGGGAGTGTGGCGACTTGAACTGCCGCACATATGTGCGAAGTTCTATGTCGAAAACCGACCGACCGACCGAGAAGGCATGACCGATGGGGTCCACCAGGTCTGATGGGAAGACAAACGCTTGCTGATAGCATTGGCGGCTGGTGTTCGTGATAAAATCATGAACTGGTGGTGGTGGAGTTGGAATTCATGACTGAATGGTCTACGAGCTTTCCTCTGTAACTGGAAGGTATAGGATTCGAATCCCGATGGGTGGCTTACTAGAACTAGGAAAACAGCAGAAACAGCTACCCAGTAAGTACTCCCTGTTGGTTTTCAACAGTTCTCTGACCAACATCAATCCCCGTGATCAAATTTGAAAGAAATACTTAAACACAATCTGAAAGTGTTATGTAAGCACCTTGATATAATTATGAGTAATAATGCAATACAATAAATCATGCTTAAAACGTCATCATCAGTGAATAAGCGACTGTGTTTTCAACAAATAAATAAATAAATTCTATGGTGGAATTATATTCTACTACAGTGCTCGAGTTTTATTCCTATATCAATCAATAGACCATTTTGTGTTACAAATCTGCATTTATCTTGTTATGTGGACAGGATAATTTTTATCGGACAACAATCAGTGTAAGCGCAATATCGCTTGAAATTAAGTCACGCGTAGATAAAGGCTATCCCGGTCCAGAACAAACAAGAAGCCGGTCACTGTTTCTACAGTACTATGAATAAACAAATCAATAATTATATATACAACAAACCTTAACGGTTTCAGGTGTACAAAGCACAAAGCTTAACAGAAAGCAAGTTACCGCTATCAGAGCGGAATAACGTTAAAGCCAAAATTGCGAACTAGCCGGAATCCGACACGACCGTTCAGGTAAGCAGTCAATAGAAGAATGAACCCAAGTAAGAGATAGACAGAGCATAGACACAAAGAATTTAATTGGCTACTTAACCAGATAGGCTGATACAGATGAAGATCAATAAATAAGATAAACTCGACAGAATAGTACAAAGTAAGACATGGGTCAGCAAAATAACAGTTCATAAAAATACTCTGATTGGGTCATGAGTTCAACTGTCTGACTAAAAGGATCGACGTAAAAACACACAGTTCATTAAACAAGGGGGGATAGACACGTTAGGCATGGATAATTGGGTTGCAACAACGCTAGGCTGATCTCGGACAGGTTGACTTGATTCAAGGATGGGAATTGAATTGTCTTACAATCAGAACAAGCTATTTCATCATTGACCTAGAGTATAGGTGTACACATGTATGTCCAATAAGTTCATCTTTACAATCCCATAACAGTATTTAATCAATTTTCTGATATCTAGTTGTGGCTTGGTGAAGTAATAAAAAGGTGTCGAAGAGGAATAGTCGTATTCAGTATTGTAGTACCCCAACCTAACCTGACCTCAGTCAATTTTGTCATACATCATTTCTAACCTACAAAAGAAGTTTAGTGAAGACCCTTAGCCACAGAGCTAGAGCTATATGCTCTGAAGAAGTAATTAAAGATGAATTAAGCATGGTATATGATACTTTGATCGAAAATGGTTATCCTGACAAATTTATCAAGAAACATATGACGAAGAAGGCCGAAAAGGACGACCCACTATCTGTAAACAAGAAGCCACTTTATATACGACTACAATTCATGGGCGATATACCAAGCGAGTTAATTACGAAGAAATTAAGAAAATCAGTTCAAAGGACTTTTAATTCTGGCGAACTACACTTCTTATTCTCTACACGACCGATGGTGCTACCTCGACTGAAAGATGAAGTACCTAGACTAGCCACTTCAAATTGTATTTATCAATTCAACTGTGCTTGTGGTGGAGCGAGTTATGTTGGCCGTTGCTCTAGGAACTTGATTTTTCGTGCTCGAGAACATATCCCACTATGGCTAAGTAAAGGTGTAGTTAAAACTATTAACAGCTCGAAATTAGACCATCTGGTCCAAACCGGTCACAAAGCCAGCGTGGAAGAATCCTTCTCTATAATATACCAAGTGCCTAACAAACTACCAAAATCATCGAAGCACCGCATGATCCAAACAGCAGAGGATATTGCAATTCGCCTCAAACAACCAGTGCTCTGTGTCCAAAAGAAACAAGTCCAGCCCCTACTACTGCCCTGGCCCTCAGTAGAGACTATAAACTCATGAATTTGTACTATTACCTTTTATAATTCTTCTGACATTCAGTTTATTTTATGTTGATGCCGTTCAGCTGTAATTTATCAATATTAGTGATTTGATATTATTTAAACATTAATGTCGTTCATAAGACTAATTCATTCATTCATTATAATGTATATATAATTGTAAAACCTGATGATGAATTTATCGAAAAGAGTACTCTTTGTTCCGTGTCTATTCTTTTGAAAATCGAAAATGAACAACTGTTTGATGTGAATAACATTTGTATGCATACTTGGCACAATAAACAGTTTAATAATCGTCTCCTTACCCTACTCTAGAAGTAATTTGGAAACTACTTCAACACTAGGGCGTACAATACTCAAGTCTTTGTCAACCTCACTCAACAGCTGGCTATATGACAACGCTACTTGTCAAGTGATCCACAACGGAAAACTCAGTGAGGCGTTCGAAGTACACACAGGAGTAAGACAAGCTGACTTCCTATTATCACTGACGATATTCTTAATTATGGTGGACTGGATTATGCGTTGGACTGTTGGGGGCGAGGAGTCAGTCAGGAGTACGCTATATGACTGATAAGATGACTCTGGAAGATCTGGATTTCGCAGATGATACATGTCGAATGTCACACAAACTCGAAAAATTGCAAGCGAAAACCAACAAACTGGCTGAAGAGGCAGGCTGGGACTGCAGGTGAACACAGAGAAGACTGAAGTGATGAAGACAACCAACCAACCAAACAACAGAAACAAAAACCAGCACCAATCACCATCAACGGGGGAGATTTGACTGAGGCCGCCTCCTTCACTTATCTAGGTAGCATAGTTTCAACTACAGGTAGTTGGAACGGATGAAGATGTCAAAGCTAGCCAGACAGAATCGGATAGGCAAGATACACCTTCATCAATCTGAAACCAGTTTGGAAATCTTCTGCACTCCACCTGAGCATAAAGAAGAAGATTCGGATTTTAAACACCAATGTGAAGTCAGTCCTTCTGCACGGGTCGGAAGCTTGAACTGTCACGATGAGGATTTCCAACAGCCTGTTGCAGACTTTTATCGACAGCTGCCTTCACACCATACTGAAGATCAAATGGCCAGAAAGAATAAGCAACAAGAAACTCTGCAGTGGAACAAACCAACCAAGAGCCGATCGCTCAACAACTATGTAATAGAAAGTGGAAATGGATCGGGCGTACATTGAGGAGGCCGCCGAATCATATCGCACGCTAGGCCCTCGAGTGTAATCGCGTTGGCAAGCGACGAATAGGTCATCAGTGCGAGGGTGAAATGGAGGAGATCGTATGTCGAGGAAGACATGAGAGAGTTTGGTCATTCGTGGACCCAGCTGAAGAGGACCGCAGAAAACAAAACAAAGTGGAGAGCCATTAAAAACCAGAGAGCACACTAGACATTTGTTTCGTCCTAGTTTGGGACTCCTTAGTAAAAAGGGAACCCAGAACCTAAAGGTCACGGGGTTCGCCGCCTTGTCCTGGGCTCGACTCCCAATGGAGTAATGGGTGCGTGTATGCTTTTCGTTATTTGTTTCAATTCATTTAAGTAAGCGCTTTAGATTAGAAAACTGATTTTTAGTTCAACACATTGATGGTTTAATCTATTACGAAAAACCTTATTTGCAATAGGGTTAAAGCTAGCACAGATTGAACAGGGATCCGCTTTATATTTGAATCCTGAGGTAAGACGACTATTCGTTTCATACAAAAAAAAGGAATAAATCAATCAAAAGAAAATAATAATAACTAATTACCTGGAGCGCCTGGAGGAGCTTCTTTTGTCAAACAGATAATTCTAGGCGATGCAGGTCCCCGACCTTTACGATTACTTACAGCAACTTGAATTGTATAATTGGTATAGGCTAAGAGACCAGCTAACGTGACAGTTGTCTGACCTTTCACGGCTTGATTCACTGAACTTGTTTCATCTGTAGATTAAAATGACAACAACAAAAGAAAATGCAAAGTATAAATAATCACAGTTATTATTTTGTTTTTAATTCATTTGCTTTCCGAATGGAACATAAAGGCTTCAGAAGTTTTGAATTTTGTTTGGAGGTGATGGTGGTGTTATTTTTACGGAGTGGGTCGATCCTATCCTCATACGCAACATTCCTTCTTTTCCTGGTTTATTACGAGCTAGGAAACTGTGGCGAAGCTTTAAGAGTACGTACGTCGGTGGGAAATCGAACTCAGATCTATTAGTATAGTCGGCGATTATTATTATTATTATTATTATTATTATTATTATTATTATTATTATTATTATATCCTTTAATTCCTAGAGGAACATAGGGCTTCAGCCGTGCGTCTCCATTGCGTTCGGTTCTCTGCTAGAGTTTTCACCTGGCTCCAAGTCTGCCCACATGCTTTCATCTCCTCTTCACATAACTTCCTCCATCTCACCCTCACACTGACGACCAACTCGCCGCTTCCCTTTCGGGTTCCACTCGAGCAATGGCTTGTCTAGTAATGTCACTTGATGGTTTCCTCAGAATACGGCCAATCCATCTCCATTTCTTCCTGCCTTTTTGTTTCACAATCGGTGCCTGGTTGGTTCGCTCCCAGAGATCTCTGTTGCTGATCTTTTCTGGCCATCTGGTCGGCGAGCGTTCTACTAATTGAACCACCACCGACGATATGTTTCAGCACTTCATCTACATCGATATATTACTTATTGGATCTAAACGAAACATTTGATAAGTTAAGCAGTCAATCCCGGGTATAATATTTGGCTTAGCATTCCTGTCTATTTCGAAAAGAACGACTAGCGAAATATATGTGATAAGCTTTGGTGAGTAAAATATGGGCAAGAACAACCATCAATCACAATATAACCGTCCTCAATATCTATCTGATAAATTCTCTCTCGTTCCTTAAACTCCTTACTAACAATGTAGACAATTTTGAAATGTATTCACATCAGAGAAAATGATATACAATTGTATATTAGATACATCTACTTAATATATATAACACTAGGTATGATACAGTATAACTACTATATGACATTTCGAGAACAATTTTTCATGCTACTCACAATTCATATCAGTAGTAAGTAGACAAACTCGAAACTTCATTCTTTATTATTCTCATCCTTCTAATGGTTATATAAAGCAAGGTAGGCAGTTGTGTGAATACACTCATATGATTAGCAGCAGTTAATTGTTCTACAGAGGATCTGGACTTCGCCAACGATCTATGTCAAATTACAACAGAAACTCATAAGAAAGAACGAAGACAGGACTTCAAAGGAACACTGAAAAGACAGGTGAAGATACCGAATTAACCATGAACACCACGCGTCAGTCACCATCAATAAAAGAAATCCAATTGAAGTCCACTCTTCCATTTATCTAGGCAGAGCATCATCTTAACTAAAAACAGTCGACACGAATGAGGAGGTCAGCGATAGGATCAGGAAAGTAAAGGAGACCTCTATTACTCTAAAGTCAGTGGGGAGATCTGCGGCAACTAGTATAAGGATTAAGATATGGAGCTAGTGTCAAGTCAGTCAGTGCTTCTCTATATAGTGTGCGTTACCAAGAGCATTTCCAAAGTGTGCTACTGAAGACGTTTTTTATCAAAAGCTGCCCCCATCGTTGCATAGTTGAAACCAGATGGACGGCCAGGGAAGAATAAGTAACAAGGAACTCTAGCAGGCAGCGAATCAACCAACAGTTAACAAATATGTAGAAAGAAATAGCGGTGGACTGGACACACTCCAGGGAGACTGCTGAATGACATTACAGGTCAAGTGGAACCTCGAATGGAAGCCGAATGGAGAATGATGAATTAAGAGTGACTCCGAGGTTGACATGGAGGAGATCGTATGGGAAGGGGAGGAAAGCTCATAGGCAATAGTGTTGCTAGATAAAAAAAAAGACTAAAGAAAACAGTATGAGATGGGGATATGTTACTAACCCTAGGGGGTTTACAACAACAATTCAACAAACGGTAGATTTCTTCAACCTGGAAGGCATCTATTGTCTATGTCGAGAAAGAAAATATTTCCCCCCCCCCACACACACACACCATTTATTTGTGCTGATTTTTCAACTGGCCTAAATGCTGTCCTAAAACAGAGCAACTATTTTTTTTTACCTACTCCTCACGATTCATTCCCCATCCTGGATGATGGCTGTTACACTGTGAAATTAGGTCTTACCGAAGTATATCTCCAAGTTGAATGAGTTCCAGAAAGTTGAGAACTTTTAAACAATAATCGTAATACTCGTTGAATACTATCACTATTATTATTATTATTATTATACAGTTAGTTATCTCACGCCCACACTATTAGAACGTACGTTTCAAAATGATTTGTGTGTGTTCCCACTTAAACAATGAGAGTCAGGAAAATCTACTAGGGGGTTATCGAGCGATGATTGTTGTTAGTCGACGCTCGTAAGAATATTTGGGGACTGTGTAACAACTAGGTGAGCACCAAGGGGTGTGGCACAAAAGAAAACACTAAAACACATTACATAAGAAAGAAGTAGAATGACTGAGGAACAGCATAATGATGACCACGTTTCGAGCACAAACTATTGCTCATAATCATATCAAGGCACTACCCACTCACACAACTTTCTTCCTTCATTTATATACATGAGTGGAATTGACGATTAGACATTTGAATAAAAATCAATATAGGATAAAGTACATTCAGGAATAATAATATGAGTGCTATTGATCAAATACAATCAGATGGGAAATAAGATGTTTTCACAATAAAATAAATAAATAACTTGTTAGAATGCCATGATGTACGTGAATTGAAATAGAATTTTGAGATTATTTATTATCCTCTTCTGATTGGACTGACTGGTGGTAATAATATCTTCCATATCTCTGGTAATTTTTGTGCATTGAGTCATTTCTATTATATGTGTTGGGTGTAGACTCGATGAACCAGGATTCAGTAATCAATCTCTCTCTCTCCACCTACTTATATTACTTTTTAAAATTTTAACCTTCTCCCACCCTATTGTGTGATTGTGTGTTAATCCATGCAGTGCAAAGCTTTTTTCTAAGTTACTTATCTTCTCGGGGTCTACCATTCTTACCTTAGCTAAATTCTTATGTTCTGACAATCTGATTACCCCGATCTACTAGTTTGACTGACCTATGTAGTTGACCTGACAGTCATCGCATTAACACACAACCACACTATAGGGTGGGAGAGGGTTAAAATTCTAAGAAGTAAAATAAGTAGGTGGAGACAGAGATTGATCACTGAATCCTTGTTCATCGAATAGTCTACACCCAACACATGCAACAGAAATGACTCAACACAAATAGCAGAGATATGTTTGGAAGACATTATTACACCTGTCAAATCAGAAGAGGATAATAAATAATCTCAAAATTCTATTCCAATTCAAGCACATTACAACATTCTAACAAGTCACGTATTATGACTATAAAAATACTCATCTTATTTCCCATCTGATTGTAATTGATCAATAACACTCATATTATTATTATTTCTGAATGTACATTATCCCATATTGATTTTTATTCAAATGTCCAATCATCAATTTCTACTGATGTATATAAATGAAGTAAAAAGTTGTGTGAGTGAGTGTCTTGATATGATTATGAGCAATAGTTTCTGCTCGAAACGTGGTCATTAGTAAATATTACTGTATAACAAACACTGTGTGATTCTGTCAAAATAAAAACTCATGCATAATGGATTTATACTCTATCACGGTGCCCGAGTTTCATACTTATATCAAACTATCCTTCTCCCCAAGTTGCCACTCAACTAGCTGACTACCCCTAAACATTTTCCATCCACTTTCAGTGGTTGCAAACAGTGGAAAGTACAGCAGCCGCTGGAGTTACATTCGTGTCCATTACATGTCTGTCATCTGTCACACCATCGCCAGCCCTCCTGCAACCACATAGAAGCATAGACTAACCAACTATTTCTAGCGGTCCACCTGCGAAAATAAAAGTACAGTCTAGAGTCTCTTGACGTACTTGCAATAGTATTTCGCACTCAAGCCGACTAAAGCACATATCCTAACAAGTAGATTACATAAACTGAAAATAGTTTAAACAATAAAAAAGGAAGGAATAGTATAGAACATACATAAAGCATCACTAAAATCTCCATCACTTACCTCCATATTCATTAGCAGCAAAATAACTAACATGATATTCTGTTAAAATACCATTGATAGTATCTGGATTTGGAGGATTCCATGATACAGTGATACTATGCTGTTGAGATGCACATGTCACATCTGCTGGAGGAGCTTGTGGTACTATATATGTATGTACATAATACAAACAACAACAGAAATAAATCATAAGCTATCAATCAATAAAATTAAATATATAAATATATCTGAAAGCATACCTTACCAATATTATTGTTGTGTCTTTTATCCTCAAACTAATGATTGCGTAATCAAGACAAACAAAAACATTTAACAGCTATAGTTACTTGTAATTTCAAAAAAAAAGAAGAGGTACAAGTGACCATGTTAACCGACATACAATAGCACAATGAATCTAGTCAACATAATATCGACAGCGCTGTAGCAATCAATCACAGTATACCCATAACATCCATACAGAAAGTCATATTGTGGTGTGTGCTACTGAAAAGATTTATAAGTAGTATATATAGACGCCATCCAATGGCCAGTCCATGAATTCTAACTTCTGCCAACTCACGACATAGCGTGACCATTTCGCAATGTCTTCTTCGATGAGTTACTGCCTCATCTTCACCCTGCTGTACCCAACTCTAACTGGTCACGGCTTCCCTCTAGAACCCCAGGTCACTGCCTTAATAGGGCCAGTCACTAGTGAGCATCAGATTAATTTTCAAGTATTGGTTTTGTAGGGATTTTGTTTGATTGGATGGAGGATTTCATCAGGAGGTGACATCAGTGGTTCTCTAATTGATGTCAGATCATGATGAAAACCTCCATCCAATGAAACAAAATCCTTACAAAACCAATACTTGAAAATATATATATATATTTCTCCTCCACTCTACCCTTGTAATTTGCTGCAACTTCCCATACCTCCTGGAAAAGGCGTTGCGTCATTTCAATTGCACGTGCTCGGTGTTGATTAGATGAATAAAGATTCAGTGATTAACCTCCCCCTCTCTCTCTCTCTCTCTGTTCATCGCCTATACTCTATATCACTCTATGGTGTGATTATATGCAAGTGAAGTGCAGTGCAATGGCTGAGCTTTTTTCCATATTATTTAACTTAGCAGGGTCAATCATTCTAAGTCTAGTTAAATTTCCATATTCTGATAATATACTTGACCCCGATTTACTACTTTGACCTATGTAACTGACCTCACTAATAGTCATTACATGGTGTATTCGATAAATTATATTATTTAAAACAATTCGTTCCCTTTATGAATTTAGATAAAGCAATAAGAAGACGTAATTTGTCTGAATCGTGTGTAAAGTATATGTTGTACATTGAGAATTTATCAGAGGGTTTAGTCGAAAATGTGCTACTTTATAGAAGGTAAATAGATGATATTGTAATCATCAGTGATAAGTCTTGTTCTGCCACCTCAATTTTAAATCGAATGAATGAAGTTCAGAATAGCATATCACTTACATCTGTTTGTAGAAGAGGAAGATAATTGTTTATCTTTCCTAGACATATTGCTTATTCAACGGACGGCTTGATAGGTCAATAAAAAGATCTATTTGTAGAATACCTACCTGAACAGAACAGTATCTTAATTATTACACAGTTTCTGCCCTGTTCGGTACAAAAGAGCCTAAGTGAGCGAGGTGCCTCTTCAGTAGAATCCAACGAATATGCGCTGAAGACACACTTGATAAAGAAGAAAGTTGACACAAACTCTGGTTGATAACAGTTATCCAGACAAGTTCATCAGGAGATATAAAGTAGTCAGAACACCAAGACCCACTCTACAACTCGCTCCTAAGAAAAATGTGTACATCGAACTACCCTATATGGGGCATCAAAGCAGCTTGATAACTAGACAAAGATTGAACACCGCTGTGGTTAAAAAGACTTTTTATGCAGCTAATATCATAATAATAGAGAATGTAAAGTCAATATATCTATCTAAGCCCTTCGAACATGCGAAAAATGATGTCACATCCCACTGTATTTACCAATTTGAATGTACGTGTGGACATACATACATAGAAGGGGTGACTCATCGATCTCTGCAAGTGAGAGCTGGCTTCAGAGCATATTCCTAAATGGCTCCAGAAACAAAAGGAATCCCCAGAACCCATTAATGGTGAGAACAGGAGACCTAGCTCTTCTATTGCGAAACATATTATAGAGACAGGACATAAAATTGACGTTAACAGATCTTTTAAACCTATCTATAAAACGTGTTTGGGGCGTATCCTAAAGTTTGTGGAAGCCCTAGCAATTAGAAAGTTTAAGCCACCTTTATGTGTTCAAAAACAATTCGTCATCACATTAAAGCTTCCTTGGTAAATTTTGTTTTGATACCATAGCAGATGTACTATTACCTCTGTTATTTGGTTTAGTGGTCTTCATTGTTATTTTGAACTTTAATATGGTGTCCTTTTAACTTGACCTAAGTTGTCTATTTTCTCACCTCTTAACTCTTTATTAATTTCATAAATATATTTCTATGACAAGTCCATGTGTGTGATCAGATTGTTCGAAATGTGTTGTGCGCAAATACAACAGTACACGATTCAGACAACATTACGTCTTCTTATTGCATTATCTAAATTATCTTTCTTAATTGGATTTATCGAGTCTTTAGGCTAGCAAAATTTATCTCTGAGTGAGCTAGTTGGTTGGTTGGTTGGTAGGTAGGTTTAAATGCCACCTACCCTAATTCCAGCTTCATTAAGAATCCTACTTAGGGTTTATGAAGTTTCTTCTTTATATAGCAGTCCTATCGAGAATTTCAAATTCCTTCTTATATACATATACATATTTTCACTACCACTTTTATTTTACTTATGGATCTTCATATATTTTCGAATAAATTCTAAGAATGTTTCCTTTATTTGTTTGATTTCATGATTTAAATTATTTTTTTACCTACTAGTTAAGCTCCTGGCTTGATTACATATATAAACGCTTAACTAAACTTACCTTTACCTATTTTAGGTATCGGTTTCTTACAGAAGCTAGTAGTACCTGAGCCAACATACTGTTTTCAACACAATGAATGTGTTATTCACATTTCTCTACCATAAACTTAGGAGAAGGATTAAACGACGTTCTAAGAGTTTTAAGTTCTATTCAACTATTCATAAATAAGTTGGTTAGTAATGGAGACATTGGTGATCACATCATCACCCTATTCGTAACCTGAATAGTTCAGTAGTAACGTCATATGGTTGCAAATATCGGAGGGAACATAAATTCCTTCGACGTTGTTGGCATGTCTTGTCAACTGGTGCCAAATAACCATGAAACCTACATCTAGTGCTGCATCCGGGGGAAATCAATAAGGCTGATCAATGATAAAATACTGAAGAATAACTTCTGAATCCCAGTGCAGACGATAACTACAGTTGATTTGTCTACCGTCCCTTAAAGAATGATCAGCTCAGAGAATAACGAAAACACCTTAATATGTGCATCTACAACTCCAAGAAATTGCCGCAAATTTTAAACAACAAATTTACCAAAGAAACAAAACAAACGTATAACACATTGATATATATAAACTTACAGTCTTCCAATGTTCTTGTTTGTGTATAAGCTGGTGGTGATGGACCTTTACTATTCATTGCAATGACACGAAATGCATATGCTGTAAACTTTGGTAGACCAGTAATTTCATGATCCATTTGTCGAATAACCATATTACAATGTACACGACTGTAACGACCACGCATCGATGTACTAGTAATAATAATAATAATAATAATAATAATAATAATAATAAGTGGGGAAACAGGAAACAAGAAGGAGGGGGAAATCATAAATTCAATTTATTTCACTATACATACGTGCGGATGTATAAAGGTTTTTTGGAGAAGTAATTTTAGCTGAAGTCCGATTAGGAGAGCAGCATAAGGGAGGTGTGGACTATTTGATTAGATTCAGGCAAGTGATCCGACCAATACTTGTTGTTATCTTGATATGGTGGTCAGGATTGCATATTGTAATAACTGAACACTAGCCACACTGGCTGCAACGAATGTTCTGAATGCAAGTCCTACCACGCTAAAAACGTCGCTTGTATAGAGGTATAAGGGTGAAGCTATACTGCTAGCGAATAAGCATATGATAGTAGTGAGATGTTTCCGTCAGAAGGACAGGCAAGCCAACTGTGCTGTCTTCCTGCTACTAACTGGGAAGCGATTAGAGAGAGAAGGTTGACACCTCAGATATTATACACTCCGACTTAATCCGAAGCGGTCCGTGACCGGATACAACTCAAAAATCTACTCTTTACAAACCACGTGTATTCAGCCGTCAACCGTTGTCTCCGAGGTGTCCCTGTGGTCAAACAACGCTTATACTATTGCTGTTTCAGCTATGTCGATAAGAGCCAGTGACTACAAACGTTCTGTAAAGTAGCTTTTTTCTTCTTCATAAGCCTTATTTCTATGTCTCTTTAATGTGTGAATTACTGTATAGAAGTCATGATTAATTTTTACAGTAAAGTATACCTAATTGGTGGATGGCGACTAACAGTGGAATCCAGGATGCTAATTTCGTCCTATTTGGGACTCGCCAGCTAGATGTACCTGCACTCCCCAGTGAATGATGATCTTCATTATCCACAGTTTTGATAAATTCGCTAAATATTTATAATTTATTGGTGCCTTGTAGGTTTATAAATTTGGAAAGTGTTATTATTAGAAGACGGAGATTATCTGAAAACTAATGCGAGATGTATTTGCGCCATCTACATTTCAAACAATCCGATCCCTCACACACACACTTACTTGTCAAGTCGATATATACGTGAAAAAAAATTAAGGGCGATTAAATTAAACAAAGTGATAAAAAGATTTAAGAATAATTTTAACATAAACATTTGGTATTCCAATCAAATAAGGATTACCAAGGTAGGTTAAGAGTAATAATAAACTGTTTTTGAACACACAGGGTGGGTGAGGGGGGGCTTAAGTCTATGAATAGCTATAGTCTCAGCGTTTTTCTATAGGAGATATGTAGATGATATCATTTTGATATGTGACGATCATGAAGATGCGAGTCGTCTATTAGACAGAATTAACTCTGCACAGAATCACATAAGTCTAACATGCAAGGAAGAAAGCCGCAACCAGTTTGCATTTTTAGACATACTTCTGAGTCGAAGAGATGATGGTTCAATAAGACGATCAATTTACAGAAAGCCCACTTGGACAGGGCAGTACCTTAATTTTCACAGTTCCTATCCATTACAGTATAAGAGAGGCTTGGTGAAATGCTTATTTAATAGGATTCAACATATTTGCACGGCTGATGTTGTAGAGAAAGACAATGAAATATTGATGGAAAATGGATATCCTTTAGGATTTTTAAACAGGTGTAGAAGTCAATTAGTCTTTAAACCTACAATCTATATCGCCCCTAAGAAAAATGTTCTCATCAAATTACCACATAACAGTGAAATAAACAGCAGGATTTTGAAACAAAGGTTAAATTCGATCATCTGTAGGACATGTTATGCAGCCCGGCTTGTAATTATCGAAAAAGCCGAAAATATGCTTCACTGCAAACCTCAAAAGTGCACGTGTGTGTGTGTGTGTGGACACAAATACATAGGGAGGGGTAATCATGCTTTGCATGTGAGGGTGGGAAGAGCATATCCCGAAATGGTTAGAAAGACAAATGAATTCTGGAAAATCAATAGATGCAGGGGGCAGACTACCCAACTTCGTCTATAGCCAAATATCTAATCGAGAAGAACCATAAGACTGACGTTAGCACAGCCTTTAAGGTTATCTATAAAAACAGTCAAGGGTGCTTTTGGAATACGCTGGGACTATAGCTATTCATAGACTTAGCGCTCTTGGTGAGAAGAAGAATCATCAATCCAGTTTGGCCATGGTAGGAACAGCGTCTGGACATGTTCCTTTTGGATACAAAGTTCCGGCTTAGTCAATCTTATTGCAACAGCTTCAGCTATGTGTAGGAGACGTAAGCGAACTGTACGTGATAACGACTTCGGAATTCGGTATATAACCCTGAAAGCTGTGTTGACATCGATATGATGTCCAGTATCGACCAAGTGTGACAGGATCGAGCTTTTAATGCACTTAATTTTCCCCCTGCTGAACCAAGCTGGTAAATGTTCTCGAACCCGTAGACGAACCTGCCGAATCGTGCGCCCTATGTAACTTAAACCACAGGAACAGTTGAAATGGTATATGCATGAAGAAGAGCTAAGCCTAGGTAAGACATCTTTGAGTTGCTGGGTGAACATTGGACGGCTACTGAAGGATAGACACAGACGTGCAGAGTATAAAGTCTTCTTATAGCCGTGGTTAAACGTTGGGATAGAATCTCTGCAAGAGTTGAATTGTAGACGTTAAAATTGAGACTTTTTCTCCACCGTTAACAGTTCATGTTACGACTGTTGTAACCTATGTTGGCTTTAATGAACTTCTCTGGATATCCGCTCTCGCTTAGAATGTCTCAGATGACCTGAAGTTCTTTCTCTACACAGTTTTCAGAACAAATGCACCTCACTCTAAATGCTAGGCACCTAATCGGATTACGTTTAAATTTCATCGGTACGAAGCTAAGGAAGTGTGTATATTGAGCATTGGTCTCCGGTTTTCTAAATATGAACTGACTTGCCAATTTTCCTACCCCATATTCTACGAATCTATTGTGACTAATCACCACCATTGCCTACCATTTTACAATATTTTGTAATCGATTTCAGCCTAGCACGTTTGTCACACAAATACGACTATTTATTTTGACACCCCATAACTAATCTGTTATTCTACGTTAAAAATGTATCCTCCGTATAACTGGCTGTAAGTGAGTAACTGAGAGGAGGCCTGAAAACGTGGAGAGGTTGAGCATGAGTCTATAAACCCCATCCCGCAAACATTATAACATCACAGCTACTGAAACTTCAAGACTCAAGCTTGAATCTCAATATGTTTCAAGTGGAACTCAAAAATAAAATAAAATAAAAACACATACATGGATCACAGACCCACTGAACCTACCTATGCTCATCAGTTTGATCTTCAGGCCACGGGAGTTCAGTTAACTCTTCAGCTGATAGACTATCTTTTATACGTTGTCGACAAATCCAATATCGGTCAACATTACCATTTAAATGCTCTGGTGCAGGATTGTCCCAGCTAACTACAATTGTATCCGATGCTGTACCATTGGCTATAAGGCGTTGAACTGGACCATCCGGTTCTTAATTGTTATGAGAGGAAAGACAAACAAATAAAACACTGAAATAACACCAACTTACATTTAACATGAGTACTTCTCGCTCATACATACACATTAATACGATAAGAAATATGTTGTGGACAAAACGACGAAATTAATAACAGAGAAAATGTCATCGAAGTTAAAGACTCCTCATCAATAAGATGTATCTGCGACCCAATTGTCAGTGCAAACGAATTCACATTTCACCAAAAGCTGACACTGGTTAGAGAACCATTGGAAAGCCAACTGGTAGTACTGGACACCCAGCTGTTTCGTCAGCCTAGTTTGAGACTCTTCACTAGTATGCACCCACTGCGAAAGTTCGGACCCACGACTTTCTGGTTACAAGGCTAGTGAGCTAGCTCTTAGACCATCCAGTCACGGGGACCCGCAATCCAATGGCCAACTAATAAATTCCAACTTCTGTCAATTTACGACATAGCGCGACCACTAGCCAATATCTTCGGCGAGTATTTGTCCTCACGCCCGACCTACTACACCCTACTGGTCACGACTTCTCACTAGAACCCCAGGTAACTACCCACCAGTAGGGTGCAGTAGGTCAGGAGTGAGGACAAATACTCTGCAGCGATGACAGTGGCTAGTGGTCGTGCTAGTGGTCGTGAACTGGCAGAAGTTAGAATACCTGGGCTATTGGATCGGATCACAGTGGCTTAATGGTCTACGAGCTAGCTCGCCTTGTAACCAGAAGGTCGTGGGTTCGTACACCAATGGTGTGGGTGCGTACTAACTGACGAGGAGTCCCAAACTAGGACGGAACAGCTGTCCAGTACCCCAGTACGGGTTTTCCAATGGTTCTCTAACCAATGTCAGCTCATGATGAAATCCTGTAACCAATCAATCAAGTCCCTACAAACCAACACTTGAATTCACATTTGGAACCCGATAGTGCATGTTGTACCGACTTTAATCAGTTGAATGGGATAAGAGTGATTGTCAATCTTATGCCATCCATAAACTCGTTGGTGCGGATTGTCTCTATATAAGAAAGAGATGAAACCCACCACGGGTGAGAGTCAATATTGAGATCCAAATTTTAATTCAGTTGGAAGGTTAAGTCAACAAATCGTTTATTTTCATGTGTTGGTTTTTAGGGGATTTGATCGATTTCAACAGTGATCATGAACTAACTTCAGTCAGAGATCAACTGAAAACTAGTTGTTGCATCTTTATTTAGGACTCTACAGCAGTGCGTACCCATTTAACTTAACTACCCCCCCCCCCCAGGGTTTGAACCCAGGACCTTGAGGTTAAAAGGTGAACTCATTGATCAATCAGGCAGAGGGTGTCACAAAAACACTGACTGGCTGTTGCTTTGTGTATGACAAACTGGCAGAAGAAGGAATGCATAGGCCACTAGACTCCGCCAGTGTGGTTGAATAGTCAACGACCTCGCCTTTTATCCATAAGCTCCTGGGTTCGATCCCTGGTGGGGTCATGAGTGCATACTGCTGAAAAGTAGCTCGGAACTAGGACGAAACAGATGTCCAGTACACCATGCTGGTTTTCAGTGGTTCTCTAACTGAACAGGTCAGCTCGTAATCAGTCTTAAAATCACCGATTGTAGACTATTACACACAGGTGGGTAATTACTACTGTAGTTGAGTATTTTGTCTGTGTATACATCGATTTTCTGTATACTTGTGTTTATAAATTTCTTGTGTTAGTTCTCTTGATCAAGACCTGAGCTGAAGCGATGTTATCTAGAAGTGGGACGACGAAAGCTTCGCAATTATATCAATTAGCAGCTCAGAGAATACACAACTAATTCATTACTATCCACTTGAGTTACAAGTCTTCTCCATTATCTCAACATTTGAGTTTCTGCAAGATTCGAGAAAACAACTTCGATGCAGAGAAGTACTGGGGTGTGCTTTAAATTGATCGTTCGTCAAAGATTTCAACTTAAATTGTTCACATTTACGATTGATCATGCCAATGAGCATGAGAAAATCATCATTTTCACTCATGATTAACTTGAGACCGGGATTTTACGAGTTGATCACGGACTGATATCAGTTAGAGAACCATTGAAAACCAGCCACAGGGAATACTGGACAGCTGCTGTTTCATCCTAGTTTGGGAATCATCGGCAGTAAGCACCCACACTACAGGATTCGAACCCAGGACCTTCCGGTTACAAGGCAAGCTAGCTCGTAGACCATTCAGCCACTGGGACCCGATTCAATGGCTCATGAATTCTAACTACTACCAATTCGTGATTTTAGGGCGACCCCAACTATTGTCGTTAGTGGGACATCCATCCACACACGTGACTTCTAATTGCACCTCACTGGTCACGACTTCTCACTAGAACTACAGGAAGCTCCAACCTGTAGCAAGTCACTAGCGAGCATCAGAATAATTTTCTAAAGTTGGGTTTGTAAGGATTAGTTATGTTTTACGAGTTGATCACGGACTGATATCAGTTAGAGAACCATTGAAAACCAGGGAGTACTGGACAGCTGCTGTTTCATCCACCCACTGGGATTCGAACCCAGGACCTTCCGGTTACAAGGCAAGCTCGTATACACCGGGATATCAAGAATTAAACAGGAATGATCAGGATCACCAAAGTGTTTTCTTAATGTCTGCAATGTGGCTTAAAAGGTGCGGTCACGTGGGTCATGTGACAGAATTATGTTGCAATATTGGTCCAATTCAGAATGACCCAATTCTTGAAGTAGGGAGATGCACTTTCAAGGAATCATCCCAGTCAGCAAAATCTACTTGAAAATTGTCTTCATCTCTCCCTAAACCAAGTATCAAATGCAACGTTAGCATCAGGATGATAGTGGAGTTCAGTAACGTTACTGGTAATTCCATCGACTCAAGAGTATGTTACAGCCGGAGTGTGGCCTACAATGATTCCACACCAAGGATTTTAGAGTGGGTGAGCAACTCGATGATTTTCATCTGTTGTCCGAGGAATAGGTTCAACTTCGATGAATCTAGTATATTTTTTTATTATTTTATCATTCCCTTGAGTTCCAAGTGGGACATAGGACTTCAACAACACATCTCCATTTCTATCCTCTGCTGTCCTCTTCAGCTGGCTAGCTGCCACGATCGCCCATAATCTCTCATCTCTTAGTCCAACTCGCACAACCTCCTCCATGTCACCCTAGCACCCATGACCCACTCGGTGTTTTCTCTATTTGCATTCCATTCGAGCAATGGCCTGCATTGAGCGCGATGTCATTCAACGGCCTCCTCAATGTATGCCCAATCCATCTCCATTTTCTCCTACATATTTGTTGAGCAGTCGGCTCTCGCCTGTTCGTTGGTTTGTTCCAGTGAAAAGTTTCTTGTTGCTAATTCTTTCTGACTGGCCATTTGATCTTTAGTATGGAGTCAGCCAGCGAAGTGGGCAGCTGTTGATGAAAGTCTGAAACAGGCCGTTGGAAATCCTTTTCGTGACTACTCACGTGCAGTGCAAGTTTCTGACCCATATAGAAGAATTGACTGACTGACTTCAAATTTGTGTTGAAAATCTGAATATTGTTCTTTATGCTGAGTTAGTTCAGGAGATTTCCAAAGTGGTTTCCAGTTTGGATTTCAAAATACCTGTCAACAAATACAAAACCTTAGTCAAGTAGAACTAACTCTTTCTACAGTCCACTATGTGGGGTGTGCGGGGTAATCCAAATGAAGATAATTAACCACACAGTTTGAAACTGTGTGTGCGTTAGTGTCGAGTCTCTCAAAAAACAACATCACTCAGTAAGTAAGATGCAACTGTACTTAATTCACGATTACAAGACATACAAGAAACTTCTGCTCTGAAATGAACTTCACTGCTAACCAACATCAAGCACACAGTAAAAAAATTGAAATCCAGGACAATATCAAGACATCCGTTTAACGAATCTCCAATGTGTCCCTGTCAGATAACACTAACAATTAGAATGCTTGAATACAATTGTCAGGAAGCCCTGGACTTAGTTTTGACGACCACACTGCACACCTGACTGACAGAATTCAGTCCAGAACAACATTGAGGACCAGACACATGACATTGGCTCCCCTCTAGTGACCAATCAAAGTATCCAGTACATTCCCATAGGAGAGCGATTGCGAGTCCGTATAACTCAGTGGTAACACCTTTGACTTCATCACTGGGTGACCTAGATTCGAAAATTATAAGGGACATGAGTTCCTTGATGATTGCATAAACACTTTCCTCATTCCTTGAACATATATTCAACACTAGTAACTCAATATGCACGGAAAATTCTTTCAAAGTCATCTACAAAGTCAAAAGAAGCCTCCCGCAAGCAGTAAGCTTCTACATACTTTGCATTGTCGAGGCCCTCGCGATCCAGATAGAAAACCCTGATTTTTTCTGTACACAGAAGGAACTTTTCCACCCTCTCCTTTTTACCTTCGGTAAGATTTCAAGCTTTACTACTTTGTTAATAATGCTTTCTTTTTCAATTTTTTGAATTTTTGTACGACATCTTAGTAACATCTTTTTCTTAACCAACCCTTCATTTACTCTTTCCACCTATTATATAATTTACTGTTTGGACACCTTTCTCCATGCTCTTTTATTCACATCCTACTTTTCCGGGTGTCTTTCCATATTATGCAACCCTTGTCAATACCGAGATGCACCTCCTAGTTACAATTTTGATTATTCATCACATTTTCGAAACATTTTGATGAAGTAAACAGTGGTGACCCCAGCTAATTTTTTATTTTCGTTTGACCATTCTAATGTACACACACACACAATAGTTACATATAAATGCCGTTGTGCAGCTAAGTGAATAAATTCGCCAATGAAAAGAAACTCTTCGCTGAACGCTTTGTTGTTGTTCTTATATTCATGATAGGTGTCAGTTGCCACCACCCAACAACCAAAGACTAAACACGCATCACACATTCGGCAGTGTTCTTGCGACCAATCAATGGAAACAACTAACCGAGGGAAATAAAACGATTAAAAACAAAGAAATATAAACAGAAAAAACACAAAATGATAAAACATACTAGCTTCTTGAGTAGTAAGCGCTAAAGCATTCTCTACACTTGAACCGACATCATTGATTGCTGCTACAGTGATATGATATTTTGTATACGGTCGAAGATTATTCAATTCAATACGATGCTGATTCGCTGGGACATCAATCTCTGTGACATTAGGCTGAAAGAAAAAAATGATATTGATTATATAGGCCATTTGAGAAATGTAGAAATAAGAGTCGGAAAGTTATGCATGTGAAGTCAGTGCTACTATATGGATCAGAAACTTGGCGCGTCATGAAGAGCATCTCAAACAAACTACAGGCCTTCATTAACAGTTGTCTTCGCTCAATACTCAAGATCAGATGGCTGGCCAGAAAAGATCAGCAACAGGGATCTCTGGTAGCGAACCAACACAGTAGGAACCGATTGTGAAACAAATATGCAGGTAGAAATGGAGATGGATTGGCCATACTCTGAGAAAACCGTCAAGTGACATCACTAGACAAGCCATCGCTCGAGTGGAACCCGAAAGGGAAGCGGCGAGTTGGTCGTCAGTGCAAGGGTGACTTGGAGGAGGTCATGTGAAGAGGAGATAAAAGCGTGTGGGTAGACTTGGAGTCAGGTGAAGACTCTAGCAGAGAACCGAACGCAATGGAGACGGCTGGCTGAAGCCCTATGTTCCTCTAGGAATTAAAGGAAACAATAATAATGTGCATATTTGATGAAGTACGCAGTAGGAAGTGAAAACCACGTCTCAATGACAATCAATTACAACTGATTGTATAGTGAAATAGTGACATGAAAGTGTGTGTTATATGTGACACAAATCTATGCGGTTTTTCATAACCACTAAAATGGATCTGACTCCTGAAGATGAGTTTGTAGTCATTGTCTCTCAGTATCCGGAGAACTCCAGACAGTTAGTTTACAACAACAACGATATAATCGGTGGCACAATGGTTAGGACGTTCACCGACCATGCACATGGTCCGCGGTTCGATCCCCAGCCAACGCATACCTTATATCAATGGTCGGCATGCTAAATTTGGGCTACCGATATCATATACTGAAAAAAATTCTAAATTTGTAACAAAAATAGTGTGCGGAGTCAAGCTATAATGAAATACAATTTTAAAAATTACCATTCCGTGTGAAATAATGGAGAGGATTTGTACCTTAGATGGATGATTTTGATATACTTGTCTTCTCTCCGCTGGTTGATTTAATTGCGAAGCTTTCGGTGTCCGTGTTCTAGACAACATCTTCAGAGCAGCTTCTAGTAGTAAAACCTTTCATACTAAAGCCTGTGCTGAAGATAAAATCTAGAAGCGGAACAACGAAAGCTTCGCAATTAAACCAACCAGCTTAGAGAACATAAGTATATCAGTATTCCATCTAAACCAATATCGTTCCATCCAAAGTATGTTCCAATAATACAGCACAATGTTATTACTAAATTTTTGTTTCAAAAAATTCCTAGATACAGATCGAAACTTATTTGAAATTGTGCGCGAATATAGATTACGACTCGTTGTAGTAATTAGATAACTAAAACAATGTGAAACGGAGTAAATGCAGTGTATTTTGATGGACAGAGAATTTAGGTAGTCGAATGGTTCAAACGCGTCGGTGGAATAGCGGTTAGGACGCTCGCCGACCATGCACATGGTCCGGGGTTCGAATCCCGGCCGACGAACTCCTTTACCTCGATAAGCCAGAAGTAATGCTGGTGAAGAGGTAAGGTTGGGCATGAGGCTAGCAACCCCATCTCGTAAAATAAACAATGCTACAGAAACTTCAAGCCACTAGCTTGGAGCCCTATGTTCCACTGAGGAACGTGAAGGACAAAAAAAATGATTCAAACAGGCCGTCTGCATACGCTGCTTAAACCGACAGACAGACAGACAGACAGACAGACAGACAGACAGACAGACTGACTGACTGACTGACTGACTGACTGATTGACTGACTGACTGACTGACTGGTTTCAATGTACAACTTTGCATAGATGTGCAGCAGTTCATGTCACCACACTCCCTCCAATGTAGCACACACAAAGCAAGAGAAGAGAGTAAAAAGAGATTCAAAAGAGAGGTAATAAACAGAAGTATGCGGCAAAAAAATAGTAATATGGAAGACCAATAGAATTTTACTGGATACGACAAATCACAAAGAGTGGAGGCACGTGCGACAATGAGAACACTTTTGAGCCATATCACCAGTTGTCTCCAACCACTGGTTCTGTGGATTTCATCAACTGATTAAGCCATGCTTTGGTTTGACCACTACTAGCAGACTCTTTTCCAACCTGATCGCATATCTGCTTGTATTGCCCGTCGAGGAAGGTGATGGCTAGGCACGCATGAGTAACACATGTCTTAACCATCTCAATCTGTGTAACTTCACAACCTCGTCGGTTGATTTCCCCTCCGTACTTACCACTCTACTCCTAACCCAAGTATCACTCACCCTATTATACCACCTAACATGAGAGATAGACCGCAGACACCTATGATCAAAGACAGCCAGCCAACGTTTTCATTTCTTCCACTTTCACTGACCATGTGTCTGAAAGCCATAAAGGAGAACGGAGCGAACTTTTGAGGAGTACACATGTCCTTTGGTCGACAGCCGGCCGACCGGATATCACGTCTGCTAAGCCAAAGAAAGCGTAATCTGTGGCTGGGGCTGATGCAACTTCCGAAATAAGTGAAGTGGTCAACACGCTCCACCAACCACTTCACTCATGCCTACTTTTAAGCTAGGAGTAAATCGATGTAGTCCAGTCCTGTAGGTAGCATCACCTTACATTTGACAGCAGCAACGAATCACACGCCAAACATTCGAAAACTGCTGCACAGCTCAAGGTTTTTAGAAGACTCTGCTGGATTTTGTCAGCGTTTCACCACCTACAAGGACTAAATCATCTGCGTATTCAAAGTCAACGAGATTATTCCTTGGTGGTAACAAGTCAGTTAGGGTTAAATCCATTGGTACAATGTCTATTATGAAATTAAAGAGAAATGTGGACACAATGGGCATCCCTGACGAACACCGATAGTCGAAGACTTCATGGATTACTGCTATATTTCGACCATGAAATCAGTTCTAACTCTTTTTCAACACAATCCTATATCACTTAACACAGCTAATCGAGAAAAGCTGTGGCCTAGAATATGCAACACATGTCCAAGTCATCTCTGTCTATGCAACTTCACAACCTCATCGATTGATTTGCCCTCCTTACCCTACTATCGATGGTGGCTTTTTGGCTTCCGTCGTCTTATAGACTTAGAATACGCAGACGACATAGTCCTGTTAGGGGAGGACGCTGACAAAATGCAGAGTCTTCTGAACACCTTGAGCAGCAATCTTCGTATGTTTGGCATGCGATTTGCCCCTGCGAAATGTAAGATGCTGCTACAGGACTGGACTACGTCAACTCCTAGCTTAGTGATAGGGAGTGAAGTGATAGAACATGTTGACCACTTCACCTATTTGGGAAGTTGTATCAGCACCAACGGATTGATTGGTGACGAAATCACAGCACGGATCCAGAAAGCTCGGGCTGCTTTCGCTAACTTACACCGTCTCTGGCGTAGGCGTGACATCCGGCTGTCAACCAAGGGACGTGTATACTGCTCATTAGTTCGCTCCGTCCTTCTCTATGGTGGTGAGACGTGGCCATTGAGAGCGGAAGACATGAAGAGATTGTCTGTTTTTGACCACAGATGTTTACGATCTCTTTCTCGCGTTAGGTGGTATAATAAGGTAAGTAATGTTGACGTCAGCCGTAGTGTTGGGCAAAGAGGGAAAATCACTCGAAGAGGCTATGAAGTTACATAGATTGAGATGGTTAGGTCACGTGCTGAGCATGCCTAACCATCGTCTCCCCCGACGGGCATTACTAGCTGATATAGGTGCAGGTTGGAAAAGAGTAAGTGGTGGCCAAACAAAAACATGGCATCAATCCATGAAATCCTTGACAGTTAAACTGAGTCAGGTAGGGAGATGCAGACTTCCGGGTTGGGGCCCGCCCTCGGGACTCTAAGAATCAATGGCTGGAGACACTAGGTGACATGGCTCAAAATCGTTGTCAATGGCGCAGATGTATTCAGTCTCTTTAACCTTCATATTCCTTTCTACCATTACTCATTCTGTTTCACTCTTATAATTATCTAAATTCTATTGATTCTCTTCTCTCATTTTCCTGTCTACCTTTGTGTGCTATTTGGAATGTGGCAACTCGAACTGCTGCACTTCGGTGCCAAGTTCTATGTTGAATCCAGCAGCAGCAGCAGCCTTACCGTACTACTACTCTACCACTCTAACCTCAATACTACTCAGAATATTATACCACTTCATGTGAAAGATTGAACACAGACACCATCTATGGTTGAAAAACGTTAATCTTTTCATATCTACTCCTTTCAACAGCCATGTCGTCGTATAGCCGTAAGGAAGGTCAGGCAAACTAATAAACAGCACACAGTTCCTTTTATGGATAATCAGATGCACTTTCCTTTTACCTTAGAGAGTTAGAAAAACAGGATCAGCAGAGTAAAGGACAAAGAAACCAAGTAGTGGATCTGAGCAATTTATTCAACATCTTGTCAATCACAACCACGTGATATCTTGTCTCAATTCAATGTTGAATAATAGTCGTCTGTCCATACATTGTATATACATCAATACAGCTTTCAACTTACAACAAAGTGGATTCGTTAAAAAAGAAATTCAACCTCAACTATGCAGTAGGAAAAAGCCATCTCAATCGTATAACTATACTACACTATCACTATCAAGGTTAGTAAATCTTCTACATTCATGGAACTGCTTCAATTCTTTTCTATATACAGTAAAGTGTTGGTATAAGACGGTTGCAGGCAATCTAATACCAACAACTCACAGTGCAACATGATGGCGAGTCACCTAATGGCATGCTGGTGGCCATATTGCAAACTTGACTGATAGAATTCAGTCGGCACTAAAGATACGGCTAGACACATTACACTAGTTACTGACCAGTGTCCAACCGAAAGTATCCAATACAGTCCTACAGGAGGTCAATCGCGAGTCCGAATAGCTAGCTCAGTGATCACGTCCCTGACTGCAGCACTGGATGACGCGGGTTTGAATCCCAGAGGGGTGGGACATGAGTTCCTTCAAGGCGGTTGCAGAAACGCCTTGCTGACTGACTGGTGAGTGCCAACTAGTGTGGTGAGAGCTGTCTACTAGCCAAATTGGTAGACAGTAATTTACGTCAATATTTACGTTCCCAAGATTTGTCGTGAGAAACAACCAATCGGAAGACTGTGTTTGTTTGTTTACATATCCATAGTAATGTACATGAAAACATATAAATATGCGTTGATTTCCTTAATAAGTGATCTGTTGCCTGACTCTTGCCTTCTGTCGTTACACTAGCACGAAACCTAGGTCGGGTGGGGCTTCCTGTCCATTGCCTCCAACCATCTAATACCAGCAATTCACAGTGCATCATGATGGCAAACCACCTAGTGACATGGTGATGGCCACATTGCAAGCTTGACTGATAGAATTCAGTCTGCACTAAAGATAGGACTAGACACATTACACTAGTTACTGACTAGTGTCCAATCAAAAACAGTAAAATGTTGATGAACAGTCAAGTATCTTGATAAAAAAACAACACTCAGATCATTCAAGATCAACTACTATCAAATATCCATAAAAGCCGAAACCTTTAACAAACACAAAGTTAGAACAGACAAAACAATCGTATGAATAGGTGTGTTAGACAACCGAGAATAAGATATAGGAAAGCGGATTCAGTTGATAAGGACCTCTGTCATCCAGTCTGAATATACTTTGAGCAGATGAAATGTCAAAACACCAATAATTGTTAAAAATACCCATCAGGATTTTGACGAGAAAAGAAGAAGGAGCACAGCGAACAGATATCTTTTCGGAGATTGCATCCTCAAAAGCTGTACACGCAAACGCAGTTTTATACCAAATTTTTGAATTCGTAAATATCAATTCACGTTCTTATAAGACCAATTAGAGGACACTACTCAGTAAGGCTGCAAATAGGCAGCACAAGTTTAATCAGAAGCGCTATGATTGAACACTTCATCGTCAGCACCCGTAACAGCACTTCACTGACCCATTATTCAGAGTCATTTACAAAGTAAACTAATGTATATAAATGCGATTGTAGTACAGCTTCTTTTGAAGATGAAATCGCTGAAAAGATGTCATTGTTGAGCTTCTTGTTCGCTTCTCTGAGAAACATCAATAAGTATCATACAATGTATATACTTGAAGTGGACAAATTTTTTAGAAAAGACACTATACAAAAACAGACGCTACATTGTAAAATTACCTGTTTTGTAGAGGATATTGGTCCGTTGGCACTTGGTTCTGAGTGTGAATAACGTATACGATATTGACGTACTGGTTTATTTCCATCACGTAATGGAGGCAGCCATGAAAAAGAAACACTTGTGGCTGTTGTCCGTGAACTATTATATACAAATTGAACAGAATCAGGAACAGCTGGAAAAAAAAGAAAGATAAACAACTTTTATAAAAATATTATTATTATTTCCTTTAATTCCTAGAGGAATATAGGGCTTCAGCCGCGCGTCTCCATTGCGTTCGGTTCTCTGCTAGAGTCTTCACCTGGTTCCAAGTCTGTCCACACGTTTTCATCTCCTCTTCACATGACCTCCTCCATCTCACCCTCGCACTGACGACCAACTCGCCGCTTCCCTTTCGGGTTCCACTCGAGCAATGGTTTGTCTAGTGATGTCACTTGATGGTTTTCTCAGAGTATCGCCAATCCATCTCCATTTTTCCTTCATATTTGTTGTACAATCGGTTCCTGGTCGTTTCGCTCCCAGAGGTCCCTATTGCTGATCCTTTCTGGCCATCTGATCTTGAGCATTGAGCAAAGGCAGCTGTTAATGAAGGTCTGCAGTTTGTTTGAGGTACTCTTTATGACGCACTGGCCAAGTCTCTGATCCATAAAGTAGCACTGACTTCACATTGGAGTTGAAAATCCGGATCTTATTTTCATTTTCATGCTGAGTGCTGAGTGTTGACCTCCACACAGACTTGAGAGTAATGAAAGCTTGCTTTGCTTTCCCGATTCTTGCTTTGATATCCTCGTCAGTTCCGCGTGTAGTTGAAACGATACTTCTCAGGTAGGTAAAAGAGGTTGTTTCTTTCAGATTCCTCCCATTTATGCTGATTGTCTGTTGTTGTTGTTGTTGCTGCTGTTGGTGTTGGCCAGGAATCTCCATCACCTCTGTTTTCTCTATGTTCACCTGAATGCCTATCTTCTCTGGATGCTTCTTCTGCCAACTTGTTGCTTTTCACTTTCATATCTTCCAGTTTGTGAGAAATCAGACATATATCACATCGGCGAAGTTTAGATCCTCCAAGTTTTTCGTTAGGGTCCATTTTTATAAAAATATGCCTAACTAGTTTTATTGACTTGCATATTATGTTATTTTCTGAATAGAGGAAGAACAACAGTGGAGGTTTGTGCAGAATAATATGGTACCATCATTGTTTATTTCGTTGGCTTCTCATCAGCTTAGCTGCTTACAGCCTAAATAAATTATTATTAAGTTCATGTACAGAAAAGTCTTAACATACTTGGAAATTTTATATGATGTCTGTTAGTTGACAGGAATTACCGAACTTAGTGAACAGTGAAATGTTCAGAAAATGACGCTTATTTGGTTTTTACACAGGGAGTTCAAGTTTAAACAAAATAAACGTATGCGTGCAATGGTAAAGGAGTTAGTTACGTAATAAAAGACGAGAGATGCGTAAGATGCTGAGTGACTAATAAATTAGGTAACAATGTACTACTGAGTTCAATTCAAATCATAGAAACAATAGACAAGCAAAATTACAAATTATAAAAGGGGGGTGAGGTTAAAGTCAAAGATTATGTAATCAAATGAAATAGAGAATAAAGACATCCAGTTACCAGGCAGCAGGGCAAGGAAAGACTAACAATTGCTTCTTCCTGAACACAGAAATCGGGTTTCAATGTAGATTTTGTTATCAAATCGATTTCAGTAACTTTAGTTACAGCTTTTTATTTTCGTCCCAGTTTAGCGCTCTTCTTCAGTAGTACACACCCATTATACCACCACTAGGAACGCTGACAGAAGCCGCAGTTCATGAGCCACTGAACTCGCACCCCCTGATTGGATAGAACAAAGGACACTGCGTCCAATAACTGTTGAAATAATGCGTGCAAACAGCTAAAAGGTCTCAAATTACGACGAAACAACTCTTCATAGGCTCCATAGGCTTTCAATGGTTACATAATCTACAGTGAAATTAATCAAAACCTTAGGCTGTGGATGGAACATAAGGCTTCAACAGTATATCTTCATCCCATCTCTGTAGTCCTCTTTAGATGCCTTCACGATTGCCAGTAAGCTTTCATCTCCCCTCCCCTACACGACCTATAAAAATATACCAATCTCTAAATGACGTCCAACTCATCGTTTCCAGTCAAGGTTTCACTCCATTCTCTCCTTTGTGCACGTGATATCTTTTGACGGTATACTCAGCGTATAACCAGTTCAATCCATCTCTCCATTATCTTCGGCATACTTGTTCGGCACACAGGTTCTTGTTTTATTCATTTTCTGTGTTCTGATATTATTATATTATTATTATTACTATTGTTCCCTTGGGTTCCTAGTGGAACATAAGGCTTCAACTACACGTCTCCACTTGCTTCTGTCTTCTGCTGTACTTTTCACCTGCATCCATGTTAATCCATACTGTTTCAACTCCTCTCCACACGATCTCCTCCATGTCACCCTTGGACGTCCCACTCGCCACTTCCCTTTCGGGTTTCACTCGAGCAATGGTCTGACGCGTGATGTCACCCAACCGCCTCCTCAGCGAGTGTCCAATCCATCTCCACTTCCTCCTGCATATTTGTTGGGCGATTGGTTCTTGTTTTGTTTGTTCCCATAGTTTCTTGTTGGTGATTCTTTCCGGCGGCCATCTGATCTTCAGTATATAGACCGAAGACAGTTGTTGATAAAGGTCTGCAACAGGCTGTTGGAAATAATCTTGGTGACCCACCAAGTTTCTGATCCGAATATAGAAGAACTGATTTGACGTTTGTATTTAAAATCGGAATTTTGTTGTTGATGCTGATATACATAGACTTAATTTTCTGCATGTCATTTTTTACATGTCTGTTTGTATTTGTCACATCACACTCTTATTGATTTATTACCTCATTTTCTCTAATCCTATTTATGACCTTTAAAATCCTAATGGTTGTTCACTGTCTTGATTTATAAATGAAATTAGTGCTTCTCAAGGTCATTTTAAAGCACATGTATACGCACGCAAGCTCTGTCAGCCTTTTTTTAACTGTTGTTTTGAGACGTCAGTAAGGGCTCTCCTCCTATCAACATTCAGCCTTCTCTTCCAGCGGTATTACTGTTGTTGTTGTTGTTGACGAGCGATTAGGACAGATTAGCCAGCGCATTAAGGCTAGTATTCATTATCATAGTCTATTAATTAGGTCGTAGTTCCGTAGTTCATAACAAGTTCCTTGTTGCTAAACTTTTCTGGATGGACCTTCTGATCTTCAGTAACGAGCGAAGGCATCTGTTGATGAAAGCCTGAAGTAGGGTGCTTGAAATGCTTTTTCGTCAAGCGTGTGTCAAGCCACTGAACCAAATATATATAGAAGCAGTGACTTAACTTGACATTATTTTGAAAAGTACAATCTTATTCCCCACCCAGAGTGACTAGATTTCCAGACAAATTTCAGATGAATGAAGGTTCCTCTTGCCTTTGACATCCTCATTTGTACCGACAGTTTGTCGTTGGAAACGATGCTGCCTAGTCTACTAGCCTGAGAAGAGAAAAGAGGGAAGGGGTTCGCGGGGGGTGGAATTAACCATTCTCTCCCCCCCCGGAAAATCAACATAATCGCTGAGGAAACTTTTAAAAAAAACACTTACATATAACAGTTAATCGTACAAATGCTTCAACTTCTACTGGTTGTCCTTGTGAATCACGATTATATTTATTGGATGCTTTACACAAGTATTCACCCATATGAACTTCTTTAAGATTTAGAAATTGCAGCTGTTTTTCTAATCCACGCTTGTTTGGTTTAAAAAATGATACCTATGCAGTAAAATTAAAACGAAGAAACCAAAATATTAAAAAAAATAAAGTGAACACAATACTGGAAAAACAATAAGTGTGTGTGAAAAACTCATGGGGAAAGGATTGAATTCGAGATAGTTTTCTTTAAGAACTGATGATTAAAAGGGGTACAGGATTCCATCATGTGCGCTGACATCAGTTAGAGAACCATTGGAAAGCCAGTTGGGAGTACTGGACAGCCAGCTGTTTCGTCAGATCAGTTTGGGACTCTTCAACTGCACGCACCCACAGCCAGAGTTCGAACACAGGACTTTCTGGTTACAAGGCTAGAGAGCTCATAGACCATTAAGCCAGCCACTGGGACCCAATCCAATGGCCAACTCATGAATCCCAACTTCTGTCGATTCACGACATAGCACAACCGCTAGCCAATGTCGTCACTGGCGGGTATTCATCCTCATACCCAACCTGTTGTACCCTACTGGTCACGGCAGGTTGAAAGCATCGGTTCTCGTCCGATCACCGAAGTGAAGCAACGTTAGGTCCGGTCAGTACTTGCACAGGTGACCGGATAGGAATACCGGATGTTACCGACTTTTTAACCACGCCTAGTTAACTAGCTAGCTAGTTTTCTAGCCGGTCCCAAGCCTGTGTAAAGAAGGAGGGTTGGGCGTAGGGCTAGCAATCCTAAACTACTAAACCTATCAAACCGCTAAAGAAACTACAACAATACGTATTTGGCTCACATAATTTATCTGATGGGGAAAGTGTAAAGCATGGCATTACTCATTTGCTGAGAAACATTGAGTAAACGACCCTTTTGTTATTCTTTGTTTCATTATTATATTATGGTTAGTATTTTTACTTTAATTTTAATTTTATATTCATATGCTTATTTCACAATATTATCAATGTAAATGCCCGGTTTAATTATATCCCCCTGTATTGTGCAGTGAGAAAACTGGATGCGATATCGTATACATCCTGAAGGTTCCATACTTGTTTGTATGTAAAGGACAGTTTGGAATAAACCTATTATCACTATTATGATTACGATTACTCGGCTTCACTTAACTTAACTGATCGCGATCTATCCTTGGAACTGTCGGAAATCTATGTCGCAGTTGTTTACAAATCAAAACTCAATGGTCCACCCGGGTGGGGTGAGAGCTGTCTCCTAGCCAAAATTGTAGACAACAGTTTACATCAGTGTTTACGTCCCGAATCATGAGAAAAAACACAAGAATTAAGCTTAACCTTGAGGAACTCAACAACCAATCACACAGCAGACTTAACGTGTGTAAATATGATTCGCAGATATATGGCCTAACTTTCTGAGAAACGGTCACAAGCAGTACCGAATAACTTTGAGCAAGAAAACAACCAATCAGAAGACGTTGTTTCTCCACTGACAATAATGTACAAGAAAATCTATAAATATCTCTTCTGTCGTTACACTGGTCAAAGATAATTATTGTTATTATTAAAATAACACATAAAAAATTAGATATTTCATTTTACCTGACGAAATAGTATTCCACTTTCTAAGCCTTCGGTAGCATAACTTTGACAATCAGCTAAACTTGGATTCCAATCTTTGCTGCCGCTGCTGCTACTAGCACTACTGCTCCCACCTTCTGATGAAGCTGTCACCATCTTACCAATTTGATCAGATAATACCATATCTCGATCTTCAGTGGACATGACATCATCAGTTAATCGAAAAGCATCCAGTGTATCATCATCTCCACCACGTAGAAGTAAAGCTGATCGACTTTCATCAACATATGCCAGTGGGACAACACATGGTTTATCAATAATTTGCCAACGTGATTTCGGCGATAAACGATAATACCATGAAGCTTTCAAGTCATCTGGATCACCATATACACTACAGGTGAGATTGAATCGTGAACCACGAACTTTTTCAACACCTTCTAATGGATCAATACGTGCTGGTACTGAATATGAGAAAAAAAATCATTAGAACAATAAAATATCAGCATAAATATTCATAAGTGAATTTATGTAGGAAAAAGATTGAGAAATAGAGAAAATAATGCGGGAAATAAAAGAGGCTTTACTAACTCAATAATACGGGATATGGCAAAGTTAAGCTATTACAGCCAAAACCATGGTGACTCGGTACAACCAATCAGAATTCAGGTACAAAAAAGTCGCGAAATCGATTGAAAAATGCACTAAAAACCACTGCAAACATGATACTACACTATATAGCTATCGCGTACGTGTTTTAAGAATGTCTCCCAGTCAATACACAGATGATGTATAGGGAAATCATACCACATAAGCGATAGATACATTCATCCAGGTGACTGTAGGTCATGGTACTTTGATATCTACTGGTATTTTTGACAATGTTCTTAAACCTACTCCTAATCCGAACTTTAACCCGAGACCCTAAACCTAGCGAATAAGTGAAATACTATAGCTACCTTCTCCAAGTTCAAAACGCCGGGCATGATTGGATTTAGAATGACCTTTCATAGTATTCCCTGTATCTGACTGGTTCTTGAAGGTCAACTTTTGAAAACCTTTGGCTTTGGCTATGATACTTTAACTTCGCCCAGGAAATTAAACAGTTAGAGTTAAGGCTTCTCTACAACTGCCTTCACTGGTTAGATTAACGGAGATCTGGTGGCCCCCGCAAGAAAGAATAGCCCAACAGGGGACTCTGGCAGACGGCGACCTAGCCATGAACCTCACTTATTATTATTATTTTAATCCTTTACGTTCCAGAAGTGGGACCTAGGGCTTCAAGTTCGAGCTTCAGAGTTCCTAACCCCTACTCAGTCCAACCTTCCCTCTTTACCAGGCTTATCTACAGACTAAGGGAAGTTTAAGAGTGTGTTAACCAGGATTTAAGCTCCAAACCACGTGCATGGTGGGCGAGCACTCTACCGCTGAACCACGAATGCACCAGTCAGAACCTATGAAGGTGGATTAGAAATACACTGAGGAGAATATTGAGTGACACCATAAAACAGCTAGTCGTGGAACTAACTGAAAATGACGGCATATAATAGGGTAATGCTGAAGGCCTATATTACAATCGGAACAAAAGCAGTCAATATTTGGTAATAATATAGTTTTTTTATAGTTGGTTTGTAAGGATTAGTTTTGTTGCTTTTACGAGTTGACCACGGATTGATATAAGTTAGAGAACCATTGGAAAACCAGTACTGGGAGTACTGGACAGTCATCTGTTTCGTCAGCCTAGTTCGAGACTCTTCGTCAGTACACACTCACCATTAGGATTCGAACCCACGACCTTCTGGTTACAAGACTAGCGAGCTCGCATACCATTAAGCGACTGGGAACCGATTCAATGGCCCATGAATTCTAGCTTCTGCCAATTCATGACATAGTGGGCGCGTACTGATGAAGAGTCCAAAACCAGGACGAAACGGTTGTCCAGTACTCCCTGGAAGTTCTTCCGATGGTTCTCTAGCTGATGTAAGATTCTGATGAAATCCTCCAACTAATCAAACAAAAAGCCCTACAAAAACCAATACTTGAAAATATTCAAGCTTACCGTGTACTTCAAGGTTGACAGCTGAACTACGTTGTGCTGCAGTTGATAAACGTCCTGGCTTTAAAAAACACAAAAATTCCCGTGGATCTGATTCATCAACACTGGATAATAATAAAGTACCATTGGCTAATTGACCAATACGACCATTTGTAGCTTCAGATAACTGAGTCACACTGACATATGACCCAGTGGCTTAAATAAAAAGAAAGGCACAATAAAGATATTAGAAAGCACAAGTTTATAAATAATATACTTGGAAAATCGAAAATCGAGAAAGAAAAACAGTAAAACCATTGGAGTGAGTAGAGAAATGATAACGAATGTAGAGAAAATACGGAAAAAACAAATTCAAAATGACTATAATGAGGAGAATTGTGCGACAGAAATAGGCGGTCAAACCAAAACATGGTTTCATCAGTCAATGAAATTCACAACAGTTAGTTTAAGCCAGCCAGTCGGCCGCCATGTAGGGGGAGGTGTAGACTGCCAGTCTGGTTGTGGTCCTCGAGATGGTTAAAAACCAATGAAGGCAGCTGGAGACAGTTGGTGATATGGCTCAAAATGATCGTTATCGATGGCTGGCACAGGTGCATTCATTCTGTCTGATTTGCCATATCCAATAAAACTTTATTGTTCTTCCATATTACTATTCTTTTTCCCTCACTCACACTTCTGTTAATTATCTCTTTACTCTCTTCTCTTGCTTTGTGTGGTACATGGAGGAAGTGTGGCAAGTGGAACTGCCGCAGATCCGTGCAGAGTTCTACCTTGAAACCAGTCAGTCGGTCAGTCAGTTAACTAGCATGAAGCCAAAGACGACTAACTTTCCGATTGCATTCCGCGTCATCACTCACTGTGGAATGCAGGTACATCCAGATAACGAGTCCTAAATAGGAAGAAATGCGCATCCTGGATTCCACTACTGCTAGTCACCATCCACCAATTAAATTCTAATTAAATGGCCAGATATCGTCGAAACATCTGCACAAGAAGCCGACATGTCAACCTGAGACCGAGCACTTCGGTCCAATCAATCGACGGGAAAATCTAACATTTAATTAAAATTTCTCTTTATGGTTGTGTGATGAATACTGACGATAATATGTTGATTTACGACTGTGGCTTTGAGTGAATCAAGGCCATTCTAGTCTTAGGTAGTCTGCAGAAAGCGCTGGTGTGTGATTCTTGTGGATAGAGTTCTTTATTCCACCTTGTTGGGAAAATATTCTACTTGATTCTGACGGAAACTTCTTACTTGAAATGCCTCTTGCCTGTAAAGCTGCGTAACAGAAGAAGGACTATTGAGGCAATTTCGAATTTTTGATGTTATTATCGCTGTTGAATAGAACCATGGATTTATGAGATGAATATCCGTCTTTTTATTGACTTTAGATCGTTTTGTGACTGTGTGTCTCTCATTGAAGTTTTAGACAGCTACATACATAGTAGGATGCAAACATTGGTCCCTTGCATCCAGATTACAATGAGTCGGTTTTGGTCTTTAAAGGTGGATTACAAACCACCATTAACAACAACTCCTTGGCTTTGTCATACATTTGGCGACGGCGAACCAAACCTATTGCATAAGGGGTTCGAACCTGTAACCGCCCTGTGGTTGCATGTCAAGCGCCCCAAAACCAATAAAGCCACAAACTCCACAGACCACAAATATAAAAAGCTAACTAGGACGAAACAGATGTCCACTACTCTCAGGTGGTTTTCCAGTGGTTCTCTAACTGATGTCAGCTCATGATGAAATCCTCCATCCAATCAATCAAACAAAATCCCTACAAAAACCAATACTTGAAAGTTAATCTGATGCTCACTAGTGACTGGCGGCTCTATTCAGGCAGTTAACCTGGGGTTCTAGTGGGATACCGTAACCAGTAGGGTACAGCAGATTGAAGATGAGGCAGTAACTCATCGAAGAAGACATTGCGAAATGGTCGCGCTATGTCGTGAATTGGCAGAAGTTAGAATTCATGCGCTGACTGGCCATTGGATCGGGTCTCAGTGGCTCAATGGTCTACGAGCTCGCTAACCTTGTAAGCAGAAGACCCTGTGTTCGAACCCCGGTGGGTGCGTACTGCTGAAGAGTCCCAAACTAAAACAAAACAGCTGTCCAGTACTCCATACAATCGAATAACAATAAGTTGAATAATGCAGTTGTAAAACAAACGAGTAGACAAACTTAATGAAAACATCGCTAGAAACAAATTGCTAAAAGTCAAATTACTTTTTTGTAAATATTTCCATTCAACCACAGGTTGTAGATCTGATGGTTTAGCAGCACAATCAATTGAAATAGTTTGGCCAAGAGTAACATCCTGATTATTCGGTGGCCTGATTGCAAATTCCAATTCAGCTATAAATAATAATAATAATAATTTTAGAAAAAAAGTTATACATATTTATGCATAAACCATAAATCAAACGGTTAAATTATTATTTGTAGGTAGGTAGGTAGGTATGTACCGTTACGATTGTATTATCAATACAAAAGTAATTTAAGGTTACATGAATGCACGCATGCAGGCATATGATGTGCCGGTAGTTCAATGTAGTAAAATTCTCGCCAACCGCACGCTTCATGTGATCACGATATTAAGTCCAGGAAAAGACGGTTGATCATTGGCAAAGCTAAACTATGCGGTCTCAAGGAATGCGAACGCACGAGTGGCCTTGAGACGACCAATTATAAAATAGGTGATTTTTACACACACAAAAATCACATTTGTTTACAAGAAAATGCATGAAAAACACATTAATACAGGGTATCTTTCCCTGACATGACTTGAAAATACGTCTCAGTTATAATGAGCACCAGTTTTTAAGCTAGACCAGTTCTTGTACATGTATTCACCGAGGTGACGGAAGATGAGCTGTTTTTGTGAATCTTTTATCTCTCCTATCCTGTTGTGCAGTTTTCCCCAAAAGCCCTCGGTTAGAAAATTACTACAGTTTCCAGTAAGAGGATCGACGAATATTTACTAGGAAAATGTGGATAATAAAACAAGTTAAAATAAATAATACCAACCTCTAAGCCTATCCCTAATCGTAACCCTGACCCTGCTCCTAAACCTTAACCGTAATACCTACCTTAAGCCAAATCCTAACCCTAACTAGCTATTAACACATTGTCTAAACAGTACTTAAAAACGTGATCTGGGTGAAATTTGCTCCTTAGTTGGTGAATAGCGTTCATATTTGCGCTATGATAATGACAGGTGACGTTAGCCAACAACTAGCATGCATTCACTGTCACTGGAGCGTTTGCACCTTTGAGACCTGATAGTTTAACTCTGCCTGATCATTTAGGTTCAGAAATATCAACCGGCCATCGCAAGGATAAATCAAAATGATGTTAAACTATACTCATTGCACAACAAGTGTCTGTCATGATTTCAGGAGCCTCTTAGAGGGTGAAACGACGGCCGCAGTGTTCGAGTTTCAGTGTAAACACTACCAATCACTGAGAACACAGGCACTGTCAATGGACGTGAACATTGAACGTTTGTTTATTGGAAGTGGCAGCCATTGGTGGGCAACTCGAAGGCGCGAATGGTAAAATCGCGTGCAAGTTGGAAAAAGGCGGAAAGAACATGAATAAAAGTACTTTATAACTTCATTTGTACTAAACATTTGTTTGTAAACTTTGTATTTTGTCTTGCTTTAATTGCCAAACAATATAAATTCGTTCAAGGAATACTGGTGTTTTGGATTTAAAGTTAAAACAAATACATAGTCTTTATCGATTCAAAGCGTCTTCGTTACAATAGGAACTTAGGGCTAAGTTCCTTGACAGGCACCTTCAGCTAACGAGTCCTGAGTAGGACGAAATGAGCGGATCCTGGATTCCACTGCAAGTCAGTCACACATCATCAACTTCAATAACTTCAAATAATGGTAAACTACTTCGCTACTACGGAGTGCCACCAAGAATTATACATCTCATCCAACAGTTGTACGACAATGCTGCATGCCAAGTAATGCACAACGCGAAACTCATGGAATCCTTCGAAGTGTAGACGGGAGTAAGACAAGGTTGGCTGGCTGCCTACTATCTCCAATGATTGTCCTGATTGATAGAGACTGGGTAGTGCGACATACAGCGGCGAGGAAACAGGCATAAAATGGATTCACACAAAAAACTTGCGGGATCTGGACTTCGCCAATGTGATATACGTCTGATTTCTCACAAACTGGAAGATATGCAAGTGAAAAGCAACAGGTTGGCAGAAAAAGCATCAAAGATAGGAAGGAGATCACGTGAACACAGAAAAAACGGAGGTGATGAAGATTCCTGGCCAACACCAACAGCAACAACAACAGACAACAATCAGCATAAATGGGAGAAATCTGAAAGAACCAACCTCCTTGTCCTACCTGGCTACCTGGGAAGCATCGTTTCAACTACAGGCGGAACAAACGAGAATATCAAAGCAAAGATTGGGAAAGCAAGGCCAGCTTTCACTTCTCTCAAATCTGTGTGGAGGTTAACAGCACTCAGCATAAAAAACAAGATCCGGATTTTCAACTCCAATGTGAAGTCAGTGCTACTTTATGGATCAGAGACTTGACGCGTCATTAAGAGTACTTCGAACAAACTACAAACCTTCATCAATAGCTGTCTTCGCTCAATACTACTCAAGATCAGATGGCTGGCCAAAAAAGATCAGCAACAGAGATCTCTGACAATGAGCGAACCAACCCAGCAGGAACCGACTGTGCAACACATAAGCAGGAAGAAATGGGGGTGGATTGGCTGGCCATACTCTGAGAAAACAAACTATCAAGTGGCATCACAGGCCAAGCCATCGCTCGAGTGGAACCCGAATGGGAAACGGGGAGTTGGTCGTCAGTGCGAGGGTGACATGGAGGAGCTAATGTGAAGAGGAGATGAAAGCATGTGGGCAACCGTGGAGCCAGGTGAAAACGTTAGCAGAGAACCGAACGCGCAATTTAGACGTCCGACTGAAGCCCTACGTTCCTCCAGGAACCAAATGAAACAATAATAATAATAAATAGTAATAACTAATGTAAATATAATTAAGACTCACGTATAAAAGTTACACGTATCGATTGTCTGTCTATGCCAACTTCATTAACAACTACACATGTTAAATTCCCATGATGTTGATCTTTGCGTAATTCATTGACACTCACGTGGACAGCTGAATTCGGTTCAGTATGCACAAATGATGGTACACGTTCACGTAAACTATCTGGAAGACGCCATGGTGTAGCTTCATTCTCTGAGACAACATACTAAAGTGTAAGAAGAATTGAAAGAGAATAATTCAGGTATATAAAAAAAGCACAACAACAATGACTACAGTTTAACAACACTGTGTATATGATGTTTATTACATACCAGACTAAACATGAATAACGCTCACGACATAAATATGAATGAAAATATTCTGTATAGTCTAGAACAAAGTAGACTGAATGCAGCTCAAACCAGACGCCCAACATAAACAGATATGTAAAACTTGGACACACTGGTGATAGGTAGGATACCAAGCATATATATGTCGTGGTGAGAGCTGTCTGCAAGCCGAAAATTGTAGACAACAATTTACGTCAATGTTTACATCCCGAATCAGGGTCATGAGAAAAAAGCACAAGAACATAGCTTAGCCTTGAGGAACTCAACAACCAATCACAGCAGACTTAACGTGTGCAAATACGATTAGCAGATATATGGTCTGACCTTCGAAGGAACGGCTACAGGCAGTACAGAATGACCTTTAGGAAGAAAACAACCAATCAGAAGACGTTGCTTCTCCTCTGACAATAATGCACATAAAAATCTATACATATATCTCTTGATTTTCTTAATAAATGATCTGTTGCCTGGCCCTTCTCTTCTGTCGTAACAGTACTACTACTACTACTACTACAACTCGTCATCCAAGATCTCGTCGACTAACTCTCCTCCTGCCTGGGTTAAAACAATCCATCACTAATCTGCACATTGTTTAGTTGGTGATCAGAACGAAGATATGGAGTGTTACGAAGGGACACAGTAATCAAACAGCTGACGCCTTTGTAAAACCTTTCCTTTCCAGTTATCACATCCGCATATTGGGATAGAATACACTACACCACACTAAGCTCAATCTTAAACGGGAAAATATCTCGGTTGGGCTAAATGTGACAACCATCGACAAGAGGTGAAAACTGATGGGATTGTCTACTATAATAGCCTAACGGGTGTTCGACTAAGTGGAGACCTAAAGATAAGGAGTGAAAAAAACGTCAAATAGTTTCTTGATTGACAAACGGGAACTTAGAAATAACAAAACTGAGAAATTTGTTTTGTTTTTACGACTTTGACCACGGATTGATATCACAGTTAGAGAACCATTGAAAACCAGCCACAGGGAGTACTAGACAGCTAGCTGTTTCATCAGCCTAGTTTGGGAATCATCGGGAGTACTCCCCCACCACAGGGGTTCGAACCCAGTACTTTCCGGTTACAAGGCAAGTTAGCTCGTATACCAGTCAGCCACTGGGCCCCGACTCCTCAATGATCAGCCCATGAATTCTAACTTCCTGGAGTTCTAGTGAGAAGTAGTCGTGATCAGTGAGGTTCATCCAATCTGGAGTGAAGATGGATATTGATTGACGGTCGCGCTAAATCACGAATTGCTGGGAGTTAAAATTCATGAACTGGTCATTGAGGAGTCAGGTCCTAGTGGCTGACTGGTTTAACAGCTAACTTACCTTGTAACCGGAAGGCCATGGGTTCGAACTCTGGCGGTGGGTGTGTACTCCCGATGATTCCCAAACTAGACTGATGAAACAGCTAGCTGTCCAGTACTCCTTGTGGCTGGTTTTCAATGGTTCTCTAACTGATATCAATCTGTGCGTGGTCAAACTAGTAAAAACAAATCTAATCTTTACAAACCAAACTCTTGAAAACGTATTACTTAGTTGGAGAAAGTACCTTCAATGGTGTAACTTCATTGAATTCAGTTTCCTTCTGGAACAGATTTTTAATGTGTCACCAGGCTATGAGCCATGCTTATTTATAGTACAAAAGTTTGATGATACTACCCAGATGAGTTGTGTACTAACTGTGGTGCGCCACAATTCAATGTACAGTTGGCTAATCAGAATGAAATGTCATTCATTCCCCATTGTGGTGAATAGAGAAAAGAGAAACAGAATTCTTTGTAAAGTTTACTTCATTTTTGTCGATAGGTCTCTGCTTGGTAGTCAGATAACTCTACGACTTTGGATATCTCTTTATACACAAATTTTTACAATTCGCTGCTTGTGTCTACTTTCATCTTCACTTAAATGAGTTTATATGTCTTAACATAGAAAGGGGGACGTACGCTATATCAAAGGGATTTTCAGCGTTTTTATGCACACTGCAACAATTTACTTCCTTTTGTAAATATGTACACACATAAAATTTAAAATTGTGATTTTTTTGTATTTTGTATTTTTTTATTCCTTTACGTTTCCAGTGGAACATAGGGCACCTTCAAGCTAGAGGTTTGAAGTCTCAGTAGCAGTGGTGTCTTATTTTTATTTTACGGGATGGGGTTGCTAGCCTCATGCCCAACCTCGCCTCTTTACCAGTCTTGCTACTGGTATAGTGAGGTGTAAAGGAGTGCGTCGGTGGCCGGGGATCGAACCCCGGACCATATGAGGCGTGGTCGGCGAGCATTCTACCGCTGTGTCCTTACAAAGCAAACTCTTTAAAATCTGAGAAATATCATAAATAAACAAACAAACAAACCATAGACTAAAGACTACAGAAATGCTGAATTTATTACATTCAATCACTGTCACTTCTTTCATTTATTTGAAGAGTATCGTTTCAACTACCCGCGACACTATGGATGAGGATGTCAAAGCCAACTAGGATCGGAAAAAAGAGACGGACTTCTGTTACTCTGAAATCAGTTTGAAAAGCTACTGCACTCAAGAAAAGGAACAAGATTCAGATTTACAACACTGATGGCAAATCAGTCAGTACTTCTAATATGGTTCACAGACTTGCTGAAGCGTGCATCACATAAAGCATTTCCAAAAGGCTACCGTTAGACTTTCGTCAGTTACTGCCATCACTCCATACTGAAGGTCAGATGGTTGTTTGGAAGGGATAAGCAACAGGGAACACTGGGAACCAACCAAACAAATACCGAGGAGCAAAATGGAGATGAATTAGACACACACACACACACACACACACACTGAGAAATCGGTTGAATAACATCACGCACCATACAGGCCCTCCTCAAGGGGAACCCGAATGGGAAACAATGAGTTGGAAGTAGGTCTTAGGATGACATGCAGAAGGTCGTCTAAGGAGGAGCAGTTGTGGAGCCAGCTAAAGATGACTGCAGATAATATGATTAAATCGAGTCCTATATTCCACTCGGAACCCAAGAGAATGATAAAAAAAGTCATCATGCTTACATTCACGACAACAAAAAATAAAAGATATCCACTGTGATAAGCGTCGGTGGCATGCATGTGGCTCAGGGTTCTTTCCCCGGCCAACGCACTCCCAAACCTCCCTATGCCAGTAATAAGACTGGTAAAGAAGGAAGGTTAAGCATGAGGCTAGAAACCTCATCCCGTAAAAATAATAAACACCAGTGCTGCCGTAACTCTTCAAGACTCTAGCTTGAAGCCCTATGTTCCAATGGTAACATAAAAAAATAAAAATTATAAAAAATTGTCTAGAACCAACACCCCCACCCCACTGTGATAAAATAAAATGAATCCATGTGAGAGTAGAATAATTAGAGCAAATTTAACTTACAGAAACTGAAAAACCATCATAGGCGCTTTTTTTAAACGGTGGTAACGGTACAATTGCATTCGTCCCTTCACGTTGAAATTCCCACCATGCATACCATGGTTTATCAGCTCTATTCTGTAAAGCACAACTATAGGATAACATATCACGTCCATCTTTCACTTGTCGTGTTTGTGGTAATTCAAACAGACGAGGTGCATCTAAATAAAAAGAAGGATAATATTTAAAAGATCATTCGGGAGAATGATATCAGTACAAGGAGAGGATGTAATTTACGGGTGATTAAATCAGGTCCCAGTGGTTGGATGGTCTACGAACTTACCTTGTAACCGGAAAGCCCTAGGTTCGAAACCCAGTGAGCGCATGCTGCTGAAGAGTCCCAAATTAGGAAGCAACGGCCTTTCAAGTATTCCCTGTTGGTTGGTTCTCAATGGTTCTATAACTGAAATCAACCCATGATCTACACTATGATGGAATCTGGTACCAGTGTGGATCAATGCGCTTGAATGTTTGACAGTTGCACAAGTGGTACAGGTTCGATTCCAGACCAATGCACTCCTAAGCATTGCCTAGTCTATTACGCTATAGTAAATCCAGAAGTGAGAACAGTTTGAGGCGTCAGACTAGCAACCCAATCCCGTCACAAAAACACTATGGTTTCTGAAACATCAGGCTTGAAGCTCTATGCCGCCCCCCTCCTTCGGGACGTAAAGGAATGGGAAAAAGATGACGAAATCTCGGAGTGAAATAGTACTGAGAGCGAAACACTTAGTAACTGCAGTAAGCTTTCAACCATTGGTCGACTAACGTCCCAGATATATTGTATTCTTCTTGCAAGCCCCCCCCTCGGCTACCAATAAGGTTCTCTAGGTACGAATTAAAATTTACAAAATTGAATACCCCTAAACAAGTTACTATATCGCTAAACTTAAACAGGCCTTCTCTAAACTTAGTAATTTCACAAAAGTAACTCCACCTTTATTTCATTTAACTTCAAGAGAACAACAAGTAGCTACACAGGACACAGGGGCCATAAAAATTAATTCCATAAACGCATGCATACATCATATTTATTTTGATGATTCACTCTTTCAATCTTGAGAGATTTTATTCAATGAAACAGCAATGACTGAAAGAAATTTTTGAAAGTTGCATCAGCCTTGATGGACACTGATTCCTGACGAAATTTCATTACGGACAGAAGAGGCCATTGTGGCGCCTTTGTCAATTTATTTCATTATTCCTGGGGGGGGGGTTAGACGTGATATCCTGGAATCCACCAAGAGACGTCTGTACTGCTCAGAAGTTCACTCCGTCCTCCTTTATCACTGTGAAACATGGTCATTGAAAATAGAAGATAAGAAAAGGCTAGTTGTCTTTGATTACAGATGTGAGCTTTCTATCTCCCGTGTTAAGTGGTAAATAATATAGTGAGTAATATTAAGGTTAGACAGAGGTAGAGTGCTGGGTAAGGAATAGAAGTCAAATCGAAGAGGTTGTAAAGTTACATCGATGATTGAGTTGGCTAGGACACGCGTGTTGTGCGGAGTTGTGCCGAGTTACTGTCTTCCTCGACAGGCGAAATTAGTTGACCTACGCGGTTGGGTTAGAGAAGAGTTAGGAGTGGTTAAATAAAAAAACATGGCATCAGTTTATATAATCTTTAACAGTTGATTTGAACCCACCACATGGTGAGGTGTAGATTACCTACCTACTCGGGAGACTCAAGATTCTAAGAATCACTGGGTGACGACTACGGGTAGTATGGCTCAAAATCGTTCTCAATGGCGGAGATGCATTAAAGCCTCACGTTCTTCATGTCAGTATTCTTTCTTCCTCACATTTCCGTTTCTTAGGGTCCTCCTTGTGAATCTCCTAGTCTCTCTCTCTTTTGTCTACCTTTGTGAGTTGCATTGAGTACAGCAACTTGAACTTCAGTACCTTCTGTGCTAAGTTCTGTCTTGAAACTCAGTCAAGTCAGTCAGTCAGTCAGTCAAACGAATATTTCCATGAAGAGTTGAACTTGCGTCATGTGGTGTCAACATCAAAGACAATTAGTACTACTAAAGAAAGGATTACATTTGTGAAGAGATTATAGAATGATAACACCAATGGAGTTCCCCAGTACTTTACGCTTACTAACCAAAATCAATCGATTAGGTATGGCAAAGACAAGAATACTTCTGTGTACTGTATAGTGCACTATACTTTGATTGCAAATGTCAGGATGAAACGGCAGAAGAGGAAGGAGTTGGTAAAGGAATGTTTCTATGGAAATTGGTATCCCTATATTTGGCCAAATTGTATACACCTTATCTTCAATGCCACACCATTTGCACAGATCTTCCGTGTTGTGCCAGCTACTTCTGACGTTCCTTCATATTGTGTGTGTTTCTTCGTGTTCCTTTCACGTCTCCCATGTATCTCCACCACAACGCTGTATCATTTGCTTTCTCTGATATTAAATCTATCTCCTTGCTATTTGATGTTATTTATGCCGATGAATATTTCTTTATATACTACTGGTAAATCTTATCAGTAGCAATCGCCACAAATAAGCCGCCTACATTTCGCGTTTTCTGAAACTCATTGACAAGGAGTGTTTAAAACTTTGAAGAAACTGCATATCTCCTCCTCGATTCAGACCTGAGTTATTCAATGAGGAAGTCACAGATTAGGTAGGCGACTAAGCAAAATCCAACTAATTGATCGCTTGTCAGACTGGACTGGGTATGAGGCGAAAACTAACAAGTTGGCTGAAGAGGTAGACAGTGAAGACGTGACTTCAGGTGAACATTAGAGAAGACAAAGGTGATGAAGATAACCAACCAACCAGCACCAACAGCAATAACAAATAGCACCAATCACTACCAGCAGGAAGAATCTTAATGACGTCACTTATTTCATTTATCTAGCCAGCCAGCATCGTTTCAACTACAGGCGAGCGGCGCAGATGATGGTGTCAGAAACAGAATCAGAAAAACAAAAGAGAACTTCATTAATCTGAAATCAGTGTAGAAATCTGCTTCACTTAGCACACAGAACAAGATTCAGGTTTCCAGCCCTAATGCCAAGTCAATGCTGCTCTATAAAGTTCACAGACTTGTCACACAACTGTCGGGTCCCAGTGGCTTAATGGTCTACGAGCTCACTAGCCTTGTAACCAGAAGGTCCTGGGTTCGAACCCCAGTTGGTGCGTACTGCTGAAGGGTCCCAAAACTAGGACGAAACAGCTGGCTGTCCAGTACTACCAGCTGGCTTTCCAATGGTTCTCTAACCAATGTCAGCTCATGATGAAATCCTGTAACCAATCAATCAAATCCCTACACACCAACACTTGAAAAGCATTTCTAACAGCTACGTCTTTCGCTCCATACTGAGGATTAGATGGAAGAATCGGATAGGATAAGCAACAAGGCACTCCCTCTAAAAAAGAACCAAACAAGAACCCATTTCTCAGAAATTATGCTGAGGGAAATGGAGATTGGATTGGACACACGCTGAAGACACCAAGTCATCAAGTGAAATCCCAATTTGCAAACAATGAATTGGGTATCCAAGGGTAACATATGGAGGAAACCGTATGGGGCAGGAATGAAAACTTACGGACAATCGTAAAGTCAGGTAAAATAAGGAACAACAGAGAACAGAAAGATATGGCGATGTTCCACTTGGAACTTAAAGGATATAATAATAATAATAATAATGTATGAGACCATGAGCAATGGTACTTGTCTAACTTCAAGTGCTTCCAGGATGTTTTGTATTATGCAACCATCAGAGCATAATATTAGAATTCATCATAACCAAGTCAGTAATTAGTCAGTGATTCATTCAACAACTTACGCGATACTTTCAGTGATACAGTCATATTAGCTATCATATCTCCCAGAGTAGCAGTACATCGATAATTCGCTTCATCTTCTTCTTGGTTAACTTCTGTTATCCGTAGTACACGAGCATTCTCCAGCAGCTGATGTCGATGGTCGACAGGTATACGACGAACATCACGACCATTTTTTATACGATGCCATTGAAGCTATTCACACACAGTTGTGGAAAGTGGAAAGAAGAAAAGATAATAGGGAAATTTTAAAAATATCAGTTAAAAATTTTATTCAAATAACAATATTCAAGCAGTGTAGAATTACAACTTCATCCAAAGTTGAATCCATGACAATCAGACTACACAATGAGTGCTTTTCAGATACTTGGTCAGGATACAATAGAACCATAGTTCACACCTACATACTAGTATGGTGAGACCTGTCTGCTAACCAAAATTGGTAGACAGCAATTTACGTCAATATTTACGTCCCATATCTTGGTCATGAGAAAAAAAGCAAGAACAAAGACTAACTCAACAACCAATCACAGCAGACTTTGCGTGGGCGGATACGATTCGCAGATATATGGTCTGACCTTCAAAGAAACGGCCACAAAGAGATGACAGAATAACTTCCAGTGAGAAAACAACCAATCAGAAGACGCTGTTTCTCTGCTAATAATAACGAATAATCATGTACATAAATTTCTCTTGATTTTCTCAATAAACGATTTGTTGCCTGGCCCTTGTGTTCTGCCGTTACACTGGCGATACAGGGCAACGATCACCAGATATCTATGATGAATATCTGTCTTTATTCATAATGTACTTGGTAAATCCCACTGCTTATAAATTTACATAGCAAAATTCCAGAAATCCATCTGGATACTATTTACTAATGAACAATCTATTGGTATTAAGATATCAGTTACATCTTAGGCTGATTCAACTGACTGGCTGACTGACTCCCAGATGGATGGAATCCGTAGACAACAAAATCAACTGGAGAACCAACCATCGAACTACTGCCTCACCCAATCTGAAATCAACCAAGTACCATATAACCTAACATTTAAAAGTTATAAAAGCATTTTAAATTATCTCCAATAGCTGGCTTTGTTCAATACTAAAGATTAAGTAGCCGGTCAGGAAGATTAAGCAAGTAACAAGGAATTCTGTCAAGAAGGGAATCAGCTAACCACCAAGGAGATGAAGATAGATTGTAAAACAATGAGAGAAACTACACGGCAGGCCCTGCAATCGAACACGAATGGGAAGCGACAAGATGTGCGTGGTTCCGAAAGCTACATACATACAGGATATTATGTGAAGAGGAAATGAAACCAGTAGTGAAGCTAGATGGAAGTGATAGCAGGGAATAAGAGCACAATAGAGATGTACTTCTAAAGCCGTAAGTTCCACTCGGAAATCAAGTCAAACTTATTATTCTTGATTATGGTTCAGAGAGACTTGGTGCATTACTATAAGCATTTCCAACAGGTTAATGCAGACTTTTATCAATAACTACCTCCTCCTTCGCTTCATACTGAAGATCAGACGGCCAGCTAGAAAAAATTAGCAACAAGGAACTATGCCACGCAGCGAACCAAGAACTTACTACCCAACAAAGTTGTCGAAAAAAATCCAAGTATTGGTTTGTAGGGATTCTTGTTTGATTGGTTACAGGATTTCATCATGAGCTGACATTGGTTAGAGGGACCATTGGAAAACCAGCTGGTAGTGCTGGACAACCAGCTGTGAAGTTCAGGACTCTTCATCAGTACGCACCCACTGACAGAGTTTGTGACTATTAAGTCACTGGGATCTGATCCAATGACCAACCCATGAAATCCAACTTCTGCTAATTCACAACATAGCGCGACCACTAGCCAATGTCGTCGCTGGAGAGTATTTGTCCTCACACCCAACCTGTTGTACCCTACTGGTCAAAACATCCCACTAGAACCTAAGGTAACTACCTACCTGAATAGGACTGGGGAGGAACACCACACACCAGGCAGACACTCAAGTGGAAGGTGGATGGGGAATGACGGGTTGAGCATGAGTCCGAGGGTGATATGGAGGAGATCGTGTAAACAGGAGATGAGAGCCTATAGACAACCGTGGAGCCAGCTAAAGACAACTGTAAAGAGCAGGATGAAATGCAGATGTGTTGTTTGAAACCTTATCATTATTATAAATCCATAAGAATAATTCATCAATTCATTATACATAATTTTTTTATAATACAACTTACCGTTGGTATTCCACTACCAATAAAATAACATTTCAGAGTATACGCTCGACCAGCTATAGCCGGTTTACCAATATCAATTGGTCTTAATCGAAGTGGTGTATCCATTAACACGTAAGTACGACAATCTGCTTGACCGTATGCATTTTCAGCTACTGCACGATATTCTCCACCGAATGTCCACATATCATCTAAATTTTGCAACTAGAAGAGATAAAAAAATAAGACGAAAATCAAAGGTGTGTAAGAAAAATGAGTTTACACTTGAATTCCAGTGATTTGAAGTGATTCACTTCCCAGGGAACTGAGTCTAACTCTCTAGCGCACAGATGATGAGATCAGGTAAAAAATCAGTTAAAACCCTCTTTCGGTGATTAAATCACTTCAATCTGGCTGGTTAGGAATCACTACTACTGTGGTCAGAGCTGTCTGCTAGTCAAAATTGGACGTCAATGTTTACGTCCCGAATAGGAGTCATAACAAAAAAACAAGAACAAAGCCTAACCTCGAGGAACTCAACAACCAACCACAGCAAACTTAACGTGTGCAAATACGATTCGCAGATATATGACTTAACTTTCTAAGAAACGGTCACAAGCAATACAGAATAACCACTTTCATCAAGAAAACAACCAATCAGAAGATGTTGCTTCTCCGCTAACAATAATGTATATAAAAATCTATAAATACCTCTTGATTTTCTCAATAAAGAATCTGTTGTCTGGCCCTTGTCTTCTGTCGTTACACTACTAGTTGATGTCAGTGATATCTAACTACTTGTATTAATCAGTCAGGAGTACATCACATCAAGTTATATCGCTTACTTTCTTGACTACCATTTGTGGTCCTGACTAACAAATGCCACCTTAACCAAGGTGATTGGGTTTGCGCACAGAGGAATCACCTAACGAGCTATACTGGCTGGAACTAATGTCCCTGTAGGTTCTATCATTCCAAAAAGGTCGCTTCGATGATAGAGGTTGACCGAAAGAAGTCACCATTGTAATGTAAGTCATTTACACCATGATGGGGGTGTGTAGGTGAAGTAGTACTGCTAGAGAATAGGAATGTGGTACCAGTGATGTTTCCCTCAGATGACCAGGAAGCCAGCTATTCTCCATCTCTGCTTTGGAGAGATGGGTTAAAAAAAGATCGATCGCGAAAATTGTACACCCTGACTTGCTGCCCAACAACAGTAAGACCTTAATACAAATACAACTCTAAAAACCGCTTCAATCAGGACGACTGTGACCAGCTGTAAGCAGTTTCCGTCTGAACTCTTTGGTCACGTGACAACAATGCTCCTTCCATTTCAGGTGCCCCACGAAGAAATCAGCTTCTATGGTGTGGACAGCCACAGGATTTAATAACCGCTCACATAATTCCATAAGCACATAAAGCTTCCTTGACCATCACCCCACCTTCACCTCCATCACTTTGACTGTCAACCATCCATCGACTATTTTCGGTATCAAACAGTCTACATACTGTAATCCGAATACTTTGTTTTTCCTGGTGTAACTGTGACTCTAAAAGGATACATATTCGGAACCTCTGGTCATTTTTTATTCAGTTGTTTGGTGAAGATTAAATTAAGAAAAAGAAAATACCTCAACAACACAAAGAGGCTGCTCAAATTCATACAGCTGCGCTGACAATTATATCTAACATGAGATTGGAACGTTCGACTTACTAAAGACGCGAGATTTTACCAAAAAACGTCAATCAACTGCATAACTTACCTTACGAATATTAATTGTGAGGCGAGTAATCGTTGTACACGCCGTACCCTCATCAGACATAACTTGAGCAGAGAGAACACCAGAGTCGTCTAAAGATATCGGTTGATCATCTCGATACCATACAATATTCGGTGGCGGGTTGGCAGCAAATCGACACTCTAACAGTGCGTCTGTTGAACCCATATGTAGAGATAAGAGTACTTGTGCAGCGAATGATCCCAATTCAACAGCTGGATTTTGCCATGTTAACGATGGACGCATTTTACCCATCATTAGAAGCGCGGTAGCTTGAGCATTGTCGACCAGGTCGCCAACACTTTCAAGGCTTGAAAATGAATTAGCCTGACCAGTTAACTCATTTTCATTTTGTGTACTAAGTGTTGATGTTGTTGTTGTCGCCATTAATGGTGAACCAGACAAAGACGACGAAGAATATGGAAATGATGATGAATTTGATGTAGGCAATGAACTGCTGCTGTGATATGATGAGAACATTGAATCAGACGACGACGATTGATGTGTATTCATGCTTAGACTTAATCGATCCGCTGGATGACCATTTTCAGCAATACACTGATATACACCAATATCATCAAGACTAAATGCTTCGATAATCAGTCGTTCAGCAATTGAATTCGATCGACCATTATTATCCATACCAGAATAACCAGAATTCATTGATGCTGCTGGTATATGACGCACATGATGACGTCTTGGTACTAGACGTGAATTGTGCAGCCAGTAGACTAATTGACGTGGATGTCCAGTCACCTCACAGGTTAATTCAACTCGACTACCCCAATCAACAGTTCTACGACTTGGTGTTATCTTGACACCCAGAGGTGCTAAAATAAATAAGAGAAATTAGAGAGACATTTGGCATTATCATTTATTTACGTTTTACTTTAGGACACTTTATTGACGGCTGAGTAGATATGACTTTAGAGCTGAGTAGTGCTCACTTAAATTTCACACAGACACACACACAATATAATGTTTATTAAGACTGGACATATACCTTACACTGATCAGTGTTCAGAAAAGGGGACACAACAGATAAATGGAGTACAACTTTCTAATGATTAGCCGTTCTCTTATGAAATGTTAAAATATTCTGTACTGCCATATGGTATCACTTACCGTTATGGTAATACGATACTACTGAACATGGGTTCAAATCTCAGACGTGTTACATCAGTTCTGTAGAAGCTGAAGATACGATTTTTTGACTAGTACCACTCGTAAGCACGAAACCTAAATCCATTCTGTTTCCTATCGCCTTGCCTTCAACCATTCTTAATAAGTTCGTGACGGTTTAGTGTTAGAATGCTCGCTAGCCATAAAAGTGGTCCGGATTTGATTCTCAACCGACGCACTCTTAAATCTCGTTTAGTCCGTGGTAGACCCAGTGAAGAGGAAATGCTGGACGTGAGGTTAGTAACTCAACTCCTTAGAATATACCACCACTAATGGTAGCATTTCAAAGCTCAATTTTGAAACCTTAATTTCAACTGGGATAATCCCATCTACATGGCAAGTCATTAATGATGACTACAGGATTGTTATTCAACTGACAAAGACAGTCTCTTCAGAAATATGTTAGGTGTATCTACTCTTTGACATGCTCCTCAGGGAACTGATTACATTGGACATTGTCTGGACTGTTCTCTGGAAATGCGTAGGTGAACGCTACCCGGTTCGGTTGATGAAAGACGAGTATAGTTATGACAAAGTCTTCAATTTGTGAACACCTTTTTGAATCAGGTTCACCATCAAGGTGATTAGAGGCAATCAGCAGGAAGCCCTGTCTGACCTAAGTTTCATGCTTGCTGGTACTCGTCACTTACCTAGTATGGTGGCCACATAGAAAAACTAACTGATAGAATTCAGCCTGCACCAACCAACACCAGGGACTAGACGAGTGACACCAGTTAGTACCTAGTGTCCAGTCAAGATATCCAATACAGTCTTACAGGAAGTCAATCGCGAATCAGAACAGCTCAGTGGTTACATCTCTGGCTGCATCATTGAGTCATACGGGTTCGAATCTCAGAAGCGACATGAGTTCCTTGATGACTGCAGATACGCCTTGCTGACTGGTGATTGTCAACAAGCATTTGACCTACGCTAAAGACTTCGGAACCTCGCCTAGATTACTAGGTCACTAGTATTCTAGCCGGTCCCAAGCCCGGATAAAGAGGGAGGGTTGGGGCCTGGTGCTAGCAACTCCACCCCCAAAACTTAACCAAATTGCTACTAAAACTTCAACGCACAAATATATTCAAAATCCTAAAATTACAAATAGTGACCTTATTTTTCGCTGGAATCGGGGAAGTGAAATGACGCGGGCTGGTGAAAGCCTTCGGGAAGCCAGTCAGCCGATGTGCCTTCTTTCGATGAAAGCAAACATAAGGATGGGGACGTGGAATGTTCGTACAATGTACGAAGCTGGGAAGGCTGCTCAGGTAGCCGCAGAAATGAGGAGATATAAAATAGAAGTGTTGGGAATCTGTGAGAGCAGATGGAACGGATGTGGAAGGAGCCAACTATCAACTGGAGAGACAATAATCTACTCCGGTCACCCAGAGGACAATCACGAGCACACCGAGGGAGTAGCCATCATGATGTCACCAACAGCGGCTAAAGCTCTCATGCAGTGGGAACCAATCTCCTCCAGGATAATGACAGCCAGGTTCAACTCAAAAGGAAAGAAGGTTACAATCATTCAGTGCTACGCGCCTACAAACACCTCAGAACATGAGAAGAAGGAGGATTTCTACAGTCAACTACAAACAGTAATGGACAACGTCCCAAAGAGCGATATCAAAATCCTGATGGGCGACATGAATGCGAAACTGGGAGGAGACAATACAGGAAGAGAACTCACCATGGGTCGTGAGGCCCTCGGAGAAATGAACGAAAATGGCGAACTCTTCTCAGACTTCTGCGCCTTCAATGATTTGGTGATTGGTGGCAGTGTGTTCAAACACAGGGATATACACAAGGCAACATGGATTTCACCAGATGGACACACCAAAAACCAGATAGACTTCATTTCAATCTCAAGGAAGTGGAGACGGAGCCTACTGGACACAAGAGCGAGGAGAGGAGCAGATGTGGGTTCAGACCGCTATCTAGTACAAGGGACATTCAAGGTGAAGCTGAAAGCCTCGAGGATAGCTGGGGATAGGCCACAATGCAAGTTCAACACGGAAAAACTGAAAGACACAAAGGACACTTTCACTGCAACTGTCAGAGCAAAGCAGGAAACACTACGTGGCACCACTGAGGAATCACCCGTGGAAGACCAGTGGAACTCTCTGAAGGTAATTTTCAACGAAACGTGCTCAACGGTTTTAGGAAGAAAGAAAAAACAAGACAAGGAATGGCTCTCAACAGACACTTGGAAACTAATAGAGGAGAGGAGAAAGGTGAAAGAAAAAATGATTCAATGCAAAGATGGACAAGAGAAAGAGACGCTGAACTCAACTTACACAGCACTGGACAAAGAAGTGAAGAAGAGTGCCAGGAAGGACAAAAGACAATTCCACGACAACCTGGCCACTGAAGCTGAGAAGGCAGCAGGCAAAAGGGACCTGAGGACACTATATCAGATAACCAAGTCTCTATCCGGGAAGAGATCAACACAAGTGAAACCTATAAAAGACAGCCAAGGGAACCCAATTACCAAAGAAGAAAGACAGATTAAACAATGGGCAGACCACTTCAAAGGACTCTTGAACCGACCACCACCTACAACCCGTCCAGTAATACCAACAACAGCACGTACACAACTGCAAGTTGACACCAATCCTCCAACGAAAACGGAAGTCATGAATGCAATCAAGCTTCTGAAAGCTGGAAAAGCAGCTGGACCAGATGGAATACCCCCGGAAGCACTGAAAGCGGACCCAGAAACGACGGCAGATATGCTGACTCCATTATTGCAAAAGATCTGGAAAGAGGGAAAGGTGCCTACTGACTGGAGGAAAGGTTACCTCGTGAAACTACCAAAGAAGGGCGACCTGGGACTCTGCAAGAACTGGCGAGGAACCATGCTCCTGTCGACGCCAAGTAAAATCCTGAGTCGCATCATCCTGGAGAGAATCAAGGACGCACTGGATACAGAACTCCGACCAGAACAAGCTGGATTCAGGAAAGGCAAATCATGTTCTGACCAAATTGCAACTCTACGCATCATCATCGAACAAAGCATGGAATGGCAATCAAACCTCTACCTCAACTTCCATCATAGACTTTGAGAAGGCCTTCGACAGCGTTGACCGCGAAGTTATTTGGAAACTACTCGAGTACTACGGCGTACCTCAAATATTCATCAACCTCATTCAACAGCTGTACGACAATGGCACATGTCAAGTGATCCACAACGGAAAACTCAGCGAGGCGTTTGGAGTAAACACAGGAGTCAGACAAGGGTGCTTATTATCACCAATGATATTCCTAATTGTGGTGGACTGGATTATGCGTCAGACAGTGGGAAACGAGAAGACAGGGATATCCTGGACCGACGTGAAGAACCTAGAAGACCTGGATTTCGCGAGTGGATGATTTATGTTTGATGTCACACAAAATCGAAGACTTACAAGCAAAAACCGACAAACTGGTCGAAGAAGCAGCAAAGACAGGACTGCAGGTGAACATAGACAAGACGGAGGTCATGAAAATAACCAACCAACAACAGCAGCAACATCCAGTGCCAATCACCATCAACGGGAGGGATTTGAAAGAGGTTACTTCATTCACTTATCCAGGTAGGGAGCATTGTCTCAACCACAGGAGGAACGGACGAGGATGTCAAGTCGAGAATCGGGAAGGCGAGAAACACATTCATCAACCTGAAACCCATCTGGAAATCTTCGTCACTCAGCATCAACAACAAAATTCGGATTTTCAATACAAACATCAAGTCAGTTCTTCTATACGGATCAGAAACTTGGCGGGTCACAAAAAATATTTCCAACAGCCTGCTGCAGACCTTTATCAACAACTGTCTTCGCTCCATACTGAAGATTAGATGGCCGGAAAGAATCACAAACAAGAAGCTATGGGAACAAACGAAACAGGAACCAATCACTCAACAAATATGCAGGAGGAAGTGGAGATGGATTGGACACTCGCTGAGGAGGCCGTTGAGTGACATCGCGCGTCAAGCCCTCGAGTGGAACCCGAAAGGGAAGCGGCGAGTAGTGGGACGTCCAAGGGTGACATGGAGGAGATCGTGTGAAGAGGATTTGAAACAGTATGGAATAACATTGACGCAAGTGAAAAGTACAGCAGAAGACAGAAGCAAGTGGAGGCGTGCAGTTGAAGCCCTATGTTCCACTAGGAACCCAAGGGAACAATAATAATAATAATAAAGACTTCGGGCCGATTGCCTCCAACCATCTGATAACAACAATTTAGAGATACCTTTATCCCAATGATTGAAGTTCAATTCCCAGTTAAGAATTCAACATAGCGCTCATAATTATATAACATTATACGTTAAAGTAACATAGCACAAGAACTATAATTCGATAAATAACAAAAAGGGAATGATCCAAGTTTCTATTTGAGGAGCTCCATAAACTCAACACTAAGTGACCTGTGAGTTGGATGAATTCAGGTGCGAGAACAGATACTCGCTGATGATATTGGCTGGCAATTATGCTGCATATCAAGGGTATATCCCCCAACCCCATGGGAGAAGAGCAATGTGAACACCTTGTGTGACTTGTAGGTTATAGGATCTATCCCTTATGAAGGAAAGGTGCTTACCACTCATGAGTGCCAGACCGCGATGAAAGGCCAGTCCCATCCTCCTTAAGTGACATCAGTTCGTCACGACATTCGGCATTCGATTCTGTCGACCGAGAGGTACTATGACGATGCCTTGCTGTAAAGGGAATGCCGAGGAAATACATTGCATTGGTCAAGGCACTCACTCTACTCGAACTCATGCAGTCAGCCAGATGAGAGCTTACGGCAAGTTGTCATCTGAAGTGGTGATAACTAGTGGTGTCCTACAGGAATGTCCAATATCCCCATTTCTATTCAATTTCATCATAGATGTACTAATGAAATTAACCCTAAGTGACTTCAGCGACTCAGGGATTGACTTGTCACCACCTAGAAATAATCTAGTTGACTTAGAATATGCAGATGATATAGTCCTGTCTCCTAGGTGAAGACGCTGAAAAAGTAGAGCAGAGTCTTCTGAACACCTTGAGGTGCAGTCTGAGGATGTTCAGCATGCGATTACCTCTCACCAAATATAAGATGGTGCTACAGGACTGACTTGACTACATTGACTCCTAGCTTAGAAATAGAGAGTGAAGTGGTACAGCGCGTTGACCGCTTCACTTATTCGAGAAGTTGCATCAGCCAATGCCACCGAGTTGATCACTGACGAAATCTCAGTACGGATACAAAAGACTCGTTTGGCATATGCCGGTTTACTCCGTCTCTGGCGTAGACGTGATATCCGGCTGGCTATCCAACAAAAGGCGTGTGTACTGCTCTCAGCAGTCCGCTCCGTCCTCCTTTATGGTTGTGAGCAAGACATGGCTACTGAAAGTTGAAGACGTGAAAAGACTGGCTGTCTTTATTCATAGGTGCCTGCGTTCTATCTACATCCCGTGTGAGGTGGTATAATACGGTTAGCAATATTGAGGTTAGGCATCATTCAAGTGCTAGGCAAGGAAGAGAAATCAATAAACGAGGCTGTGAAGCTACATCGACGGAGATGGTTAGGACATGTGTTACGCATGCCTAGTCTAGACTAGTCATCGCCTTCCTCGACGACAGACAGTGTTAGCTGACATAGAGTTAGGTTGGAAAAGAGCCAGTGGTGGTCAAACCAAAATATGGCTTCATCAGTCAACGAAATCTACAACAGTTAGTTTAAGCTAGTCACGTAGGATGATGTAGACTTCCTGACTGGTTGGTTTGGGTCCTCGGGACGGTAAACACCAATGACGGCTGGAGACAATTATCGGTGATATGGCTCAAAGTGGTCGTTGTTAATGGCTGGCGCAGATGCATCCACTCCTTGGGACTTATCATATCCAATAAAACTATGTGGTTCTTCCATATTACTATTCTTTTTATCTCATATCTCTGTTTACTGTCTCTGTTTTGCATTTCTTTTTACTTTCTTTCTCTCTTGTTTTGTGTGCTGAGTGAAGTGTGGCGACTCGAAGTGCTGCTGCACAACGGAGCAAAGTTCTACGTTGAAAGCAGACAGACAGTTTGTCACGAGATCCACCACTGTAAAATAACCATACCACACTTCAGATCAAAGAGTTCACACCTCAGAAGAAAAAAGAAAGCAGATCAATTTAGTCTAGAAAAACAAACAACAAAAAAACAAATTACCAAAAAAGAAAACCACCAAATAACACTTTACTCCAAACAAAACAAAACAAAAAGACAGACAGACCTACCTCGAACACGTATAGTATACTTAATTCGTAATGATCGACCTAAATGTGCTGACTCAGCAATATAATGACCAGAATCCGTTACGGATAAATTAATCAATCGTAAATTCCCGTATGTACCATCAACTAATTCATATTTTGTACCCCAAGGTAGCTCATTTGAACTACGACGTCGATTTGCATCTTGATTTGACTGGACACTTGTAGAAGAGTCCAGTGCTATTGCTTGGCGTACACGACTAGCATCATTTAAATAATACCAATCGACTTGTGTACGTCCTTCACCTTCTACAGCCCATGGTAATTCAACTGTACTACCCTGATAGAAAATAAAAACAATTTGACATTATAACAATTAATTAATAACTTATCAGTAATGTAGTTTAAAGAAACAGGGAGATAAATAGAAATAGAAATTTACTTCATTCAATGACATTATTATATTTCCAAGAGTTTGTATGTAAGGATTAAATCAGTGAGAGAACCATTGAAAACTAGCATTAGAGTACTGGGCAGCTGTTTCATCCTAGTCTGGGAATCATCGGCAGTAAGCAACCACTGCCAGGGTTCGAACCCAGGACCTTCCAGTTACAAGGCAAGCTCGTATACCAGTGGCTGAATGGTATACGAGCTTGCCTTTTAACCACAAGGTCCTGGATTCGAATCCCAGTGGGTGCGCACTGCCGATGATTCCCAAACTAGACTGATGAAACAGCAGCTGTCCAGTACTCCCTGTGGCTGGCTTTCAATGGTTCTCTAACTGATATCAATCCGTGATCAACTCGTAAAAAAACAGCTATAAACTAACGCTTGAAAATTACCCTTCTTACCTAACACTGTACACCTAACTTTGACATTACTCACTATTTTACCCCACTTAACATGGGAGATAGAAGGCGAACATCTGTGATCGAAGACAGCTAGTCTTTTCACATTTTCCAGTTGCAATGGCTATATCCCACAGTCATAAAATAAAGGAGAATAACATAGAGAAGAAGAAAAAGAAAACAAAAACAACTTACTCGTAAAATATTAATTTCACTACCAACAGCTCGTAGTTCAGCATAAGAGAAACGAAATTGTAATCGTTGTAGCCGTCCACGTTCAGGTCGTTCCACTGTGACAGATTCATCTACAATCGACTGAAGGACACATCTAACTTCCATTGATGACAACTCGGCTTCAGTGACTGATCTGATATGTAATTCTGGATGTTTCGTGACATTAATCATACTGAAACGACCATCTTAGGGGCGGTGGGGGGGGAATAATTAAAAAACAAAACAGGGAAAGTATCAACAGTCAGCTGGAAAACATAAAATGAGAATTCAGACTATACTCTCTATTAACAAAATATATGACATAAGATAAATCAATATAATGTGGGATCAAAAGTTCTCAGTTGTCACCTGCATCATTTAAGACGAAAATCCTATACAATTTCCCTTTGATTGGAAACTATTAACTAGTGTGATGAGTCTAGTCCTTTGTTTGGTGCAGACTGAATTCTATCAGTCAGTCAGGTTTGCAATGTGGGCACCATGCTACTACGTGGCTCGTCATCACTGTGCACTGTGAATGGTTGGCATTAGGTGGTTGGAGGCAATCGATACGAAGCCTTGCCAGGACCTAGGTTTCGTGCTAGTTGGCACTCTTCAGTTGGGTATAGCTGCAACCTTGGAGGAAGTCATATCCCTTCTGGGATTCGAACCCAAGTCATCCAGTGCTACCTATAGTCAGAGACGTTACCACTGAGCTATCCAGACTCGTTATTGACCTCCTTCCTGTAGGACTGTATTCCATACTAGTAACTAGTGTGATGTGTCTAGTCCTTTCTTTGGTGCAAACTGAATTCTATCAGTCAGGTTAGGTTTGCAATGTGGCCATCATCACGGTGCATATTGATCTAATGATATTAGATCCGAAATATTTACATCATAATATGGAAAAACACAGTTTTTATTCAACGTGAAGCAATACTTCTTTTGCAATGACGTCTTCATTTTCAAGCGGTGGCTGTTATGACAGAAGACATGAGTACCACGGTAACGGAATCATATATTGGCATTTCGATAAACACAGAAACAGGCAAACCAGCTGTACAGCAGTCGTATTTATATTACGGAGGAAAATGAAGGCACTAGAAATTGCTCAGTAGTCAATATTGCACATATGATGATGAGAATAAAGATAATTAAAATGACGTGACTCAAGGGGGTAGAGTTGAAGTAGATGAACTACACAACCTTTGAAGATCATTAAATAATAAGTGAACTGATAATAATAAAGATTTTAAAACTGTTCATCTACCGAGCTTCGTGAAAGAAAATATTTAATAGTCCTCACTCATCTACGCTTTTCACTATCGAAGAAGAGTTGAACTCCGCACTTCACTTCTTAGATGTGATGTGATGTTAGATAGAAGTATGAATGACACGTTAAAAACGTCGATTTACCGAAAGTTAACATTTACAGGTCAGTACATTAAATTCAACAGTTGGGTACCTCTAAGCAGGAAGAGAAATCCCTACCCGTTCTCTATGCTACAGAATTCGGAAAATTTCCTCTATAGATATTGGTCGACATAGAACTAGAAAACATATGCTCAACTCTCTCAAATAATGGATATCCTAGAACGTTTATCGACAGAAACATCAAGAAAGAAACCGTCACCAGTCCGATCACAATGCCAAAAAAGAAGACACTGTTTATGAGTTTGGAGTTCAAAGGTGAAAGTATTTCTGAAGTCATTAAAAGTCGTTTATCTAAATGTAATAAACGCTCTTTTTATGCAGCTAGCTGACTTACATTTAGTATTTACTAGCCAAAATATGATTTGACTATGCGTCATCGATAAACTACTGCTTATGTCAACCTCTATGTGCATTTATTCTCATTCACATACCCATGTAGAGCTGATTACACTGGAGGTTGTAAGCGTATTCTCAGTAAAAGCATAGTTGAACACTACCCGGTTTAGTTAATGAAAGATGAGAAAAGGATGACAAAGTCTTCAATCTGTGAACATCCTCTGGAGTCAGGTCATTCAACCCACCCCCAATTCGTGATTTATCCTTTAAAGTTATCTACAGGACCAAATCCAATCACTCCAAAAGCTTACGTTTTCTCCACTTATGCATAGCCGAAGCTTTAGCTACACATGGATAATGGACCTAAATTATGTATTCAAAAACGTTTTGTTAAAACTTTTTCTTTACCTTGGTCATATTAATGTTCTTTTATTTTATTTTTATTTTACCACTTGAATTCATTCCACTTCACTTCAATTCTGCCGTCTTTATTGTTATCATCACTTTATTCTTAATTTTTTAGACAACACCTGACTTACAATATAAAAATCTCTATACCAGTTCACTTATTTAATAATCTTTAAAAGTTATGTAATTCATCCACTTCAACTCTACCGCATCCCTACTAGTACATCAATTTAATAATTAATTCCTCTGATCCAATGTGTATGTACATTCCGAGATCTTTTTTCTTATCATCATATGTGCAATATTGACTACTGAGCAATTGCTAGTGCCCCCACTTAATGACTTCTTTTTCGGTAATATAAATACGACTTTACAGTTTCTTGAAAATGAAGTTGTTGAAAAGAAATACCTTTCTTAACTGAATAAAACTGTGTTTTTCCTTATAAATTAATGAGTATATTTCGCGGTTTGAGAATACGTCTTCCAATATACTAAAATCACAATTTGCAGATTTTTTCCACATTGTGTTTCTTTACATTTCTTTCATGTTTTTCATGTTACTTCACGAACATCATCATTCATTATAAATACGTCTCTCTGCCATTCGATATTCTTGAGGCTGATATACATTTTTATGTTTGTATCTATATACTACTTATAAATCTATCTTGTCGGTAGCACACGCCATACTCGTTCCGCAGACAAATAGTTTCGAACGGAGCCACTCCGACCCTCTTAGTGCTACCACCAACTGTTGTCGCATCTTATTATCAGCCAGCCTATCCCACACTATATCCATCTCTAGGTTTGGCTGGCGTTAACACTTTTCTGTTTGTCACCTCGTCTGACGGTTAAAACGGAGCTACGACTCTCGATGACAGTGTATGATCCTTCCCACTTCGGAAGGAGTTTCCGCATCCAACCGTGTACTTTCTGTCTCTCTAAATTTACTTTAATTGTTCACCGACTTCAAACGTTATGCATTCCATCTTTCCCCTCTTGGTTCAGATTTAGAGAGGTGTCTATATCTTCTGCTTATACTTTATATTCCTGACTGTGTCTTTCCGTACCATTCAGAGTCTCGTCATACTCCACTGTTGATGAAGCGGGGAAAACATCTTTTGACGTATTGGTAGTCGTGATTCGCTCTATACCATACATCAACTGAAATGGTGACTTCTTCTTCGTTATCTCGTGGGGGGAGGCACAATAAAAAAGGGCAAATCGCATAGGCAACGTTTGAAGATTTCTGTTTAAGGTGTCCAGAAGACTAAGAATTTTATCAGAGTCTTTACTTAAGAGGACAATATCATCCACATGCTTTAATTCATCAAGACTGCTGCTCTGTGGTAACAAGTCAATTCTTAAGTCTCTAAAGTCAATTAGATTTAATACGTTAGCGAATGTATGTACCTACTGATCTATGAGCTCAACACTGTGTTGTAAAGATGACGCTTAGAGTCTACGTATAATAATACTCAAGTTATGAAAAGCACATAACCATCTTCGTTCATCCATGTATTTAAGGTATGGAAACAAAACTTGATAGAAACTCGGAGTATAACAACAGGCAGGTTCTCCTCAGTCTCTACACTGACATTTTAAGCACTACAACAGATAGTTTGATTGGACGCTAGTAACTAGTGTCCAATCAAACTACCCACTACAGTCCTACAGGAGGTCAATCGCGAGCTCGAATAGCTCAGTCGTAACGTCTCTGACTGCAGCACTGGATGGCGCGAATTCAAATCTCAGAAGGGATATGAGTTCCTTCAAGGCAGTTGCAGATACGCTCTGCTGACTAATGAGTGCCAACTAGCACAAAACGTAAGTCGAAGGCTTCCTGTGGCCGATTGCCTCCAACTATCTAATACTACAACAGATGCATTTTCTTCAACTGACTGTGAACATGACTTCCAATGCGGAGGAACAACATATGGTAGACTGTCTAGAATAAGAAGACAGTGAATCGATAAAAACAACCACCTAGAAGATTTGGATTTCATAGATGATTTATTTCTAATGTCTGAAAAAACTTGAAGACTTACAAGCGGAAATCAATAAGTTGGAAGAAAAAGGTAACCAAGACAAGAGTTCAAATGAAAATGGAGAAGACGAAGGTGATGAATTGACCCAACCAATAAATCCAGCAAACAGCAATCACTATCAAAAAAATGGGAGAAACCTGAAGGAAGTTGTCTTGAGAATTTAGCACGTATGTCACAAAAAGCATTTCCAACAGGCTACTCGAGACTTTCATCAACAGCTCTCAACCTCGGTTAGACATTAAAGATCAGATGGTCAGAAAGGATAAAAGCAACAACGAACTATTGATAGGTGGATAACCAGCTGATGGAAACGGAGACGAAATGAACATACGCAGAGGGGACCTTCGGGTGACATGGCAAGTCAGGCCATCGACTAGAACTCGAACATGAAGCGACGAGTTGGGCATGATTCTGAGATTGACATACGAAGGAGATCATACGAATAGAATATGAACGTTAGTTGGCAGTCTTGGTGATATTAGATAGTTGGATGCAATAGGCAGGAAGTCTTGTCAGGACCTAGGTTTCGTGCTAGTTGGCACTCACTAGTCAGCAAGGCGTATCTGAAACCTTGAAGGAACTCGTGTTCCTTCTGAGATTCGAACCCGCGTCACCTAGTGCCGCCTGCAGTCAGAGACGTTACGACTGAGCTATTCACGCTCCTGATTGACTCGAATCCCTTCATGATGGCTGCAGATACGCCTTGCTGACTGGTGAGTGATAACTAGCATGAAACCTAGCTCCGAGGCTTCGTGCCGATTGCCTCCAACTATCTAATATCACCAAATCAATGCTCACCATAATGGCCAGCTACCTAGTGGCATGCTGGCCACATTGCAAACCTGATTGACTGATACAATTCAGTCTGCACCAAAGAAAGGACTAGATTGTTCAAACCACCACCTTCCATCCACCAATTCACATGCTAAGATAACTGACGATTATGTTTGCTGCTGGTCTGCTGCACTCCAGGTCTATAT